CAACCTCCGAATTTGGTCAGTTATCTGCTAACTTCTTATCATCGGGTGACTTTTCCGGCTTTTCGAATGCGCCAACAATGTCTTTCATGACACTTCGTGTACCGTGCCCTCTTAATGTACGATGAGACATCCACCACACGTGCAGTGCCCTTTTATACGAAGCGCTGAGGGGGTGGGCATCCACAAGTTATGACTCCAAACCGATGGCACATTCCGCCATACCCGATGCGGCGAAAGAGTAGAAAATCTACACATGACGGCATGGAATTTATATTTTTAAGTACTCCGTAGAAAAAGGACATGCAGTGAACGCCGTAGCTAGGAAAGTTAAGTAGGGAGAAACATGAACATAGAAAACGCTCCCCTTGTTGGAAATCTTGCTTTCCCCGCCTGCTGCTTTGTCTGTTTTTTTCTCGTCGTAAGAAAGTAATCCAGTTTTAAACGTCGGCTTGGTTGTCACTGAGAACTGATTACTTAAGGAACAGACCTTGGCTGAAACTGCCCTCCATGGAGGGTAACCAGCTTTACTGCGTTCAAAATACCCAACTAAAGGAAGCGGAAATAAAAAATATTCGCTGGACTACATCTCCATAGTTATCAGAATCTAAGATTTACTCATCAGCAAAGTCCAACACTAACCATCAGCTGAGCTGCTGCGACCCGTGAAAACGGCAGTCAAGATGTCCTGGAAGTCCGCTTGGCGCATTCAAACAGATCTGTCGCTTATGGGTGCCGTAGTTGGAAAAGAGACGATATTTGGCTCTCAGTCATAATATTCATCAAGATTGTGAATATTCGTCGCGGAATGGTATTAACATGCATGAATTATACAGTTCTGGAGCCGTCGATGAAGTGCAGCAAATAAGCAATTTGTGCATACATTCCCTCATAAAATTTTCATCATTATCCTAAGCAAAGGGTACAAACTGTCACAATGGAAGTATTAACTTCAAGCTTTATTTTTCTCCAGGTAATACCTGTAATGTCTGGATACAAACCTGCTTTTTGTTAACACGAAGACAAAACTTCCACTCGTCCAACTTGTAAACTTTTCTGTGCTTATTCTGCCTTGATGTACCATTATATGAACGTGCAGCACTCATATCTTCCAGTGACAACGGGTGGGGATTGAGATTACCTTCCATGAAGATACATGCCATTTGTACAGAAACTTAGTCACACCTGTAAAAATGGTGTGTGCCTGTATATTCAGGAACACATTATTATTATTATTTTCATTAGGACTGCGGTCAGACTCTCCAGGTCTGGAAAGATGGGAAATGCAGGGAACAAGCACAAACAGGGTAATCTGGTGATTAGGAAGGCTAGGCCTGGGTCTCAGAGGAAGTAGAATGGATAGCAAACCATGGAGGTCACTCACGAACTGGACAGACAAGCACGTGTGTAGGACATGAACGGCGATAAAGCTAGATAAAAGACAAAGGCTAAGCAAAACACTCACTAACATCAACAGTTGGCAGGACAGACCACTGTCCGGAGTGATTCTTTAATCATCATGAACCTGACAGAAAGCCCTGATCTCCCATACACCCTTCAGGACAAGAAAGATGGGGTTCTGCTGGAGAACACATTCGAAAAACCCAAACTAGCCTGCATAAAAGCAGTAGCTGCCACTAGGCTCTCTCGCCGTCTCCACCCAATAACTAGGGTCAAGCCCCGTCCCTTAAGGCTCACATTCTCCAACGCAGATGATGTCGAGAATTTACTGTCGACACCTCACGTGCTTAAGGCTGAAGGGGGGTAGAGACACCCTCAGATATCCCACACTCCAACAGAAAGGCTCTAAAGGATCTCTTGGGTGACAATCGCGACCCCTACTTTGGAGGAAGAAACCTAATAGCACAAGGTATACCAGAAAACCCAGGCATCGAGAATATTCACTATGATTCTCGTGAGTGGAAGTTCCTCAAGAATGCTGTGAAACTCAGGGGAGTAATCACAAAAATCCTTTTGCAGATGCTCAAAAAGGACGATGACCCCGGACCGAGGCTTATCAAGGTAGTCTTTCCGGCCCTTCAGATGGCAGCGTCCATACCGGAGGCTTTCTTGAAGAACAGAAATTGCCTGCCACTTGGGTTGCGCATGCAGCCTGATGGGTCGCAGAACGGAAGGCTGCAACGAAAACAGAAAAAACTGAGACATAGGTTTCTCCTGACATATCTGGAGCTGACAACTGCTAACACCATGCTGTCTCCCAGTGACGGGAAGGCTGGTAGGGGAAATGGGGCAGCACTTTACGTCAGCTCCTCTCTGTTAGCTCACCATATCCGTATTCAAGAACTCGAATGCCTCGAAGAGTCCACCTGGCGAATCGTAAAGCTGTCAAAGACTGTGAAGTGCTTGGCGGGAGCTATTCATAGGAAGCCATCTGTTGACCTACAGCGTAATGACCAGATTCTACAGGCAATCGACTGCTCTCTTAAACCGCGGCGCTCACACACGCTAGTTTCAAATGACTCTAATCTACCGGAGGTTAACGTTTCAGATCACATGTGTAGCGGGAGTGATGATTACATTGAAGCCAAATTCTTCTATCTGATTCGGGAGGCTGGGCTAATGGAAAATGTGAGAGCGGTAACGACAGCCAGGGGGACTCAAACCCTATCCCGCTTAGACTGCGTCTTCACAAATGAGGAATTCCTGTTTGGCAGCTCAGTAATCCTTTCTCCTTTGGGCAGGGGTGACCGCGTTGTTATTGGCGTCCAGTTTGTCTGAGAAACCAATCTAACCGGACCTTTCAATGGACTTCGTCGGAACTTCAAACGACTTAACACTCCGGCTATTCTAATCATGCTGTAACAGGAAGATTGTGGAGTTAACCATGTACAGCAGGATATGAACACGCATTGAAGATCCATACTTGAAAAGATCAAGCATGCAATCAGTCAATCTGTTCCACTTTCGAAACTTAAGTGCTTCATGTTAGCTAAGGTAATAAGGAACAATACTCACGGATTGCTTGGATTAAAGAGACACCAGTGATATGAACACGATCGGCACTGAATATATTTACAGACAATTCAAACAGACTGGAAACATTTACACAAGGGCAGTGAGACCCGATTGGCAGTGGCATCAAGTCAGGCCTGCAAGCAGGTTTGTTTCCCACTCAAGAGGTCTGCTCAGTCATGCTGCTTCGTTCCGGTAGGTTAAAGCGGGAGTATCTCAACTGATTGGTGCAAACAGACTGATTGGTAGCCATGCTGAAGCAGCTGAGCTCCTGGACGACCAGTACCTGCAAATTTTTTGTCGTCGTCCACCTACTTAGGGGCTTACGAATAGTCAACTAACGAGGTATGACTATCGGATGTCGACCTAGGTGTTGGGCTTGTACAGCGCAAACTGCCACTGCTCACGAGGCACACCTCTCCGGGACCAGATGAAATCTGTCCGAGTGTATTCTACGAGGGGGCTTCAATCTCCCCTGAACTTTTAATAAGATATTCAAGAATTCTATGAGTCAGAGGATAGTAACCGACTCTTGGAAGCTGAGCCACATAACACCAATCTTCTAAGGGGGTCAACGGAGCAACCCAAAGAATTACAGACCGGTGACACTTCTATCCGTTCCTTCCAAAGTGATGGAAAGGTTAATGTACAATGGACTGAGGGATAACCTAGCAAAGATCAACTTCTTTAGGCCCCAACAACGTGGATTTTGAAAAGGGAACTCTTGCGTCACGGATGTGCTCACTGCAGTAGATAGGTGGACCAGCATTGTTGACCACCGAGGGCGAATGGATGCTATCTACCCAAACTTCGCTTAAGCGTTTGATCGTGTGAATCACGGCTGCTTTATTGATAAATTGAAACTACCTGCCTTCAACCTCCGCTCATTGTTCAATTTTCTTAATAATTATGAGTCCGTTAATTTGGAGTTCGAGTGAGTTTCTCTGTGTCTGAAGAAACAGAATGTCCTGGTATTATTCCCCGAGGTTCGGTGCCACGACCTCTCCTTTTTTTGATATAAGTAAACGACTTGCCTCAACGTGTTTCCGCCGAAATCCTTCTTTTTGTCGATGACGTGAAGTCCTGGGAGGCAATCAAGGGTAAAGAAGACAGGGTTTCTCCGCAGGGAAACGTTACTCAACCTCACAACTTTGCAGTCAACAATGGGATCAAATTTAACCTTGAGAAATGCAAGGTGGTACACGTGAAACACAATGCATCTCATGTATGTAGCCTCAGCGGCATAGAACGTGAAGCGTCACCGACAGAGAAGGATTTGGGCATCTAATTCCCTCAAGAATTAAAATCCTGTGCCAACTGTGACAGAAACACATTTCGTGGAAACTTGGCATCACCAACTGTTAGACGAATTTTCAGACAATTAGATCGTAAATGCTTTCACCAAATTTTTAGCATCTTCTTACGGCCTCACTTGAAGTTCCGTATTATCATCTCTACTACCCTTCAGAGGGATAAACTAAGCCTTCGAATGCATCAAGAGGCGTTCGACAAAATCTGTCCGAGGACTTAGGTCTAAAACCTAGGAAGAATGACTGGTTGCGCTGGATCTGTATCCCCTGGAATACAGGGGGCTAAAAGGTGACTTGATTATGACTTACAACATTCTGAGCACGCCTGATCATCCACTCTGTCACTTATTAAACCTTAACTGCAGCACCAATCTCAGAGGACATGCATAGAAACTAAGCCTGGAACATTGCAGGTTGGATATCTGGCACAACTTCTATTCCTTAAGAATTTTCAAACCTTGAAACGCTCCTCCTGAAGATGTGATCCAGGATACTACTTTCGAATCCTTTAAGCTCCGACTGGCTACCTATTTGGTATGTGGCTGGGATCCGCCCAGTAATTTAATTTTCACATTTTAACCGCAAACTTTCCCTCGTTCTTTGCTTGAACACAGGTCAACAATCACAAGGAGTAGTGATGCATGGATTGTAGATGCGGATGCTAGTTAAGCGAAAGCTTATTCTATTCTGTCAACAACCATTTGAACCACTTGTGGTTAGAAATTTGAAAGCGCCAAAATCCTGATTAGCGGTACTAGCATGGTTTATGTACGTATGTGGACCTTACTTCGATCATGACAGCTTCAAATTCCGGCTAAGTTGCTACCACTATGAACATGAATGTTTGTCGAAAAAAAGGTCGTTTGTCATACTTCATCCGAGCTGAAGTTGAGCCGAGGAACCGCTCGGGTGTGAACTCATTGCAGTATGATCATTGTACAGACAGGCTCTTTACTGCTGGACGTGACTCAATTATCAGGGTTTGGAACACTAAAAGATCTAACGTATGGTTTTTTCACTCTTCGCATAATATTTATTCTCTAATAATTTAGGAACCCCTTGTGCATACAATGGAACATCATGCTGATTGGGTTACAGATATTGTGCTCTGTTGTGGTGGGAAAAACTGTACGTATCGTACTGCTATTTTTAAAACTTTTTTCATGTTTGCATGAGGTCTTGCTTAGCTCATCGTATATTAAGTCTATGCCCACATAGTGTTCTTTAAGATGTGTTGCAATGTATAAGCCTTAATCAGAAGGCATAAAATTTTCACACTCTTCGGTTAACCATTAATTTCTTATACTTGCATTATCAGTCGTGGCCGAATTATCCGTTTATTTCCAACCTCGTCAATCTTCTCCCGGAACGATTTGGCTCTTGTGATGTTCTACTCTTCTGTTTTTGATAACTATTTCTTCTTTGATTTTGAGCGCTGTAGTGATTTGATTCTTTCATGTCCCTTCGTACGTCTCTCGCCAGATGGAAGTGGCACAGAGACACTGGTAATACCATATTTTTAAACCATTGCCTAATATTCATTACTTTGTATTTTCTGTTACTGTTTTCTTGGAATATTTTCGCACAGGTATTTGTTTTTGGATGGTTGTGGTTATAGAAGTAGTATGTTATAAGTTCTCTTACGAACTTTCAGCCTATTCATGATTATTCAAATAGTTGGGATGCTCGAGGAGCAGCTTTCATACAGTCAAAGTCCGCTTGTTTGAATGCCGTAACTTTCTAACTGTATTTTAGGTACAATGATTACGTATTGTGTTCAGAATTTGTGGGCTTCCAGAATTACACTTAAAAACCAGCAGTTCCACTTGTAGTGTTTAGCATCATATCAGGCAACATTCGAATCGTTTTGATATTATTTCCTCAACGATTTACACAGTTTTTATTCATCCAGTTAATTCACCTTCTAGTAGCACTATGACTACTAAGAATCTTACAAGTAAGCGAAGTTTTGTATCTTCCTCCTGGTTCTAGACAGTTCTTCATTGTCAGTATATTTAGTGTTGTTTGCTCGATGTTTCTTAAGTGCTCATAATAGGTATCTCTTGAACAGACCATGAATTTCGTAAAGTAATTAGAATGGTTCTGTATACCATCGTTACAATGATATTGTTGGGCGTGCAACTTCTCATTCTTATTAACCCCAAAATGAATATATAATTTTGTGATCATTTAGTTCTCACCTGTTTTCCTAACTGTTGAAATGACTGACATCCATCACGAAACGCAATGCCATTGAATTATAAGGCGTACACGATATGTGCTAAACTTTTGATTAGTTGTAATGGTTGTTAGTGGCTGCCTAAACAATCAGTTATTGTCCTTGACGTAATTGAAATACTTTCAAGCAGTTGATCATTCTGCATAGTAATTTTCCAGTCCGATAGCATTTACTGAATATTTATCATTCATAGCAGTAAGTTCGGTACAACTTTATAATTCAATGGACAGTTAGAATGAAGAAAATATCAGTAACACTGTAAAATTCATAACTGAAGTTTTGTAAAGATGAGTTTGTACATTTACAGCAACAAAAGTATGCCTTGCTGATAGCATTAAAAGCATGAGACATATGTGTAGCTTGGTTTTCTGTAGACTACCTGCAGCCATCTTCGATGTTTCCGTCTACTTTTCATGAACTCAGTACCGATTTCTAAAGAGGGACAGTATGTGCGGGTAACCGAGGTGAGATTTCTTGGTAAGGAAATTATTGGTTTGTTTGTGATCCTCATGTATATACTTGAATATGTGACAAGATACTTTTGTCATATTTACTTAAAAACTGTCTTTTTATTTTAGTGATATCCGCTTCCAATGATACAACTGTTAAGGTTTGGAATGCTACAAAGGGATTCTGCATGTCTACACTGGGAACACACAAAGACTATGTACGGGTGCTTGCTTATGCTCAGCAGCGTGAAGAGGTCGCTAGCGCTGGCTTGGATGGTGCCATATACTTGTGGGATATTAGAACGCTAACTGCACTTACACCAACCAACAATACCGTTGAGAGTATGAGAGATTTTTAATGACTGTGTAACTTTTTTTAATTTCCTCGTGTTCTTGACTCACAAAACTCACTATTTAGCAATTAACTTCAACCATTAAACAAAAGTCAACATCATAAAGTCAAATCAAGCATCGGTCTATGTTGCACCCATAGGATGGGAAGAAAAAAAATACATGAAAGCATTACCGGCTATGTGGTATAGTGATAATTATAGTTTATGGTGACCTAAGATTGAGGGTCCAGACCGAATCCTAGCACAGAGATGCTTTGGTCCCAGATGCCACACGTCATAGTAACATGCGAAAATAAGTGGAGGAAATGGAATTTAGGAATGAATGTTGATCAAAACATTCAAACATTGGAAGACGTCAAAGAGTGAATGCATCTGTACTGTTTTGACCGATTTTTCGCCTTGTCCTCAAGGGTCTTGGGAATCGAGTAACTGCTTGTTTGTCCACAATAATAGTAGTGTTCTGCCACGTACTGCGCTTTCCTCGTAGTGTCTGTACAAAGATATGTGAGTAATTATATTTGTGCCTAGTGATGCTTCTTGCCCACCTCAACATTGGTAGGTGAAACCAGGGTTCGAAGCCATGATCTATCGTTTCGAACTCGAGTACCTAACCCCATCATAGAGTTGCAGGGCGTTCTCATCTGTGAAAATTTATTATTTTACTAGGTTTTAGGTTCAATTTTGGCTATTCCACCATGTAATAGGAGGAGGGGGTAGAGGAAAGCCACTTATAAATTGTTTATCTTTCTCGGTCCATGTAACCTAGATCCAAAATGAATAGTATGATGGGTGTAAAACGACTAAACCTGGCAATATTTTTCAGGTTTTCGACACTATTTGTTACTGCATTACAATTACCTTGCGAAACTCGCTTTCATTACAATTCATATTCTTTTCTGTAGGTTTGACCAAATGCTTTCACTGAAAGCAACTGAACTCAGCGACTGGTCAAGTTTGTGTACTAGGCCCTCATCTTGGAGTAGAAACTGATGTTTAAGCAGCCGAGTCTTTATAGGGTTTGGATGGTTCTAAAATTCGTAACCTACTTGTTCAAAACCGTGAATACTAAAATCTTTGCAGAGGGCATTTCTCACTTCTACTGCTCAGTATTCTTATCTTATTAAAAAGCTAAATCAAGCACTTGTATCGCATTTTGAACATGTTGTATTCGGAAGATATTTGTGTTCCATGTAGTTCCTGTTTCGTGGTCTTTTTCTTTTTAAACCAAGGTATGGTATCATTCAGTATCTTTCTGATAAAAAAATTAGTATTGGAGTAGCTCTTGTTATTTTATACAATCTTGCTTCAGAACTTGCCAATAAAAATTACCAATATGGAGATTACATGTAATTTCTATTTGTCACTCGGTTACCACGTTGGTAATTTCGAGTGTACAGAAAAAAAATACGTTGTATAGTACAAGATTGTAGAGGCAGTCATACTTCTCCATTACAAAGGCTGTATGAGAAATGTGGTTAGTAATATCTTCTAGTCTATATGACTAGTAATTACCGTACGTTATTCATTCCCTCACGTGAAACATTCATTCAACGCGATACAAAATATATATGAAGTAGAATTTTCTGTATCGTATGTTATTCCTTGCATTTCTTTTGAGTAGACAGCTCTTAGACTATGGATTAAGACCTTTGTATGCTCTACGAAGCTTATTGAAGTCATTCATATGTGAATAGTTGGATATCACATTTTGCTGTATTTAGCTTTTTTTTTTGAGGGTATGAAAATTTGGAATGATCAATATGTTTGTAAATTTATCTCCCTAAACAGGTATATTTCTGTCTTCCTTTCTCTTCATTCAAATAATTGCGTCCCCTCTTATCCCATTCATTTGATGTCCTTTTAAAGCTCGCCCGCTTACGACAAATGATGAAAGTACCTACAGCTTAGCCATGAATCCACCTGGAACTGTTATTGTGGCTGGTGGTCCATATAAGAGAATATGGGTATGGGATCCTAGGTCTCGTAGTAAACCTTTCGACTTGCGAAGTCATACAGATAGTATACGTGCACTTGTCGTACGATCAAATGGTGAAGAGGTGAGTTTCTATGTCTTTGCTGTTGAGTTTTATTTGAATATATCATTCAATCTAATTTTTAATACTTATAGGGATCTTAGTAACTGTACTATAAGAGATATCTATAATTGGTGAGCAAGCTTATTTCATCTGCGGGTGATGTTTTGTCTGAAAATGATCTCTGCTTGAGGCTTTTTAAAGGAATGATTGTAATAATACAGGCCTAGCTATTCACTGACGAAGTTTCGCGTATCTAAATACTATTTCGATCCCAGTTCCATTTCAGTTACTGAGTGTAATACTTGACTTCAGTGGGTTGAAAAAGAGCATCTGCTTGTCATACATATTCTAGTTTGCCTCTCATTGATTGTTATCTGGGTTACTGTTTTTCGTGAAATTAGGAATCGCAGGACCCGACCGATAGCTGCTACCTTGACGTGGTGGTCGGGCTTGCATATCACAATGACCCAACGAGCTATGCTGGTGGAACGCTTGTTCCCTCGAGGCCCTACCATACCAGAAAGGTCTGTTGGGTAGTGGTTAGACGAAAAGCAGTTACCGTCATAGTGTAAATTGCTACACTATGATGGGGGTCTGAGGGCGAAGTCGTACTGCTGCTAGCTGGATGGGGTGTGACAGCAGTAAGGTGTTTCCCTTGGATGACCAGCAGTGCCAAGCTGATGCTGCCTTCTCAGTGGAAGGGGGGGTTAGAAAAGGTCGGCCCCAAAAATAACACACTCCACCACGCCCCACGGTCTGCCGGGCCGGCGGTGTTGGTTCACTTGTCGTTTCCTTTCGCTCATCCGGCCCCAAAAATACAAAAATTCAAAATAATCATACTCAAAAGGCTGGGTGTGACAGGCCTCAAGCAGATGTCCGATGGGCTCTGCGGTCACACAAATCTCTTTCAGGTACCTTAAGAAGAAATAGCCTTCCACGGTGTGGGCAGCCGGGAAGTGTCAACCGCCCTCACAACTCTGTCAGCACCCAAGTTTCTTCTGACTGCTATCCTCCTCCTCCATCATTACCTTCTAATCTTCCTTCACGTCTCTTAATTAATGATGCTGCATCATCTTCAATTTCTCCTACCTCTGCAGCCTTCGACAACGATCTGAGTCCACAGAACAGCGTCCCTGGTCTCCTTAAACCACGCTCCAAATTACATATTGGAACCTTCAATGTCCGCACCCTCCGTCAAATGGGCCAACAGGCTTCGTTGGCAAAGACTCTAGCAACTCGGGGTATGGATGTGTGCTGTGTTTGTGAGACACGCATACAGGACCCAAGTGTGGTTATTCACCTGACCTCTCCTGACCAATCTGGTGAATCTGCAAAATTCACCCTTCGAGTTTCTGGAGATTCGATAACTAGCTCTCGTGGTCTGGCTCAGAACCGAAGTCAGTGGCGCAGATGTATACACACATTATCCTCATCTTAACGAGGCTATACCGAATCTCACTATTTTGTCACTCCTCTTTCCTTTCTTCTCATACTTTATATTTCTTTTGACTGCATTCACTTATCTTCATCCTTCACCTCACTACCTTTTTACTTGATGTGCTGATATGAGGTGTGGCAACTCGGACCGTTACGCAGTAATGCCTGGTCCTATGTTGATAATGATGATGATGATGATGAGGAATCGCAGGAAGCTTTCATATAGTATTCTCAGCTAGTTACGTGAAGGTTTACGACAAGCTCTCCTCTTGAGTAGTTATGCCAAGTGATGTTTATAGGAGACATATTTAGCTCTAGTGAACCATTTGAACACCTGTTAAAGCCTATGCAGACAAAATAAAGTAAAAACCTTGCCCAAAATACATCTGTTAAACTGAATATGCTTTACAGCCTAAGAAAAGGAAACTAACAGAACTAAAATGATGGTAAAATAATAAAGAACTATATAAAGCCAAAGAAAATAAATGTATAAAGATTAACAAGTATTTAAAAATTTTGAGAAAGATTCATTCGCACCACTATGACCGGTTTTTATCCATATCGCCAATGCTTCTTAGCATTTCAAGGATCCCAAAGTAAAAGCCTACACTTTTCGAATCAAGTTTGTCAGTCTGCACACTAATGCCTTCTGTCCGACTGTATGACAATACAACCCTCACAACTAATCTTGGTTTCCTTGAATAAACTGTTTGTATTGATATTTAAGCGTGAGACAAAATCTAACCTGAAGAAGTTAAATAATTTTATCATTGGATAAGTTTCCAATTAAGTAGAAGTGTAGGCATTAAACATTTAGCAGTCTCTTGAGAATAAAACCTCTTCTGGGTTTCACGTACTTGAATAATAAATGGAACAAGAACGTATGAACAGTGTTATTAGATTCTTTACATTTTCTATTTATGCATGCAAAATCTTGTACATGTTTTATTCTCCCTAGAGAGGCTACTTTTAAGAGATTTTGAAAATTCAGTGGAATTTTCACTAATATATTTTCATCATTAAAATTGGTGTACTTTTCTATGATAATTTGATCCATTCTAGCCAGTCTGTCTTGAAAGCCTGTAATAGGATTTTGTTTTCAACGATTTTTCAATACCATTGTAGAAAAAGTTAGATATTGTATACGTCATTCCGGATAATTATCATTACCACTTATTCGCTTTTGATGACACTGTGATTGAAACATTGTGCAGCATTCTTAAAGTCTATTACACAGTGGTCATTGATAGAAGTCATTATTTATTTATTTATTCTTCTGAATTGACTTAGATTATTAGTGGAAGTTCAGATGGAACAATTAAAATATGGTCCCTTGGTATGCAACGATGTACAGATACAATTCGTATTCACAGTGAAAGTGTTTTTACACTACAGGTAATTGCATTATAATTTTATTTCTGAATATGTACAGGGATTTCTTATAATCAAAACTAAGTGTAGTATAACTTGTTTTTGTTTATGAAAAGTACTACGTGAAATACTAGTGAAATAACAGACTGTGCCAGTCATTATTTTTCTGTGACTGTGATTCATAACACTTAATGGTGACTGTTCTGAAAAACCAACTGAATGAATATTAGAACACGGAACCGCTTGCCAATCGACTGAATTCCGTATTTGTTTTTTGTTGAATGAAATAAACTGTTATGTATGTACAAAAGATTTGACCAAGAAAACATGGATGTGAACTACTTATCAGGTAACAAATAGAGTCAGTCAAAGTTATTAGGAACGTCGATGGTTAGTCGTTTACTTCTACAATCCCGTTGCGTCTAACAGACATGGTTTCATGTTAGTTTACTGAACTTTACACTGAACAAATAAATCTAGTTTCCAATCATTATTGAAAACCAAGCAGCATAACATTGAATAATGTGTCCAATATAGAATTTGGCTAGTTTTTTTCTTACTGACGATCATTATGACCACCCAGCCTATTTCGATAATTAACACGTGTCGATTATGGTGCGAAATTTGTGTATAATGATTTTAAGTGGTATGCTCATATTTCGTTCTTACTTAAACCACATTTGTTCTTGCTCGGGTTTGAGTTTTACGTTGCAGCTTAATTATTCTGTTATGTGGACGATCTTAAGCGATTCTAATTGCAATCGTACTTAATGCTAGTTGATCAATCAACAAAAAAAGATGTAAATTATTCCAGTATACATTGTTTAGCGTATTCTATCAAAGGCTGACACTCAACACCTAAACCATTAAATTAACGTGCCACAACGAGAGGTCAAGCGATTCGATCCTGCATAGTAACGGGTAAGTGCAAGTATCAAACAACAAAAAAATGAAACCCGTTGCAAGAGTAGTGACTCTCGTGTTCCATTGGCCAAATCGATAACGCTTTGGCGTTTGAAACGATGGGTACCGGACTCGAGTCTCAGTGAGGAGAACATCACTCACTGGGATGCAGGTACACACATCTGACGGGTCCCAAATAAGACGAGGCATGCGTCCTGGATTCTACTATGAGTCACGGCAACCCACCTTATCGCATATTCTTAACTCCTATATTTTAGTACAACTGTGGTTCATTCGTTTATCTAATGGACTGTCACCCACTGTATCGCATGTTTTAATTTTGTTTCTTTATTATGACCTATGATCGGGTATCTTTATAAACCCTAAATTATTGTATGAAACTCATAGCCTAATTTGGTCGAATTTCGAAAACCTCTATCATTTATTATTTTGAATTCCTTCACTAACTTTCACACTAGTCAATGGTATTACACATTACGTTTGCAATCAATATCACACAACGTCATGTACTTTGTGTATTGTAATGCATACACCTATGTAAGCTGTCACATATGTTGGTTTTGGAAACTGTAGTTATGTTAATTGAGAATCGTCGCATTATACCAAAAAGTTTCCAGGTCTTAAAGCAGTAGTTTTGGAAGAAAAGAAGAAGAGTGCATGATGTCGAAATTTGTTTATTAGAGTGTACATTTTGTTTCAGTTATCTTTTTCAGACCTGAGAAAATTCTTATTGTCATAACAAAAATAATCTTTATTATTTCTCTGTCGAACTAAATACCAAATTAAGGTAAATCTCAAGATCTGGCGAATAACTTGCTAACTGGATTATCGATTGTCCCTTTTTTGTTTGTCTCTGCAGAGCATGTTTTCAGGCCATATATTGAGTACACTATGTGTATAGTGTCCCTAAGCAACTATTAAGTAACATCGAAGTGCAGAAAGTAAGTAATATTTGGCCCTTAGATACTATCGATAGGGGTGTAGGATTCTTAAACCAAATATATATTTTCGCGAGATGGTGCAAAACGATCGTGAGAATTTCTGTTTGCTTGTAGATTTGGAGTGAAAAGTGTTAAGAACAATCAGTCAATACTGTTGTTAGTGCCTTTTATATCTCCATAAATATTTTCTTTGCTAAACATATGAACAAATTAGCGAATATATGTAGCAAACTGTTTGGTATACTTAATTCATTGATACTAGGTCAACAGTAACTGGTCAACTATTTATTCAGCTGGTAAAGATCGTAAAATTTGGGCTACCGACCTGCATAATCCTTGTCATTCTACATTAGTCGGTGAAGAAACAGATCCAGTTTTAAAGGTAAGTGTTCTATCTGTAATGGGAATTTTTTTCAGCAATTACTGAATATTTCGTTTTGGAGAGTAGTTTTTTCATAAATGAGTAGATACATTTTACAAGTACAGAACAATAGATCTGTAGTTGTCGCTCAAATTGGTGGTTAATAATGAAACGCTTTCCACCTTACGGAGCATAATACTGGATCAAGAGAATTATTGAAAGATGGATGTGACATGTTGTTTATGGATTTAAGATAAAAAGTATGTATGTTTCATGTGTGTGACGATACATCGAAACTGCATGGGTTGGGCGGCTAATTGTATAAATGTGTTGCTCTCTGATTCAGTGATGAAAAGCGAAGTAGTTGGAAGTGTAATCTTAGGATTATTCGCTCACAGCAGAAGGAGAAAAACAACCTGACAAATCTACTCAGTGCGAGCTATCTTGAACCACTTTTGGTGTATTGATTCCGTCCTATTAGATGCTTTATAAGTGACTCAGTTTCTTCATTAGATTTTTCGCACAGTGAAACAGTTATCTTGATTGCACAAAGTTTCAGACTCAATTTATTGTCCATATTCATACCAGATGATATGAATAAACTTCTCTACTTCCAACCAGGTAGGTTTCTCGTGCGAACTCTGCTCTACCTACTGAGGTTTTAGATATCTTAATGGTTTCATTAACCCTTGCATAAAGGTGTAGTTCATTCCTTAGCCCATGAACATGTGGCTGAAACATACTCCTCAACTTGTGCACACTCGTACAGTAGGTAGTGAGCCACACCTATTGTGTGAGGGCTAGTAGTACTACCTGGCTGCTCAAACCTCGGTATTTGGAGCGGACCTCGAAATCATGACGTGTACCTGGTTGCTAAATATCTTTGAAAAACCAGTGTCAAGAATATAATGTTGGCATTGGTGACAGCGCTAACTTTCTTCAGGTAGCTAAAAAAATACAATAGTTCGGACACCTTTGATTGTATTACTCAGTCAACATAGACAGTTATTGAGCATAGCGGTAATTACATTTAACTGCCTACCTGCTGTTCATGTCATAACCGCCTATCTCTTTTACAGCAGTAAACCCGGATTTCCAGCATCATTATTATTAGTATAGAGTACACCGTACTGTAACGTGAACATTTTGGTTTTGAAGATTAACTATGATATATATCTGAACTAGGGTTTACCTCAGGTGTGAAGATTCTCTTTTAAGACTCAAGGTTCGGTAAGTGTTTAGTTTGTTTATCTCAGTTTTCTAGGTACATTTGATGTATACAGTCTTTAAGTGACTCTAATGTGTTAGTTTAAAAAAAATACTAACTGGAGTTTATGGACATCTGATGTGTCCGTCCTGTAGCGAAATCGAATCGAGTGTATACTTGCTGTAAATTCTGGTGTTATTGTCTTATTACTTGATTTCGTAGAACAGAACCCGAGTAATTATAATTATAGATGGATTCTGATGCGTAATTCGTGGAAAAATTCCATATTGTATTTGAGTCTGTAATTTCATTGACCGAAGCTATTTATTACCCTCTAATACTTTAGAAACAGCTGCATGTGGGTAAACTTGACCGAACATTTTGCTATATAATTTATACTACTCATTCAAAAGTAGTAGTTTGTTTTCTGGTGAAATGTTTATTGGCTGAATTACTTGATTCTAAAAATCTGATCATTAGCCATTATTAATTACGAAATTTAGTGTGTACTAACATAATAAGACACGTTCACTGATTACTCAAAGCACATGACCACGTTTGACGTTGTGATGTGAATGCATTAGCAGTATTCCAGCTGTCCGTTCACCATATCAAGAGAAGCAGTCTACGAGAAGTCTTTAAAGCAAGAAATTATACCGATTCAGCATTGGTTTGAGATGTATAGACAACTGTAGGTTGATTTCCTTTAGTAAGCTAGTTGATATGTCTATTAAAAAAGGAATATATTTTTCCAGACTATTGATTAAGACAGATTCATTTTTGTGTATGTTACTGGCTAGTGATTACACTTATAGGACAGGATAATTTTAGGTTACAAAATACTGCCGGCATCCGGCATTCTGCCATGTAAGTTTAGTGTGGCACTCGAGATTAAAAACGTTATAATAAAGTGAAGAGTTTAATTAAAATTACACTCAAAACTACTCATTTCACACATTGATTGACCGGAATAATGACCACTAACGTCATTCACGTTGCATATAGCTTACATGGCAACATACTGGATATCGTCAGTGGTTAAAAAAAGGGTGAATTTTTAAACGTTTTCCCAATAATGTGAACAGAAAGCTACTGTTTGTCTGCTATCTCATTGAATCTGAAGTAAATTTATGTAATTTACTGTCTGCGTCCAAGTCATAATGTCTGTTTTGTGAATAACTTCGACAGGATATGATTCAGTACTATTAGGAATTTAAAAGTCTAGTAAACTGTATAGCACAAGGTGTAGGATTAATAAGCTTGAAATAAATTGTGAAATAAACCTTAGTACTGCTCGTAGTTGAATAGGATTAATAGAATAAACTTTATATCTAATCGAGTAGATATTAGTAATTAGGCCATTCTTATATAAACGAATAGTATATTTATTATAGGTAACTTAGTTTGGGATTTATTCCGTGTACCTGATGAGATCTTAAGACATTTTTAGTCATAAATTGATTTCAGTAATCTAACCATCGCAAACGAAGAAACGTTATACGATTTTCACCTCAACAGTGTAAATCCACGACTCTGTGAAAGATCAAACTCAGGACTAATGGTTCTTTTAGTTAACGTATTATCATTTAGCCACTCGTTTGTGAATCCTAAATTCAGCTTATGAATCCCAATTAGTTCAGATAAGCGAGTCAGCTAACCAGACTCAGGTGATTCAAGTGGTGTCCGCCACGGATGCTCACTGTCTCTGTTTCTATTTAAATTCGTTATAGATGTACTAATGGATATATATAACCTTAGTTACGTATGCATTGATAGGTATTGATCTACTCCCTGAAGGGAATCGAGTTGACTTGGAGTATGCAGACGATATTGTCATGCTAAATAAAGAAGCTGACAATATCCAGGGTCTCCTAAAGGCGTTGAACAGAAATCTGAGCATATTTAGCATGCATTTCGCATGTGTCAAATACAAGATGACACTCTAGGATTGGTCTGCATCTGCCAGCTTAAGGATAAGGAGTGAAGGGAAATGTGTTGATCATTTCACTTACTTGGAGTGTTGCATCAGACCGATTAAGGTGGTTACTGACGAAATCCCAGATCAGATACCATAGACCTGTTTGGCATCTGCCAACTTGCATCATCTGTGAAACCGACTAGCGAGATATCCGACTACCTGTTAAGGGACGAGTATACTGCCCTGCAGTTCGTTATATCCTGTTATACGACTGAGGCATGGCCGCTAAAGTAGGAGATATGAAGTGGTTACAGGATTTTGTTCACATGTGTCTTCGCAGCGTTGCTCGCGTATGGTGGAATCACCATATGAGCAATGTTGATGTCAGGCGAAGGGTACTAAGCAAGATAGGTAAGTCGATTGATAAGGTTATGAACCTTACTCGACTGAGATGGCTTGAACGTGTACTGAGCATGCCGAGCCACTACCTTCCTCGACGTTCAGTGGTAGAGGAAGTTGGATTAGGTTGGAATAGAACTCAGGATGGTCAGACCAAGACGTAGCACCCATCCGTAACTGTTGGTCTTAGCCGTATGGGAGATGCAGACTGTCTGACTAGGGTCAGCGAGACGAAAGCAATCGGTGGCTAAGAACTCTTGGTGACAGGGCTGAAAGTTGGTCACAGTGGAGTAGATGAATTCACTCTTTGACGTCTTCTAAAGCTTGAATATTCGAGTTGTTTATTGTCTGACACTTTTTTATATATTTTGATATCACTTTTTTTCCATTCATCTACTCTTTGCATACTACTGTGAAGTGGGGCTGCTTAAACTGATCCAACTGTGTGCTAGGTCCTACACTAATTTTATCTGTCTGTCTGTCCATGTACACTACTAATGAGCTCGACCCTAAATGAACGAAATGGCCGTTTGGTGTTCAAATAACTCTGCTCTGGTTGACCGAATCTATAGATCAGCCTTAGTGGTTTCTAACTACTCAAGTTGTTAAGTCGTAAATGTCTACTCTGTATTGAGAACTAATAGAAGTTGGAGAGTATAAATTACTACTTTGTCGCCTTACTTACAAAGTATGGGGTACAGACTTAAAATTTCTTAAATATTGAGGCATTCAGTAATCTCATTGATCAACATGATGTAGACGTAGTTTATGGTGTGACATAGGCTTATGTGAGTTTAATAAATAAAATGATCTTATTTTCGTTGTTGACTTGCTGTGAGACAGATTTTCCTAAACTCTAGTAAGAAGTATTTTCATGTGTAGTCAGTCAAACAGGCTTTAAGTGATTCAGGTTAGTAAGTGCCAATTGTTAAACTCTGGATGAATGAATAGGAAAGTCTTGGCTGTACTGTGTTCTCTGAGTTGGGTTGTTTAATCGTGAAGCTTTCATCGTCTTTATGGACGACATCACCAGCACTAACTTTAGTATGAAGTTACATCGAGTGCCTACGTCAGCATGTTCTGTCGAAGAGTGTCAGATATAGACCATGGATTAACTGTCCAGTGGGATGGAGAATAGGAAAGTGTCCAACATGAGAAGTACTTTTTTCATTCATCCATTTAATCCTTCTGATGATCTGAAATCTAGGGATTTATGTATACCCTACTTTTTTGGTAGATACTGATTTCGTTAATTTGCTTGCTGTATAATATAGTGATCTAATTACTTCAACCAATGCAAGGAAATGAGCCACACTAATTATGTAGGAACTGATGGTACTATCCAACATGCCCAAATCTTGTTAAGATGTGTAAAGTTCAAATTCATGATCTAATCCGATTACCTCAATCAATGAGTCAACGTCCACTGAGCGCAGACGTCTTCATAAACGGTTTTTACCGAATTATTTACAACGCATAAGCCATTTGATTCTGTACTTTAGATGGTAACGTTTTCTACAGATCTGTGTAATTGAGTTCAAAAACTTTCTTATTTGTAAAAGGTGAAGCGATTTCAACTTATATTCGTTATAGATTTGTAACTATTCAGTCTTTAAAACTATTGCGCTCTTCTGATTATTCTGTTCAATTCTGTACAAAATGTTTAGCTTCTCTTACATGAAAGCCAGAATCAGTCTTACTTATGGTGTGCGACGTGCAGTACAAATGTATCTCGCTGGGTAAGTGGATCACTTTTAATCTATGTTATGATACGGTACCAGTTTTTATTTTTAGTTATATCGTACGTGTCAACGGATTTATTTTTCAAGTTATTTGCAATAATTAAAACTGGTGAAATCATGATGTCAAAAATTGGTATATCAACGAACACACAGAAATTTTTTTAGTTCTAAAACAGCTTATGTGTATGTATGAAAGAGATCAGGGGGACAATGAATCTTTATCTCAACGACATCTTAACATGAAGTGAAATTATCAAGTAAACCGTAATGAAGTTAGACATTAATTCTTGTTTGAAAATATGAAGTCTGAGGTCTGTCAAAGTTGTTGTGAATGATAATCAGTAGCTGAAATTATGATGTTGAATGGTTTAGTAAGGTAGAATTACTAATCTATGTGGATATAGAATAAGTGGTGTCAACTCTGTATAACGCAGATGTCAGTTGTGCAGGTAGTATATATGAGGTTACAGAAATCAGTAGTTGGACAGTTTATGTGTTATTATTTCTCTTCTGACTATGGTAATTAACTTAATAATTTTTAAAAACAGTTTAGCAACAAAATATAAAATCGTGCACTACACTGTGACTCATATGTATCGTACGAGGGTTATTTTACTATCTAGCATCCGCAAACGGTTTTAATTCGAGTGCGGTTTACACAGTTAACGTATCGCTAGGAAACCAATGTACAAGGAGGCAGACAACAGAGTTACTCTTGGCATAGTCGTGTATCGGCAAACGTTGATCTTTGGGTCGTAGCATTCGACTTCTAACCCGTAAAACACAACTTCAAAATTAACGCCATCTTAGGTGGTTTGAACCTCAAGGTAGTATCATAAGCATTCATGATAACTTACTATACGAATGTGCAGTGTTTCTGAGTTTCCTTTTAGTGTTTTTTAAATAAACATCTATGGTTCTTTTGCTATCTTCTGTGTTGCTTTATTCAGCCTATTAAACGTCCCAATGGAATATATGGCCGAACAATCATGGATCATGGAAATTACCCGAACCATTGTGAGAATAACAATGGTAGTATTAGCTGCAGAGAATATTCATCAGATAATCATATGATGATATCAAAATGTTCTGAATTCCTAACAAGTCCGTTGTCTGTTTCAATATCAAATGGCTTGGATCAAGAGGCATATAATTCTTTACCACCTGATACTAATGAAAACAACAGTAATAGTAATAATGTTGAACAAAATAATCATTGTTCATTGCCTTCAAAACCTGATTTCATTATAAAAGGTGAGACTGCTTAGTCTTTAGTAGTATTATTATTCATTGTTCAACACACAAGTGTGATTCGATCCTGTATCAAGAGATATGCAACACAAAGTTACACATATATTTAGACTCACTTCTGGTAATCTTTCAAGCCAATGAGTTGCGTGATGTGCATCACAGTAATCGGGAGGCAAGGATCAACTACAGGATACAAACTTAGCGTAATTATGGCTTATTATAAGGCTCCATGTTCAAGATTAACTCCCTTTCCACTTTCCTCAAGCGGTTGGCGTAAGGGAATAATGAAAACTCGTTGCGGTCCCAGAAATGGTTTAGGTAAAATATGTCCAAGCCACCGGACACCACTGCTTGAATAACAATTTCGATAGTATATTGAAAAAAATATCGCCAAACTGAATATGAACTGCATGGTATTCCCACTGAACTTGAGTCGACCAAATGGATTGCAGTGCAAATAATGGTAGTTAATTCACGAAAATGCTGAAACCATACTCAAACAACAATGGTCATCTAAACAGTTGAGTCCCAATTCCGAATAAAACAAATCACAAATCACCTGCCCAGATCTTTGTGAAGCACACATTTTAAACAAGATTATCAGTTCTGTTTCGCTATCCTGATCAAAGTAAATAACTTAGGAAGTGAATCATTTTTGTAATGACACTGGATTAAACACTTACAGTTCTTCCTAGTCTGATTGCATGCTTAAATTATTACCCTTTAGGTTTAATAGATATGAAACTAGCAAATCTACTTCTTGCTTGCCCTAATCATTTTCTCATATTATCTAATATACATAAGTTGTGGTTTTTTTCCACAGGTGGATCGCCGATTGTACAGTTTCATATATGTCCTGAGAAACGTTTCATACTAACGAAAGATAGTGAAGGTGTGGTCGCTATTTACGATGTTTTAAAAGTAAGTCTAATTCTTGTTTATTATTGTGTTTACATGAAGCGTTTTTGTGAATTACCAAGGCATTATTTATGACCTGTAAATATATAACATAGATGAGTAGTTTAATTGTGAAGTAATTGTATTTAAATTACTCTCAGTGCTGAGTATTATCGTTCCGAAGCGAAAACTGACACTTAGCTCTGAAATGGATAGTCAATTTTATATACAAGTTGTAATTACAACCAATAACTCGTAAAAAGTCAGGGAACAAAGACATTAGTGAGCATTATTTATTTCCCGAGCAAAAATTGAAACATGAAATATATTCTTGTATCTTTTAAGGATTGAATTAGTAACAAAATGAGATCCCTGATACATCCGTTGAAGTTTCAAGATTTTGTCTCACAAAAAATGACATTGTCGTTTTTAGTAAACAATTAATAGCTGAACCCGTGGTGATGTCGTATTGAGGAGGGAGAGAGAGAGAGAGAGAGAGAGAGAAATAATACTTTTTTCAGAGTACCGACACAAACTTATTGTGTAACTTTTAAACAATTTGCAATTTATTCAACTGGCCAACTGAAAATACCCACAACATCGAGTCATACACACAGGAGCCCATATGGCAAGTGTAATCGATCAATTCGGGCCAATCAACGACGGAGATTTACAAGCTATAACATCAAGACTATATCTGGTACTGTTATGTTTAAATGACTGTTTTAGATACTTATTTATCTTCTTGTTTTATCCCCCATACACATACAGGCATCAATGAGTGAATGTCTGGGCATTGTCTCATTTGAAGATGAAATAAAGAAACGTGAAAAACTTATTTATGTTCCAAATTGGTTTATAGTCGATTTAAAGTGTGGAGTAAGTTTTTCTTATGATCTGTACTGTTTTTCAGAACTGGTGAGACATTTTGTAACTATTCTTTTCATCTGTTTTACTGTTGATGATTGTTGCAGGTAACAAGATCCATTAGTACTGATATGAGAGAGTACTGTTGATGAGTACTGATATGTTATCACCTTTGAATGCAGAGCGAATAAAAACTGTTTACTTTTGAGCCATTTCATTTTTTTCAGTTTCCCCTATTTCATGATGAACTGCCTAGAGTATCCATTTTCCTTAAGATTCTTTTCAATAATCGTGAAATCTACCTCATGCTTGTCTCTTGAAAATATAGCGCTCTTGCTCTACTGGACAGTGTTTTCACCAGACTTCACAACAAATGTGAGAAAAACTATGTTAGTTCATGTATCAACCAGTTTATTTTTCTTTTTGTCGATAGTTTATTCCGTAGAGGTCTTTGATCTTGATTTATTCGAATCTGTCAAGGGAACCAAATGAATAAAGGATGCTATTAGTATCAGCTACAAAACAGGTAGTCTGTAGCACGAAACAAAGTTAAAAGTCTCCTCTTTCCTACGGAATTTTTGCCGCTCAGACAGTATCATGAGTTGTCTAAAAATATATTCCTCTCATACGTATATCTAATCCGTAGTTTTTATGACTATTCTGTAAGAGTTTGAGCTCCAAGTCTAACTTAATCATTTTAATAGGGAGTTTTAAAACAATTCCAGCGCGTTTAGAAAATCATAACAAGATTTTTCTAAAAGTTTCGCTGTATGCCCCATTTTCACCAGAATATTCGGGTCATAATTTTGTATCCTAAGTAAAGAATCTGAGTATTCTGCTGAAGAAGCTGTAGCATACAGCTAGGGGTTCAGAAAAAATTTTGTTTTAATTTTCTAAATGCACTGAGGTTATATTAAATCTTACTTTTATGATATTTTACCCAGAGCCTAATGCAGAAACTTTTACCTGGTTCTTAATTTACACATACAGAGGTTGCTCGATTCAGTTCGACAATTTAACAGCGAAAAATGTAACCGATACTCAGTAGAATTAGCGCTAAAATAAATAAATCCTAGTTACACTTCTGGAGACAACCTACTTGCGAAATTTATCGTCAATCAAACGATTACCAAAACTTAACAGTTGGTCGACGAGTGTTACATTTTGCGTGGAGACGTTTTTAAAGTGTGAAACGGAACGCCTATGTGACTCATTGTGAATCTATCTGTTCTGTTTTCGGAACTGAATTATGAATTAAATTATCGGCACTTAGAATTCACTAGAACTAGTATTTCAAAGTGGTGCAATGAGAAAAAGGATTGTACGCATGTTTTTCTGGTAGTCCTACAAAATAGTTCACACAAGCTCAGTCATACAAAGATGAACTTTAAAGAGACCCTAGCAACTATTGAAAATAGCCAATCAGCTTTAAATATGTAATCTGGGCTGGTAGTCATTTCCAAAATAAAGAAACATAATTGGTTATCTCAGCAGTTGCTAGGGTGACCTTTAAAGTCACTGCATACAGACAGTATCAAATATCTGTATATACATTGGCTTAATTTACATGATAACAAATAGGACCATAGTAAAAGTCAGAGTCGCAGAACAGCACTAACCAATGAGAATATGGTTACACATGCAAGCGCCATTCGTGACTAGACCAGAAATGAACTCATGCGTGCATCACATGTCTGTCTGAACAGTCACACTCATCATATCATCTGTAATTACAGCATCATCTATTTCTTTGCTATGGTTTCATTTCTGACAGAAGTGCATGGGTGTTGAAATTAGCAACGGGATGATTATGGATAAGGAATAGCAAAAAAATGAACGAAGAACCGGATGCGTGTGAATCTGTCTACGCTGTCATGATCTATCCTAGCACATATAACCGTGAACCCCCTGCCCTAATCCCTAGCGTACATGAGATGAAAACTGTTGACTAGCTGAAACAGGAGAACTTTGATTTTCAGCAATTAGTTTCTCAAAAATGATTTAAACTTTCCCTGTTTGATAATGAACTTCGATATTGTTATCCATTGAAAAATATACTAAAGACAAACATTTATTGAAACTTATGTTGGACAGCTGATTTGTTGAATACTGCAATCATTTAAGCGTTGACTAGCCCTTTGGAGGTATTTTGAAATGAGAAAAGGTGAAATGTTTTACTAACACTCCAAATATTAAAACGTTTTGTTGAATTGTTTTCTTTCTGTTTTCCGTTTTACAGATGCCAATTATTCATCTAGACGAAGGCGACTGTTTATCTGCATACATCAACGCTTCTGATGCTGGCCTTTTAAATGAATTCACTGATTATGATAACAAAAATCCAAATTACTGTTGCGATACTAAAAGTGAGTTCCGTTTTCATGTGAATCTGTCAAACAGACTACAATTTGGTAATTTTCACTTTATTTATAGGCATTAGAATTTAAGTACACTGCGGGCATCTTAAAATGGTGCTTTATTAAATAAAACTATCTCAATCACTGATTACTCAAGTCTTAAAGAAAGGAAAGTAATTCCTTTGTGATAACCGTGAGGGAATCAGTTTGACTAACATAATGTCTAAAATTCCAGGTTATATAACTATCATACGTCTATGTAGAGCTCGGTAACAACAAACCTGAGACAACCAGGTAAATTTCAGACCTTTATGTGGGTGTATCGACCTGGTATTCAAACTTCGCCGGGTTCTGGAACACAGGTACACTTGCTTATACGTGACCTGAAGGTGGTGTTCCATTATGTCGATCGAGAAGTTTTATGACAGTGTGTCTCACGTAAAGGAGTGCCAGGTAAGTACGTCACTCTGTTGAAGGCTTTGTGTTCGAAAACCCTTTGGCGTGTTAGAGCCTATGATGAGCTGTTATGTGAGTTGTGCACATCGAGGAGTCGCTGTCAAGAATGTCCATTGTCTCCATTCTTACTCAGCTTTGTCACAGACGTACTTCTAGAGGTCTCGCTGTTATCGTTCGACTTCACATAGATTGATCTTTTCACAGGAGAATCCTTGCTAGTTGTAGAGCATGCAGAGAAAATAGTCCTGTTAGGTGAAGACGCTGACAAGATGTAGAGTCTTCTGGACGCATTGAGTGGCTATTCGAAACTGTTTGGGATGCATTTCTTGTCACCCAAATGAAAATCGTATCTCCAGAACTGGTCTTCAGTGGCGCTGCATTTAACAGTGGGGAATGAAAGACTTGAGTACGTTGATCACTTCACTTGCGTAGGAAGTTGGATCAGTGACCGACGAAATCTCTTCTTAGATTCAAAGGACTTGATTGTTCCTCGCTAAATTACACTGTTGTTGGAGCCGCTGTGATAGCTAATTGCCTATCAGGGGTCGAATGTACCGTCCTGTGGTTCTCTCTGTTTTAGTATATGGCTACTACGATATGGCTATTTAAGGTAGAGGTCATGAGGAGGCGACCACCGTTCCTTTTCTAGTATAGCCTGTGTCGCGGTGTCATCACTTCAGTAATGTAGAAGTCAGATGCAGAGTTTTGGGTCGAAGAGGAAAGTCAGTTGATGGGATTGTGAACCTTTATCGACTGAGGTAACTGAGACATGTGTTACGCATGTCTAGATACCGTCCGGCTCATCACACAATGTTAGCTGGGGTTGGCTTAGGCTGGAGAAAGGTTACGCGCTGCCGGACTAAAAGATGGCATCAGTACACGAAGTCTCTCACTGCTGATCTGAGCTATGTGAGGAAATGTTGACTTCCTGGTTTAGGTCTATGTTTCAACAGAAACCACTAGTTTGAGATTCTAGGTGACATAACTCAGAATCGATCTCAATGACGCAGATGTGACCATATGATATTTTCATTTTCAAACATCATAGCGAATTTGTTTATTGTCTCATCGTCCCATCACAGCCGACCTGGGTTCTTTATGAGGGGGTAAGCTTTTACTTCAAAAACGTAATACAATAAGCTCATGAGTTCAATAACATTACTGTTGAAATAAATAATATTTTATCTCTATGTACATGATTGCATGGTGGGTGGGTTACTTGACTCAGGGTTTAAACATTACTTGTTTAGATGAAAATAAAATGCGTCGTAATATTGTTGTTTGCTTACGAAACAGTGTAATAACACAAGACAAGACAAAAAGTGGATAAATATTTGTTATTGTTATCATTGTTGAAGGCGGCGTTTAGAACATCCGCATATCAGTCTTTGGTCATGTCAGTGTATATTCTTTGACGGTACTTAAATGATTGATAAAGCCTATATAACAGACATCCTTCACTACTCACATTGGCATAAGAAAATGTCATTACGATATCTTAGGAAGTAAGCCATTAGTAATTCATTAGGTGTTTAACTTGCATTATCAGGGTATTTCAATATCCAGTTAGTAATTTTCGTACTTATTGATGATTTCATGTCGAAAAAACAGTAAGTAGCTAAATAACTACCATTACACTAGAATCATGCTAAGGTCTAACATGGATATTTTTTATCTCACATTTAGTGACTTCATAACATTCTATAGGGAGGGGTTGGAGGATGGTTCCAGTTTGGCATGGATATACATCAAAATATTCCTTAAGATAGTTATGCATATTGAGTTGTTTCTTACCTAAATCTACAGAAGTTTTTGTTGAAAACTTACTACTGGTTTTACAAATCCAGTCTTCATGATTCCAGGAGAGCTGTTTGGTATATATAAATCTCTGTAGTTTCTTTCTTATGAGTTGGTTAACGATAAGAAGGTTTTGTAAGCAGGATCGATCTTTTCCTGAATTCGGTTGGTATATGACAGACCTGTCATAATATTGTTAGGTAAATGGGGATTCTTTAAATAGTGACTTTATCCTATTTTTTCATGAGTAACGTAGTTGAGTTGAGCTTGAGAGTTTTTAGGTTGTATCGCAACAGAGGAAGAAAATTACGTTTACCCCTTTTTTTCCAATGATTTTTCAAAGATGTTATTCTTCTATTCTAATTTACATCTAACTGAAAAGATAAATCTTTCATTGAAGTATCATCAGTTATCACTTTTTAACTTGTTGATGTTATCAACATTTTGATAATGATCTATTTGTTTCCCTTTTTTGCTTTTTAATTTTCAGTTAATTATGGTTTCGTATTACTTAGATCACTGTTTGCTCGTCGGTTGGCTGCATCTTCTGGCAATAATAATTTGGATAACGGTATGTATGTGTTTTAAATGTGTCTAGATATCTGTAAAATTTGATTCTTCTAAATATTCTCTTCTTTCATCTCTTTCCATTTTTATGTCTAAACATCTATCGTATCTCTTTTTTCCCTCAGTTGGTTGAAATCCTGTGCAAAGTAAAAGCATATAAATATAATTAACCTTTTGTATGTCTACGAAGACTAGGTTGATGTATTAGTAGAATTACTAACTGCTGAAACGATGAAAGTGTAGCCACAAATTTCTGTTTGTCGAATCAGATAGCAGAAATACGCTACAATTGATAATTTTATCTGGGTTTAGTTCGACTAACTAAGCTCTTAAATCAAATCGAATTTCACTAGACGATACAGGAGGAAAAAAAATTTGACAAGTTGCTCAGATCTATACTCAAGCGTACTACTCATTTGTTCAATCCTTGATGTGATTTTAGATGCCCCATGTGATTAACCTACTAATCAGTCGATCTTTTTTTGATTTCAGATTGATATTCATTATGGACCGACATCATTTGGAGAACCATTGGAAATCTGTGTACACTGGACAGCTATTTTGTCTTGTTTTGGGACTCCTCATCATTGCTCACCAGTGACCTCGCCGGGGATCAAACCCAGGACTTTCAGGGTGCATGGTGAGCGCGTTGCCATTGAGCCATTGGTTTGGAATTCAGTAGTCCACATTTCCTGCTCCTGTCAGTTCACTATATACTGCGACCTGCAGTCAATGCTATCGTTGGGTAACTGTCCTCATGTCCGACTTGGTTGGCCCCGAAGTTCTGATGAGAAGTCGTGACCGATGGAGCCAACCATGGCGGATATGAAGACAAATACTGAACAACGACATTGTACTGGCCACGGAACCTGAAGGTCCTGGGTTTGGTCCTTGTCGAGTTCATTGGTGCGCAGTACTGAGGAGTCCCATACTAAAACGAAACAGCTGTCCAGTGTACCCAGGTTTCCAATGGTTTTGCAATTGATGTCAGTCTATGATGAATATTAACATGAAATCAATAAATGCATCCACAGAAACCTCCAAACTGAACTTTTTTGAGTTACGAGTCCATTTCGAAGGATCCTTCAGCATATTAAAAAAGCCTATACAGTCAAGCCAACTAAAAGCACATGTACAATTGATATCATATATGTTTATCTTAAAGTTCACTTTCTAGATAAATTCGCTTTTTTGCATGCGAAAAACTGAGGTAAATAACTTCAGGTAAAGTCTAGTTGTGGAAGTGGATTAGTTTTATGCTTTGCTTAACGGTGCACATTTTCTGTCACTTGGAAATAAATGCGGCACTTCCAAACATTAAAACAAGAAAATAACCATAGATCACTGGTTCGCACTCTAAATGGAATTTTTTCATATCTTAGTCCGATTAGGCTCTAATGCATAGTCATTACTATCGTCATCATCTCTTTACTGGTAATACTAAAGTAGGTTTTCATCATCTAATGAGAAAAGCCTTTTGTGTGTAAACTGAAAGTGACGTCTTCCTTTTCTACTGTAGCTTTGATATTTAGTGTAGGATTCGACCGTGTGCACAAGTTGACAAAGGTTATCAGTTACAATTGATTAGAGCGAGCGAATGGTTGCCTTTGTAACTGAAGTTGTAACATTACAGATTTCGTTGGTCTTCGAGAAGTCGTTTGTGATTGACTATCTGCTGCTCTGAGTATGCATACTATTTCTTCGATTTACATTGCACTTTTTTGTCGCGTGCATTACTCACAAAACAATATTCTCCACATCTGGTTAATACGCTCTGATGAGTCTTAGGGATATTATAGTTATCTGTCTTTACCCTACATATTAAACAAGCGACGTATGCCTACGATCACTAACTGGTTCTTGAAAATCGTGTTTACCTTGGGTTATTAAACTTCAACTTCATCGTTTTTTTTCTATCTGGTTGCTGTTTAACACCATATCTTAATAAGACATCCTTCAATTCGATGGTATACTTGTTAAAAATTTGTTAGACACCACATGTTATCGAAACATGATTAGACTGAAAGCTGATCATCACCTCTTCTGATTCTCAGAAAAGTAACTTTAACTTAGTGTTTACTTTTAAGCTTTTTGATATACTTACTTTCAATATGTATAAGAGATTGTTTTTCTTTCTCTAGATCGTAACGATTTGAACACAGATCAAATTTTAGATATCCCTGGACATACACCAATTATACTGAGGTATTTCATATTGGTGTAATTATCGCTATAATATTATGTAATTGTTTGTTTACAGTGATGGTAGTGGTCGACCACTCGATCGACTGTTAGCTCGTGATGCTTCTTCTTTCAGTGTACGATTACGTCGTTGTAGTCCTGAACCGAAATGGGTTATGGAAGTTGTAGAATCTGTGAGTGATATTTTGTTACTTACATAAAAGTAGCCAAATAATTTTTTTTTCCTAGGTTTAAATATTTCTTGTTTTGTTAGATATGTATGTAAATAAAACAGTCATTGGATTCAGGTATTCGTTGGATTGCTTTTATCATACAGTAGTAATCTGATAGATAAAGCATTCACCTTCTTCTGCTTGAATTTCGATCCATGTGTTACAGTTTGAAGCGTTTGTCTTAGCATTAGTCTGATTGTAATAAGTTCTGCTTATGTGCTTGACTTGAAACTTTACAGCCTTTACTGTTGATATTGCTTAAGCGTTTTTCTCTGGTTATCAGATAGCAGCTATCACAGCTATTCAGATTATAAACAAATTGTGGAAACTAAGCTCTACATACTCTTTGTCTACTGAAAGTAGACTGCTAATCTCCTTCTGTAGATTTCTAGTTCACTAACCTTAAACTTTTTGGAAATCTTGGTACACATTTGACTTCTGCCAGTCATTGATGTAATCTTACTCATCTTTGGTTTACTTCGTGTGTTAATACAATTAGTTATTGTACAAATTTAAGATTATTTCCCCAATCCTAGTAGTTCTCTATCACACTCCTTGTTTTTTCATAATACCTTTTCTTCGGAATCTACCAATTTTGTTTAATCTGTGACGGCCTGTTACTGGTTTTGCCTTCGACTATTATCGTAGCAGGCTGGATATAGTCTCAAGCTTTTTGACGGATATTAACGAGTGGTGATGACCTTTACTTTCATTTCTATCTGTCTGAGTTGAATAAACAAACATACTCCAGTAATCCTGTTGTTGGTGTTAAGATCAGTGTATCTGAAGTGAAGCTACCAGATGGTTAGCGTTTAGGAAATTGTTCATAAGGGATTACCATTTTCTAAGGCATTCCATCCTAAGAAGAGCGATGTTTCTGACCAATTTAATCGGTCACGAATGCGGTTTTGGTATTTTTTCAAAATTAATGCAAGTTGCGAATTATTTTAAAGGTAACGAGCGTTACTAAATTAGCTGAGATCGATAAAGTGACGTTCTATACAATGGTTGTACAAGTTTTACTCCATAAAGCATACCCAGTAGTATTCACCAGAAGTTATTCGCGTCATCTGTGTTACAGTCAATAGGCATACAGTTGGAAACATGTAACACTCCTAACCTATATTTGGATTTTCTGGTACCTCACTCCACATGTTATCTGAACATTACGTATGCAGAAAAGATACAATGCAAGATGGAGATGTAGTTCCTTAGCTTAGTTTCAAAGAGTTCTGAGTCCCAGCCCGATTCATCTACTATGGCTTGAGAAATGGGGTGATATCATAACCACTCTTACAATATTTTTGCCTCATAGCGTGTACCAGGTTGTCTACAGTATTTTACAATATAAGATTACGTATTGTATTATTGGATTGTATTTCACTTCTACCTTTATAGGGTTAAATGTATAAACCTGCAAAACATGCTCTATATGCTTAAAATAAAAAAAAACAAGATACAGGGAGTTGGTCACTGGTGACTGTATCAAGTATATATAAACATGAGATTTTCTCATACTCTCACTACTGACGAAGATTTTAACCCAGGTTTTATCACTTAGAACATATACATACATTTACAAACTAATACCGATGAGGAAAAGACTTCATTTGAATCTTCATTATATTTCGATTGAATGTAGAGAGAGTTACGCTTCTATACCAGAAGTAAGAGTACATTTAGTGGGTGATTACTTCGAACCTCTTTGTAAAACTGGAAAAGTGTTAGATTAGTATGCGGGAAGAGGGTTTCAGTTTTTAGTCGATACCTGATGGCTGACTGACTAGCTTATCAAAAGTACAACTCAGTTTTCAAAACCATCTGAGTAAAATTTTTCACTTTACAGAGGTTGCTCTTTCTTGCGTCACCACTGTTGATTCTTTCCTGTCGATACGTTAATAGTTTAGTTAACCTAAACTGCGATGAAGCTACATTGATCATAATTCGGTACTAAACGAAGCTGGTCATCATACCAGCATTTATTGCATCCTTACCTTACCTCACGCTGCTTATGTTAGTAGGAAATCATTAGCTACCTGAATGAAGTTTATCAAGTAAAAAAGGTTAATAATTTAAGTACTTGTGGGTAGTAAGTACTTTATTTTTTCAAACATGCCAACTTACCATATGGTTTTCTTTATGTTTCTTTTGCATCTTTGTTCCTTTTATTATGCTCTCTAATTTTCCGGAGTTTTACTTTATTTTTATGCTGTGTTCCCATAACTTTTATTTAAATAATTCTTATAAATTAAAAAACACGGTCAGTACTTTTTCAAGAGTTAAGTGATTTAACACAACAACCTTTACGTTCTTGGTTGTTAAAGAATATTCGCAAACAAAAAATAACAAGTTTCGCAGAATGTAATGAATTCATGGTATTTTGTTATCTTTCTCCTAAATACACATGGGCTAAAGCTACTTCCAGAGTTTCTCTTTATTAGTTTTTAAGCTGCTTGGAACCCTAGTAACTGATGATGTACCTGCTACTTATAGACTTCATTCCAAAACGTTCGCCACCAAGGCAAAGATCAAACTACAACCAGTCATCATTAGGTTACAGCAAAATTTTCATTGAAACATTCATTTTTTCTCTTTTAATCATGTAGATGAAAAACAGCCAGTCACACATGACACCATACCATATATATATATATACCTTTTTCATTCTTTCTTCCAAGAAATTTCCAGCAGAACATATTGATAAATGGAAGGTCTGAACTGCTTTCAATTCCACGCTTCCATTTAACCAGTCAGAAAAATAAAAGTATTTGGTGAAATATAACTCGAAAATCTGTCATTCGGGAAAAGGTGCTGGGATTCAAGACTAATAATGTGTTGGAAGGAAGGGGTACTCAACGTAAATACTGTGTACTGATTAGATGTATCAATGAAGCAGACTTTTAGATTACTGACTTTTCATTCTTGGTATATTTCAATCTCCTACTGATTGCATTTTGTAAAAATCAAGCGCCAGCTTGAGACAAACCAGAAGCAAAGCCGAAGATTAAGAAGGTGTAGGTTTTGTTCATGAATCTATACGAAAATGAAGATTCCAGATGTCGAAAGGTTTTCAAGAAAACCTAAAAAATATCCAAAACTTCTATGCACCTCTCATATAGGATGTTTCCGCGTCACCTAAGCGATAATGTCACTCATATTTCTTTGTACACCAATGGGTAATCGTTGTAACTGTTTGTTCCTCAGTGCTGAGCACTTTTATCACTCTATCGATCAAGTTTTTGCAATATGGCCACGGAGTGAATTGACACAACACCTCAGTTTAATGCTAGAATTCCATTTTACCTTCGTCGTGTGGTTTCTTCTGATGTTATATTTCTTTCTTCATCCTACCTGTTTTTCACCTCTACTTAACGTGATAAGGTGACGTGTGGTAATTGAAAGCATTACAAATTGATATAAGGTTTTATTTGTATTTTTCACTTAATGTTTTTTCTTCAAGTATAATCCTGATATATGTTTATTTTAATTTTCCTGTATATGATTTTTAAAAGTTGCTCCATGTGTGTTTTATTTTGTTATTAAAGTGTAAATTGCCTAAAGCGGTGCGTATAGCATTTTGTCTTGTACCTGCAGTTATTGAAATCGATAATCAAGGTCAACAGTAAGTTTATTTTGTTTTCCCCACATTTGTTATTTGCTTGTAGAGGTTAAAAATTTTTATAAATTTTATACTTTTTGAAAAACGTCTAATTTGAGGACCTTATCCTCAAAAACTGATGTGAAATGATTGATCCATCATGGATAGTTGTTCGATACCACTACGCAGTCACGACTTTCATTCGTCATTTATTCTATGGCAGTCCATCTATCTTGAAATATTGTGTACACGCGGAATATGAGTCATCTATTTTAAATGCTATTTAATGGATCTGGAGTTTAAAACTTTGGAAATCCAAACACGCGATTCAATTTCGAACACACTACTAAAAGTAATTGTTTATGGTCAACAACAATACAAACGTAAACATTGAATCAAGAAGTATCGAGATGTTTGTTCATTTCTCGTAGATACAGTCACAAGTAAGGTGTATGGCTTAGCTACAGAAAATGAATATGTACGGTTTAACTATCCAGGTTAAGTGTGCACCCAAGTATGAGAAGAGATAAGAAATTTATGAAGCTAGAAGATAATAACTCAACAAGAATGACTTAAGAAGCAACCCTGACAGCTGCTGAGATAATCACTCAGGTTTCAGTATTTATGAAATAAAGAAACGTAATTGGCTATCTTAACATTTGTTAGGGTGGCTTTTAAAGTCAATCCTCAACAAATTGAGATGGAAGTGAAAGTAAACTTAAAAATGGACTGATTTCTCTAGGTCCTTCAATACCCGAAGACACTATGTAAAATAAACTAAGTAGATGTGCGTAATACTACTTATTACCAATAGTAAGTAATATGAATTTCAGAGTATAATAGTTATATAAGGATGTAAACAGTAACAAAATAGAAAATAAACTGATTAACCTTTTTCACACCACATATCTACAGTGATAGTGAGTTTCGTGAAGATGTCACAATGACTTCATTAGTCTATTGGTTATGTCTGTAGAACTCCTTGATAAGGATGGCCAATAAGTTCATCTGTACGATTCACTTCTTGCCTCTCATATTGCGAAGGATCTACGTTAACGTGATCTCAGAAAAAGAACGACTTCGAAGGCGGTAGAATTTGGTTAGCCTTAGATAGAATGTGGTAGAAAAAATATATACACATCACAGTATCATCCATTATTATCAACTGATTTCTTGATTTACCCTAACTATGGGACTGTCAGCCAATGTTGTAGACAACTAATCCTAATTCACTGGATTATTATTTTGCTCAATCTCGTTCCCATCCACTTTAGCTACTACGGATTTTCTTTGCCCTGCACAAAATAGACTTGACTTGTAGCCTTAAACACAAAATACCGCTGTTATTGAGTTTTTAAAAATGTAGCGTTCTTGTTTAGCAGCTACAAAGTCTCAATGATATAGGGGTGTTTTCTTCCTGATAGTTACGTATAGGTTAAGTAGTTCGCACACTGCAAGACTTTATCTCATTTAGTTTTCCGTATTTTGTAGCATATCCCGTTAGTGTTGTGACCTGGTGCAAGAGTCTTTAACCAATTATTCATCTGCATTATTTGTTTATTGCTGAAATATAAAGAATTTCAGTGAAATCAAATTGTGACGTCAATTCCTTCTTAGATTTTAAAAATATTTTGTTTACTTATTGTCATTGTATGATATTTATTCACTTTTACGTGTGCTAGACATGTTGTACCACTGAATTCATTGAAAAGGGACTCACTAGCCGCTAATGATATCCTGTTAATACGTAAAGTAATGGAGCACGTATTTCAACGGTTGTATAAATTAGCCGATACGCTAACTGCCAATGGTACATTGTCAAGTCCACCGTCGCCTAGATCGGGTGAGTTGTTTGTTCAACTCTATATTTTATTATTTTTGATGTGTAGATATGCTTATCTTTTAAGATGTAAATTTCTATGTAACTGGTTCATCGTTAAAGATCGCTTAATGGTGCACTTTTCAGTTTAGCATACATTGGAAAGGGAACAGTCGGAAAAATGAAAACACTGTGAAATGAACGCGAAATAGGTTGATAAAATCAATAAGTATATTTTAATAATAAGGCTGTACAACTATGAGTACCTGCTATCCTGAAGTCCTAAAAACTATTCTCGCGAACTGGATAAATAGTCATTAACTTGGTGGTATGTTTTCAGTAATCCAACTTAAAGCTTCTTGCAAGTGAATTCGATGATATGTCTCAATAATCTCAATTGATACTGTCTCTCAACATCAGTACCAAGTGTATTTCTTTCCTATAATTCCATATAATTAACTTTTAAATTGTTTATTGAAAAGTTCTATCATATCATCTTTTTTTTATTGATGCTAATTTGATAGGCAAAGAAAAGTCATGTGAAGCACTAGTGAAAGTGTTTCTACTCCTGTTTAATAAAGGTATTCTATTTCTGAAATGTCGTTATCTTTATTAAAATTAGGAATCTGATTAAATAATACCGCCTAAAACCACTTAAATTTCGAATCGACATCTTCTTGTAACTTTACTATTAGTTAACTAGTGTTACCGAAACTTTGCATTTTACAAATAGATGTTTAACTGCTCCACTTTGTTGTTGATTTCTTATCCTAGGACAAAGTGACGAAACGGGTCAAGTACTTCCTCCCAAGTCATCTGCCAACCCACCATCCAGTTGTGGTGCAACTTCTGATCCTCAAACACCTGTGATGGCACCATTAAATCTACCACCGGAAACATTGCAGGTGGATTTAGCGCGAGTAATAGCTGCAGCTTCATCTGGTGACCCAAATCCTGAGAATATTATTGAGATATGGTGTGGAGACCAGGTGTGTTTAATTTTATCGGTTGGCTCACTTTATGAAACTTTCTTTAGATAAAGGAGATCAATGTAAGACGTGTTGATTTAATAGGTGAGGGTCTAGCGGATTCTCAAGGTCTGGTATATGTAGGTATAACACTAAATTCCAAAACAGAGAGTTCTCTTCGACTGAATCCTAGTTGTCAGTTATCTCTGCGTTGTACTGCAATTTGGATGACGTGAAAAGGGAATTTTGGTGAACATTGTCTAATGTCTTAATCAAAGGCAAAATTTCAGACGTGGTTATCTTTGCGAGTGATTTTAGTGCTCAAGTGAAGAGGGTGAATCAGATAGAAAGGAAGTTATCTAGTACTTCCAGAATCCTAGCCATACGGACGGTAAATGGCGATCACCTGCTACAACTGTACTCAGACAACCACTTGTTGCTTTGTAGCAAGAATTTCAGGCATAAGAAGAAATGGTTTCTGATATACCGTTCAATGACCTTAAAAACTGGGTACATTTAAACCATATATATAACTGTCAATTACCTCTGGAAAGGGTTGGTGGGTGATTCCCGTCTCTTCTGGAACTGGTGCATAGACATTAATCATGCGTCGACTCGAATGCGCTTGTCTGCACCTAAATTGATGTAGGAGAACTATGACTAGGACCAATACTTACACCAAACTATCTTAGCAACTATGTGCGGTGGTTGGCAGTGAAGGTTAAAGAGATGGAAAAGGCAGCTACAGCAGTTTAAATTAATCAAGGGAGTTGATATGAAAAAGTTAGTGGTTAGTGAAACTATGGGAAAGAAAGATGGGTTTTTGATTTCTTCGTAACGGAAACAGATGGGCGGAACACTACGATGAACAGTGCAACTGACATCCGGCTACTCTTCGCCTGGCTACTATCCGGTCATATTTTAAACGAAACATTAACGTAGTGTCTATCTCTTGCAAAAGCTAAGGTTGTAAGTAATCTGGAACTAGAAACGGCAGCAGGCTTTCATAGGCTTGGACCCGTGGCATATAAAGATAGTGGTCTTGGATTATTAGACTTGTTAACTGATGCATACGAATCAGATACGAGCCCCCTTCCCCCCCACCTTGACTTGTCTCAACCGCTGACTGTCCCAGTCTTCGAAAAACGGGGAGGATACTCTTGTGATAATCACAGGTGAATAAGTCTGACGAACACGGGATTTAACATTTTAGTCATGTGACGCTTAAGTAAAGTTTGAAAACTACGTACTAGGCGCCTTTGAGACCCATTCAAAGATGTATCTAGTCCTTGTCAGGTTTTGAAACAGACGCACTTACTGGTGCCCAACAATGCATTTTCTGACCTACAAGGGACATTCACATCATTTGATGAGAAAGTTTTATGGTAGTGTCTTTCACTGGAAGGTGTGTATGTGTGCTGCATCACCACGGAAAGCTTTATACTAAACACCCACAAATGTGTTAACCATTGGCTCCCCGTTTAAAAGTTAACTATTGTAACCAGCGAGCTTCAGCTTCAGCAGATGACTTTCCTACGTTCAGTGATGTCGATCAAGGACGTAGATTCCTTCCATTCTTACAGACCCTATGGAACTCTCCCTCTCCTTATTTAACTTGGGAAGAATTGACCTTCCTCAGGATATTCCTTAGTTGACCAATAGTACCTAGATGACATACAAACTCTTTCAAACAAATTGAGTAACATCTTAACAATCTTTGTGATATGTTCTAAGCCACCCAGTAGTAAATTGTTGCTTTTGTATTCGCTTACATCAATTCCTCATCTGAAAGTGCGTAGTAAAGTGGATGTTTATATTGATCATTGTTTAGCAAAGTAACCCTCACTTAATGCTGTTCAAAAGTGTTTACAATTACGTTTTGCTTCTTCATTCTCAAGTAAATAGCATAAGGTGTTTGAGCTTAAACAGAGTGCACATCAGAGTGTTGCATTAGGTATTCATCTTTAACTCATTGTATAGATTAAACGAGATTCTCATTTAGGTAGAATGTGCTCAAAAAAGTATTGGAGGTAATTTAATCTTCGTTTATTCGATTTTGTCAATATACAACTCTGTGAACATGAGACATGACGTTTCTAGAGTTCAAGTTGCCACACTTGGCATCCAACATAAGACAACAGATTGAGAAATGAAAATCACTTCAAAAGTTGTAGAAATTCATAAAAAGAGAAAAAGAGGGAGTTAAAACAATGAAATGTAATATCATAATTTAGATAAAGATAATTAGCGGTTATATTTACTCTGCTGCAATCGACTTTGATTTATGTCACCTGTAGTTTTCCACCGCTGATTTCGGTTGTTATGCACCACTTTGTGAAACTATTGACAATGAATTAGTCTCTTGTATTCGTTTGGTTCTCATCCATAAATCTTCAGCTATGCAATTTTATGTCAAACTGTTTTACGATGGTAATGCAAAAGCTTAAGTTATAAAAGTAGTCAAGAATGAATAATTAACTATACAGGTGATCTCTAGTTCAAATTGATAATTTCGTCAATGTATATCTGTGGTAAAACCACTTTTAAATCATACTTTTTCTTCTTTGAGCATATAACTTATGTATGTTTTTCACGTCATTATAGTCTGTTAAATTGTTTCTTCTTTCGCTTCATTTACTTCTGTTTTCAGTGTCTTGATCCTAATATGAATTTACGCAGTGCTCGTTACTTTTACTGGAAACAATCGGGTGATCTAGTATTAAACTATTTAGTTACCAAAGAAAGTAATGTTAGTAGCACTAATAACAACAGTATTAATAGTAATAGTACTGGTAATATTGCCAATACATCTTTTCTTGTAAACAGTTTTCATGATGTCAACCTTAGAGGAGATGACAGTGTGAACGATGGGATGACTGTAAGTCCACTACTAAAATTGATAATGAACATCAATTAACTAGTGGATTACAATCGGTGAATATCAGTAGCTGATCATGTTTCGATGTATGCACTGTATTCAAAGTAGACAAATTATTAATTTCAGTATTATTGTTCTTTTACAAACATTATCCTCTCCTCTATCAGTCAAAGTCTTGACTGTCTCTACATTAAACGTGAAAACAACGAAATATAGAAAAGTAAACTTCATGCGTACATATATACACCTCATTCCTTTGTATATTATACAATGTAAAAACAAGAAATAATACAACACTTTAGATTTCAGATGCAAATAGATTGATAAACACTGAGAAAAAAAGGTTCGGAATTTTACGATAAGAAATATATGTATGTAAATTATTATATTTTTAGATATTTAATTTCATTTTATTTTATTGTTGCCGTTTTGATGACTCTTCACACCGATGTATAATATATTGACGTCTTTCATTTATTGCCTGTTGTTTCTTATTATCTCGATGTGTGTATATGCCTTTTGTTTCATTTTATTCAAATGTTATTACTACCAATATTGCTATTGACTACTCCTAGTTTAGTTAAACAATAATTTGTGATTATTATTACTGGACTAGTTTATCCCTTGTTTATCAGGTGATAATAATGATGATAATACTAGTGCTAATTATAACAATAATCAATAATAGTAATGATAATTTTTCAATATGTACAATATACTTGCAAAACAAGTAAAATAAAGTGGAGAAGAAACATATTTCGTAGTTGATTTATCCTTTCATTTTCTCCCTATCTTGCTTTTATATTAATTTCTTCAGTGTATCATATGTTGGGTGTTGGAACTATGCATATGCGTGAAAAACAAGATTGAGTTAATTTGTTTAACTAATTTCATAATTTACCCTCCTTGGTGATCTGATTTTTTTTTGTTGTTGTTTATAATGAATAAATTAATTGAAGCTGTTCAACTTGGTCTTGTTTTAATTCCTGATTATGATGAAATCGAGCCAGTATATTTTTTATAGCTAGGCAGAAGGAAAAGAGATTTTTGGCAAAAAAAGACATTCTATTAGACAATGTACTGAAAACCGAGCAATTGTGAAAAGATATTTCATTCTAATCTCGATTTTGGCAATACAAATATGCCTTCATGGTACATCTCAACCACAAGTACAGTTTTTAAGATATTGGCTTCCTGTTGATTGCCTTCAGCCAACTAACAATTATCCCAGTGCATCGCGATAGTAGGTCTCCGAGCCTGGTGGCCATATTGCCGCTTGAATGATTGGTACTAAGTCATGTTTAAAAATTCATCTTGAAGATTCTTGTCATAACGGATCAAAAACAGCCTTCCTCTATTTAATACAAAGTCAGTGATAGGTTATTTTCTACTTCTTCATAAACAGTTCATAGAAATGTTGCTTTGGCTACATTTTTCTTTCTATGACAGTAACAGTTGATTTCGTGAAGATCACGTACAATTAAAGTCGGTCGATCAACAGTTTGCCTTTCAGTATTCATTCCAAATAGTGTGACTAAAGAATAAAGTTTATATCTTGATGTATTCGCGTTGTACATGCTGAACAAACTGATCACTCATATAATTTACCAAGTCATTTTATATAAAAACTGGAAATTTGACGTACGGTCAAATTCCATAAAAATGACCTTACGTAGTTTAGCATCAAGAAGGATTATGAAGAAGGAACAAGTTTTGAGACCAATAATACGCTGTTAGTTGGTTGGAGGCGATCGGCAGCAATCCATGAACATAGGTTTCGCGCTTCTGGGCACTCGCTGCCAAAGCGCATCTGCGACCTGCAGGGAACTAATGCCACTCGAAACCGGGTCACCTAGTCTTGTAGTCAGCTACGTCATCACTGAGCTATTCGGACAGCAACTGCCCTGTAAAACTGAGTTAGATGAGCTGATGGGTCGCTGGAGGGCAACCAACCTCAAGTTCTCTAGAGTGGACCGAATTCTGTCGATCATTTTACCGAAGGCTCGGTGAAATCAATGAGAATGGAGAACTGTTTGCAGGTTTTTGCGCATTTAATGACTTGGTGATTGGAAGCAGCGTGTACAAACACAAGGATATTCACAAAGCAACATGGACTTCACTAAAATCAGATCGACTTTATCTCAATCTCAGGAAAGTGGAGATGCAGACTACTGGACACAAGATCAAGAAGAGGAGCGGATGTAGATTCAGACCACTCACTGTCTAGTAAAAGGAACCTACCTTCAAAATCAAGTTGAAAGCCTTCAAAGAAGTTCGTGATGACAGACCACTGTTCAAGTTCAACACCCAGAACACAAACTGAAGGATAAAACTACAAAGGAAATCTTCACGTAAACCATCACAACAAAATGGGACACATTGACCAACATCCCTAAAGAAACCTCAGTGGAAGAAAACTGTAACTCTTTGAAAGGGACGTAGAAAGAAACCTGCACAACCGTGTTAGGAAGGAAGAAACAAAACGAGACAAGGAATGGATCTCGACGGATACATGGAAGCTGATAGAGCAGGGAGAGGAAGATGCAGATGGTGAGGCAGAAGATGAACCAGTACAGTGCAAAGATGAACAACGGAAAGAGGAACTAAACACAACCTATGAAACACCACACTGGACAAAGAAGTGAAGAAGAGTGCTCGCAAAGACAAAAAACACTTCTACGACACACTGGCAAGTGAAGCAGAACCAGCTGCATGTGGGAGGGACAGAAACCTGATAACACTATATCAAATAACCAGGTTACTATCTGGGAGGGACGACATGAACACAGACGAGACCAATGAGAGATAGCGAATGAAACTTAGTTACCAAAGAGGATAAACAAAGAAAACGATGGCCTGGCCACTTCAATCGACCACCACCTGCAACTCGTCCAGAAATAACATCAGCAGCTCAGCCACAGAATTACCAGTGAACACAAGCTCTCCGACAAAAGTAGAAGTGAAGTCCTGAACGCCATAAAGTTGCTGAAATCCGGGAAAGCAGCAGGACCAAATGGAATTCCACCAGAAGCACTGAGAACGGACACAGGGACAACAACGGACGTACTCACACCACTACTGTAGAAGATTAAGAAGGAAGGAAAGGTACCTGCCTATTGATTGGAAGGAGGGCTACCTTGTCAAACTTCCAAAGAAAAGAGACCTAAGTCTTTGCAAAAACAAGAACTGTGCGCATCAAATTGCAGTGCTACGCTACGCATCATCATAGAACAAAGTATACAATGGCAGTCCAGTCTCTATCTCTACTTCATCGACTTTGTAAAGGCCTTCGACAGGGTAGACTGAGAAGTAATTTGACAGGTAGCTGCTTCAACACTACGCATTTACTACCACAAATCTTTATCGACCTCATTCAACAGCTATATGATGTTACATGCCAAGTGATCCACAGAAGAAAGCTCAGTAACGTCTTTGAGGTGAAGACAGGAAGGAGTAAGACAAGACTGCCGCCTTCTATCACCGATGATATTTCTGATTGTCATCCACTGGATAATCCAGCAAACACTGGGGGGCGAGAAGATGAGCATACGCTGTTTCACCGATGAAAAGACCCCAGAAGAAGATTGGCATTTCGACAATGATGGTGATTTATGTCGAATGTCTTGTAACACAAACTCGAAGATCTACAGGCGAAAACTAACAAGTTGGCAGAAGAGGTGAGGCAGGGAAGCGAACACAGGACTTCAAGTGAACGTAGAGAAGACAGAGGTGATGAAGATACTCAACCAACAATATCAACAACAAGCACAAATCACCACCAATGGGAGAAACCTAAAGAAAGCCGTATCTTTCACCTACCTAAGCAGCATCGTTTCGACTACAGGTGGCACAGACCAGGACATCAAAGTAAGGATCGGAAAAGCAAGATAGGCTTTCATTAATCTGAAACCAGTGTGGAGGTCTACTGCACTTCACTCAGCATAAACAACAAGATCGGGATTTTCAACTCCAATATCAAGTCACTGCTTCCATATGGTTCAGAGACTTGGCGCGTCACGAAAAGCATTTCCAACAAACTGCAGACATTCTTCAACAGCTGCCATCTACGCTCACTCCATACTGAAGATCAGATAACCAGAAATAATAAGCAATAAGGAACTCTGGCTGGCAACGAACCAACCAGGAACCTATCGCCCAACAAATATGCAGAAGAAAGTGAAGATGGATCGGGCAAATACTGAGAAGACCAGCTGGGGACATCACGTGCCAGGCCGTCGAGTGGAATCCGCATGGGAAACGACGAATTGGGCATCCCAGGTGAGAGTGACAGCTATGAGATCATGTGAGGAAGAAGTGAAGACTTCAGGGCAGTCGTGGAGATAGGTTCAAAATACTGCAGAGAACAGAGTGAAATGGCAACGCGCTACTGAAGCCCTATGTTCCACTAGGAACCCAATGGACGAGTAATAATAATTTTGTTGAGGACTAGTTTTAGAATTTATTCTTTTTTTATTGCCTCTTCCATTTTTCATATAAAATTTTTCACCAAGTAAATGCATTTCCCAGGAAAATGTTATCTGATTACACTATCTGAATTCATAAACCGACTGGTTGTTTCAGATAACCACTTAGCCAGGTTTTCAAAATAAATATCGACCACTCATAAAGAATAAACACAAGTTCGGCTTCGATGTTCATTTCATCGATAATTCACTGATTGCGAACATGTACACAAAGTTGACAATTAATCTTTGATATGTTAGTCGAGTCGAATCGAAATGCACTCAGCATTCTTGTGCACATTTGTGTATCAGGTGAGGAGCTACACCTATTGTGTGATGACTAATGATACTACTTGGTTTCCCAAATCTCGGTAGACAAGACAGGGTTCGGACCCGTGTCCTGGTTGCTATGTCAGAGCTCCACATGTTAGCCTAAAACTGATCCTTATCTTCCTGAATGTTTGAAATGTCTAAACCTCCATAATAATGTTAATAATCATTTTAGTTTTGAAAATTCTTTAAACTTCCGAGTTATAAAAAGAACTGTAGAACTAGTGCTAACTCACCTTGCACTGTTTGTTCATTAATTAAGAATAAAGCGCAATCGAATCGTTCTGTCTTGCTCAAATTGATTAGAATCTCATAAATTTGTAAATCATTTCCATCTATGATAATTGGAGAAAGCAATAAGCAGAAATATTGATTTAGAAAATCGTCCATATATGATATTTTGATTAGAGTAAGTGATATGAAATGCGGTTGTTCGCGAACAATCTGTTTTATCCACTATTGTATACTTCACATAGCATCAGAAATATCAGATGATTTTATTCAGTGTGGCATATTTACAATAAGTAAATACTTAAAATGACTTATTTTGCAATATGTATTTGAAACAAGCAACTAGGTAATTCAGATTTCAAATGATCTCTTTATCTGAACACTTTATATATGTATTAACGGACACCATCAGTGCTCAAGTAAGCAAAGTGAAACAGTTGAAAAGTCATCTTGAAAATAACTTCGATATTATGTACTTATGAGATTACAAAAGGTGATCATTTGTTGCTATTTCCTCCCAACAGTTACTCGCTTTTGACCACGAATAAATTTGAAAATAAGAAAAGAGAATATCTCCGCGAGATTTTTTCACAAGTTAAGAAAGCCTTTACAAACTTGAAGCAGAACTTGACAGTTTTCGCTCAGAAATCTTTCAGATTAGGGATCAAACATTATTGCCCTGAATAAATGATTTAATTACTAGGATATAAGAGTGAGAGATAGTTACATCAAACTAAGTTTCGCTTTCGGTCAAAACAGAAGATAAATCTTCCCATTGTAGTAACACGAGAAACAGCTCAAATAACATGGTGTTTAAGGTAGTAAGATCATTTAGACATCCAGTTTTTAACTAATGGTTATGAGCAATATCGAGAAAACTAGGTAGGTTTCAGACTTGAATGAAGGTGTATCGACTAGTTTCTCACTTTAACAGGCTGTGGAACTCAGCCACAGTATATACTGACACTTTCTTAACCTAAAAGATGGATTCAGTTTCTGTTAAGAGGCTATATATATATATATATATATATATATATATATATATATATATATATATATATATATATATATATATATATATATATATATATATATATATATGTCTGACTTCGTAGATAGTGTAGATAAACTACGTCATCCTAAGTGAAACTGACTGCTTGAGCTCATCCACCTAACGGTCATCAGTTGAAGTGATCATATCCAGGCGTGTTCAGTCTTATTATCGTGATTGATTTGTATATAAATGTACTGATGGATGCAGTCCTACTTACCTCTAACGTACCATGAATTGGTTCACTCAATGTTCGAATTACAGTAGGCAAGAGACGAAATTCTGGTGAGAGAAAGTTTCGAGGAAATATAGAATCTTGAGAAAGCTCTGCCAAACTCATATATTTGGCGAGTGTAAGGTGATGGTCCGTAACTAGACTACACCAACGTCTTTATGGATAGGTGGCAACATGACCTATTGGGTTGCATAATTCGAGTATTCGTGAAGTCTCATCAGATCCAACGGACTGGTTGCTGATTGAATTTAAGGACCTCTGCGAAACCAACTGACGTAGATGAAATATATGAATACCTATCAGCATATGTGTGTACTGCATAGTAATCCGCTGTTATATTAGGATGGTGGTATTTCACGTTTGACGCTGTATTGTATGAAGGGGTTTCAGGTTTTTGAACGTAGATGTCTTTGTAGTAGTACTCACATGTGCTGGAACCATATAGTGAACGATGATAGAGTATTAGGCTAAGAATGTAATGATATTTCAAACAGTCACCCACTGACCTGACGAACACACGACCAAACACTTTAGCAATTTAAGATTAGGTTGAAATAAAGCTAAGGGTAAAGATATTAGGATTGGGGAGTAGTCAGTGAAATTTTCGATTTTTATTTCGGGGTGTGCAGTGAAGTGTAAGCGGTATGACTTCAGATACAAGGAACAAGTGGTTTTAAATTCTTTGTGAATTGACTGAAAATCTATCAAAGCGGTGCAAATATCTTCTCTCCTTATCTTTTTTTAAAATTATGAATACATATCTAATCTTCTCTTATTTGCTCTCTTCGTTGAAATCCTTATTCATTTTAATACTAGTTAGTTTTCAATTACTTTCTCTTGAATTCCTACATTTCTACGCTAATTTGTTCTTTAATCACTCAAGAAGGCGTAATTTAGCACCAAAAGATGTACAAGCAGGTAGCGAATTAAAATTATCTACCAAGGCATAGCAATGTGATAACTGGATTTAACAAGTAACGTGCAGGCACGAAAGACCTGGTGTTTAATTTAATCTGATAGAGAAAACGGAATACGCTATCAGTTAGTTACGTCATCATGGATAAAAAGAGTTTTAGTTGAAGAAGTCGTTCGGACATAGTTCATCATCAGCATGCAGTGGAAAAAATAATGAAAACAGTCATCTAATAAGCATAGTAAGAAGACTCATAAGAATTGCAACGAAAATAAGGGATGATTTGATTTGATTTCAACTAACAGTTATGACGGTAGATTCAAACCGATCACTTGTATCCGAACACAGTTTCTTCGTTATCAGACTTAATTTATGCACACTTAGCAAAGCAAATATCTTCTTATCCGGTTATCTGCTGATAATAAAACTTAGGATAACAGTAATTAAGAAGGAGTTTTATCATGCGCCTCTTTGGAAACTTTGTATTCTCATGCTTTTAACCATATGTGTAAATACTTCGTCAAGCAAGCAGACGGCTGTCCTAATGCAACCAGTAAACTCACTTCCACAAGCATATTCGATCTTTATCATACTATTTCAAACATCAAGGAATTGTATCGTTTTTTTTTCCTGACTGTGGCAACCACCATTTCATATTGCCAGGAAGTTTAACTACTGTAGTATGGTGTTTCAATTCGACGATTGTGTCGAGTATCTGATTAACCACTACACTTTCCATCCCAGATTGTAGTTGAATTTACATTATTTTTTAAAATGGTGCGTAGGCAGTCATCTTTTCCTCTATATGCTTTACTCACATTATCATGAATCGTCTAGGAGTATTCATGATGAGACAGATTATCCTGTCAATGCTTTCATTTGATTAGACACTATTCGGAAGGAAGATATTTTAGTCATTCTTCAAATAGTGTTCCAGCTTAGCCTGTTTTGGCGATATGTCTGAACCAAGATCCTAAATTGTAAGCACTTCAGCATTCGTGTTGATTTTTCGCATATAATTTTTTAGATATATTTGTCAATGTCCGCAAGTACATATATTAAGTCTTACATTCAGTGAAAATATCATCCATTTACCGCTAGCGAAATCCCATCTGTTACATTTAACGTTTGAAACTCTAAACTCGAAAATATATCAGTTTTCGTTTTAAGCATGATCAGGATATGAATCTGAAGAGTCCTACAGGAATGTATGTATGCGTGTATTAGGGCTCCGTTTCCTTTATTTAGTTATTCCAAGCAGACAAATATCACGATAGTACTATACTTTGACTCACAGAGATCGCAACAATTTGATCAAAATTTGGCCTTCATTAATTTTCTATAAAAATTAGTGGATTTGCTTCCAATCAACTTGGTAAAAGAAATTTAAGCAGCGCGACTTCCCCATTTTTCCTTTATAAATTGCAATTCAAAGTCATTGAGTTTGATGAAAACCCGACAACCTTGTTCTCAAACTGCACGAACTAAATCAGTGTTTTTCAAAAAGGTTGGTAGATGTATAAGTATATCCCCTTTCAATCAGAAATCGTAAAATCAAAAAATCAAACAGCAGTTTTACAAAGTTTGGTTACCCTAGACTGTAAACACACAATTGACTGACTTTATGAAGTAGATGCCACTTTCATCCATCAGCATCAGTTTTCACCAGGTGAATGAGGTCATTCTGAACGCCAAAGGATCTTCCGATCCTCTTCGGTCAAGCTTACCACCTGATTCTAGCTAGCCATTCTACAGAAGCAAACAATATCACAAAATGGTAGATAATTAACAAATTATCCCGCTGGGCTCGCCTTCATATAGTTGAAGTAATCGTCCCATATTTGAATGACATGAAGGTATCTGATTAAACATGCTGCCTTTCAACTGAACAGTATTCAGATAATCATTTTGTTCAGTAGTGGTGGTCACGGATTCCTAACAAAGTCGTCGACTAAAAAGCCTTCTTGCTAAGTGAAGACCAAAATCATGGCGTAAGTAAGCCAGTACTATAAATGCTCATCCCATTGTTTATGTTAGGCTAAGTAATATACGGTTTATGCTAGATCTTTGTACTGCATACACGACTGAATAGAAAAATTTCTAAGAGGAAACACAATTTGAAAAACATGACTTCGTAATTTGTTCATAACCTACTTTCAGTCTTCATTTTCACATCAATTGCAGTCAGCAGGTCATCCAACATTTCAGCTTCCATTCGGATCCCAATCACTGAATAAGTATAAAAAGAAGAATCATATTGGGTAAATTATTTTTTCAACGCTTTCTAGTCTGAAGTTCCTTATGATAAGTGGGATGTTGAGTCAAAATGATAGTGATACAAAAATAACGACTAACTTATTTTCCTATGACTCGTACTTTGAATTGATTTCACTTAATATTGGCTCAAGTGAGCATGCACACAGTGTGGGGGAGGGTTCAACCGACAGACAGATGAACTTTGTTTGACACTGCATGATGACTGAAGGATTCAAACCAGTTACTTCTCAGCCATCGACTCTATGCTCTACCAACTGAGCCAGGAGACACAACTGCTGAATAGATCTTAATTTCGTTGTAATCACCAAGGATTTCGCCTGACTGCCGTGTGAATTCGTGAACTTTTTTGTTACTTATTGATTTCGGAACCGGTTGTTACCTATAGAAATCTTATAACGGTCATATCTTTTCTTTGTTTTTATGGATAACAAGAGATGTTGAATGCCGAGGTATTAATATTGGTGAACATCAGTGAAGATTAAGAAAAAACCTTAAATACAAGCTACTGAGTCTTAAAATTATCTCCAAAACAAACCTTCGAGTCACGATAATTTAGTTTAGTCAGTATAAATTGGTCTTGCATAAAACTCTGTAGGCGAAGGTATACCCACGTTTTCAGGTTTCAAATATTTACTATTAGTTTTTGAGATGAACGTATGGTGTTTCCCATAGATCTGTTAGGCTGTGAGTATAATTCGTTCTACGGATTTAGTTTATTAGATGTGTAAACTGTATCAACTTGTCGCTCTCAGTCCGTCTTCTCCCTATTACCCTTGAAAAGCTAATGAGAAGTCTAATGTAGCCATCCGATGAAATTTTTTTACCAGCATCTATCATTTATTTCCCTTAGCCTACTTCTTTGATAGAGTGTAAGAAGAGATTGCGCGAAGAGTTAACAATAAATCTACAAGCAAATCAAGGCATGGAATAAGGCTTCTAAATACCCTTTTATTCATGCCAAAAATTTCAAAACATTATCAGCAGTACGATAAGTCTAAAAAATCTGAGATAATCCACACCAACCCAGTGTTACGTGGGAGTGTGTTAAACTTCAGGATTTTGGTTCACGAAATATTCAACATCATACCTAACAAGGAAGTGAAGCTATTGACTTTGTATAATATCCTTGAGAGAAGCCGATGGCGATGTCCAGCATAATACTGAAACCCTCGCCAACGAAATCCTTAGGTCAGAGAATAACTCAATCTGAGCATCAAAACCCTGAGGCACAGTTATTCTTAACCCTCACAGGGGAATATATCTCTCTAAATGATCAGCAACAGATCTGAAATTAGCAGTAGCAGAAATGATCACTTTTTACCCTATACCATTCTGAATCACAATTTCTAGTTGACTAGTTGACGTCAAAAAACGAAATCACCGACGGTTTGAGACATGTGATTTAGCTTAGAATCGATCTTCGTGTACCAAATGCATCTACCGTTTCGATTCAGGCCAACACCACATACATAGAAAATTCTAAAACCTTTCAGCACAAACGAAGAGAAAGAATTATAACCATATAAGCTATATCTTAAATTGTGGAGTAACGTTGATTTGACTGTGGACAATAAGCTGTATCCGAAACGTCATCCCGCAGGTAGTACTGTTTCACTGTGTGCGATGAATCTAATAAACAATCGGAAATAGGATTACGATCCACCATAGTGCTTAAATTTTACTCCTGAATTATATTCAAGTTAACCAGAAAAATTCGATGAGGCGAAACAATTTGACTTTGTGTGCTGAGTTTACACGATAACTAAACTTAACTCTCTCAGAACTCATTTTCACGGTAATAAAAATTGTAATGAATTACCTCTAGTTTCTGAAGGCTAGTGACACTACCTGACTGCCCAAGCATAGGTAGATGAAGCATAATTTGTAATCATCACACTGTTTGGAAATCAGTTGCCTAGGTCAAAGACCACGGCTCCTTATACAATCCTGATGACTTGGTAAACGACCTTTCTGTGTCTAGACAGCTCTAATTCGCTTAGGGAAAATCTAGAACCTAGTGGTTTCTAACTGTCTATATAGTTAAATAATAACAATATTATTTAATTAATTAAACAATTAGTTGAGCCAAGAACAAAATTTTTACGGTAAATAACTACCGCGATTCAAGTTTGCTAGAATATGTAATGAGACCAAAACGTAAACTCATCAACCCAATGCATTTCTGAATATATTTTCATACATACTTATCAAAAGGTCAGTGTAAATCAACAAGGAGTTTATTAATTGAGTATCTAGTCAATTCAAGTCATGTAACTCCATTGAAATAATCTTTTATAGTTATTTATAAAGTTAGACTAAATAACTTTAAAAGGATTACAGTTTCATGACTTGTACATGGCAGAAACGATATCAACCCTTATTAGTTCAATCTTGAACTTCGTGTGCATAAAAAGTACGTACAGTCTCTTCTCTAACTATTATCTGAAAAATTGTATATTAATGTAGGATTTATTTTTGTCTTTAACAATAAATCTTCATTGTACTCTTGAAAATTATAGTAAACACGTGATTCTATTGAATAACAAAAGAGTATTATTTGTTCCCAAAATTTATAATATGATTGTATAGTTTTAGTAAATGCGGTTTTTGAAAAGAAAAAAATTTTTTCCCTGAATCATCTTTCATCTTATTTATGACTCAAAGGATGCCTTTCCTTCTCATCATCAATCTAACTTTCACTTTGAAAATATTCACTTTCAACAAAACAAAGGTTGATAATCAACCCAATAAAACAACAGTACTCACCTTCACCTAGAGTTATAATAAGTATCACTTACATTTTGGTAGTTGTTCCGATGATATACTATCTAGTAATGTTATAATCCTATTTGTAGCATCAGCTACATTTGATTTTTTCAAATGTTGAATATCTATCCAACAAGTTTGAAATTCATGAGGAGTTGTGATTTGTTTATCTGAAAGTTAATTTACAATTTCATAAGGATAAATGTTTGATTTTTTCTAACAAAGTTCAAAATATAAACCAAAATTCGCATAGATCAATAAACGTTCAATAAATATGTTCATTTCATACCTATACTATGCTGTGTAATAGACTATTCGTATCCAATTTCTTGAGGATCCCAGTCAGGTTGTCCGTAATTCTCTATGTGCATCATATCAGCAGATGATGACTTGATACACTCAAAACATTTGTTGACCTGGAGATTCTCAGTTCATTTCCAGCTTAGTCTCACCCTTAGCATAAATCTAAAACTACATCGATTAACTTATCTTTCTTGTCTACATCTCCACGACTAAGTTCAAAATACTCAATTGATAGTTCTATGGTAGGCAAGTGATACTTTGTAAACGACCATGGTAGAGTGCCAAAACGTATGGGCTAGAAATGGATTGCCGTGCAGCATATTATCCATTTGACAGTTAATCTGATTTCCTCCTGGGTCTTTGAGTTGTATAAAGAAGAATTCTTATTCGTTATGATATTCTGACAAGTAGAAACTTCCATTTTTCCTTGATGAAGATCAATTCATCAACAGTTAACGTTGTACAAAAGAGGAATGGATACCAAATATACTCAAATTTTCACATTAACCGCTCAGAAGATCTGAATATATTTGTATACTCTTTGTCGATCAGATAAGTGCTTGGCACTAGGTTGGTTACTGGAGTTATCATCATCATTACGTTGTCTTAAAACTTTATACAAATAGCCATGGTAAATCTCTTAGCGAACATTACTAATTACTGTCACCCCAAATTACAACTATCCATAAACCCTTACACAATTACATAAGTTGAACTAGAGAGTCTGTAGTTTGAAATTTCTTCGTGGTCAAAGATTATTACAAGACTTTGAAGTCAATGGACCTGTTACTGCTTAGTTTGGACAACTGACTTTCAAAAAAACATCATTCGCTCAAACATCACCCTCTATATCTGTGGTCGAGCAGAATACAGCATTATTCAGGCATTTACAATAGATGAAGAACATTGTGTCATATCAAAACCTACACCTGTTCACCAAATTGCTTTGTATTTGAAGAACTAGAAGTTGAAGATGTTTTTCAGTCTTTAATGTCATGTAATTACAACTTAATAATTTGTTGTCTTGTTCTTTTTCAAAGTGCTACTTTTTATTACCAGGAAGTAACTTTCCTATTCATCAAATATCAGCAAAAGAACATCTCGGTATGAAAAATATTTCTGGAGAAATGAAATCACCTCTCCTATTAAAAGTTTCAGTTTTCATGAAAAGTAAATAAACATGATAATTTACTTGGTTACGACGAGCAGAGGGATCCAGGAAGCGCGTTTCTTCCTCAATGGATCAGTAGATAACTCTTTGGTGTCTGAAGAGATGGGTATAGGGTTCGAGTCCCAGTGGGAACAATATCACTCACTGGGATGCAGGTATATCCATCTGACGAGTCCCAGACAAGATGAAAGGCAGATCCTAGATTTCTGTACTGCCCACAACCAGGTAAATTATCGAAGTAAATTTTCAAGCATTATCGAGGCATACAAATACCAGCCCATATGCCAATAGAGGTCGAACAATTCGATCCAGTAAAACAACGGAAAATTAAAAGTATATCAACAAATAATTCATTACAATCCTAACTACATACACTGAGCAATATCAGTTAAATACCTATAAACCGAAATCACCGTCACAGTGATATAGAAAAAGGAGAAGAAAGAGAGAAGTGGCTGTAAGATTGAGAAACAAAAATGTTTTCCACATAGACTACACTTATTGGTGTAGTGAAGCTATGGAAATAATATTATATTAACAGGGTTGCATTAGATAACTACTAGGCGTATATCCACAGAACACTAGCGAATCGTCAGACGCTAATCTAGGACATTTCTGCTATATTTCGCTGTGATATTTCGTGAACTAACTACCTTTCTATATTGTCAGCTTGTTTTATCAGTAAACAGAACTGAGCAAAAAAGACATTGAGGGAAAACTCAAACCAATCTTGCTAATAGTGAAGCTTTAGTTTATTGCTTTAAACAAAGTTGTCTTTCGATAAACAGGGTACAAGCTCAAAGTTTATTCCACCAATCAAAGTTAAAGTTACGTTCATATAATAGGTGTGGCTTATTGCTTAGTTCACAAATCTGAACATAGTTCCCGAATTACATTAGTTAAAAAAAACATTTAACTATTTTCAAGATACATTTTTACACCAAGAGTTTGTAAAATAAGTATCTTAGAAGTTGATGCAATCAAAAATACTCAGAATTCTGAAAACCAATTTTGTTAAAGCTTTACGAGTGTATAGTGAAACCACAATCGACCAGTGATGAATTTAGATGAATCAGTTCATATTGTGGAACTGCACACATGAATTTACTTCGCACATGTATTAGTGTCTGATTACTCCCCTTTTCAGAGTGGGACATTATTTGACTCATAATATATCACTAATATCATATTAAAGTACAACACTTATTGGAAAAGTCAGTTATTTTTCATTTCAGTCATTCAGTGGAACAATAAACTCACTGATTCCAGTTAAAAAGTAGTGGGAGCCAGTAGTTTTAAATCTTAAAAAGGTAGCTAAAAACTGAAGTTATTGACAGATATGCATCAAATACTTTCCTTGAATGCTATTTTCAGCAGCTACACATCTTTTCTTTATCAAATTTAATGAAAATGTAGGCTAATAGACACTGAGAAGAACTACTTAACTGTCCGGTGACCAACGCTTTATTCTACTTTCAGTATTTCTTATCTGATAAATAGTTCAGATATGTGTTGCATTGGTTAGATATTCTGTGTACCAGCAAAAGTTTGCATAATTATATTATACATAAAAACTGGTCAATTAACCAACAGTTTCATCCTCTGGTATTTATTCAATAGTCGAGTAAACCAAGTCAGTACACTGAGTGTCTCTATTTAACTACTCCAGTCTAAAGTTCATTTTAACAAAAAAGTCAATTTGCTAACACAGTATTGCAATAGTGCATGACACACTTTTATATTATCCTCTTTTCTTCATTTTTACCCCATTTTTCAGATATTTTTATGGCTATTAACAAGAATATGGTCATTTGAACTCATACTTTGATGGTAGACGTTTTACATAGACTCAGTTGGCCAGTTAATCATATCTACAAAGAAATCAGATGCCTATGAATTGGATAAACTACAAACCAGTCTATTTAGGGAACAAAAACTAGAAATACTGCAGATTTTTAATCCGTTATACAACCGTAGTTACAAAACTGCATAATTAATGACAATGGTTATAATACACGATCATTATGTAAGTTTACTTACTTTCTATGGTGTGTTTAACAATACTACTAGTAATATTCATAGTCTTAATAGTAGTATTTCTTTCATTTTGTTGTTTGACAAGATTTACAACTTCCCAGTCAGCATCAATAGGCTTACATGTAGGTGATGTATCACTCAAGTGCTTTTTTGAAACATCAGCAGTATTATAAGATGAAGAAGCGATTTTATCGTATTGTATGGTTGATAATCTGTCATAATCATCATCATCTTCGTCTACTACTTCTACTTCTCTATGTTCATCCTCCTCTTCTCCTATCACAACATTTGGAAGTTCAACTATCTCAATATCTGATGTTGCATTCATTGTACTTGTTCCTAGAGCTTTGGAATGATTTATTGATGTTTCTGTATTTAACCTCTGTTGATCAGAAGAGAAAAGAAAACATAAACATACACAATAGTGAATCTGCATCTTTTGTGAAACAAAAACAAGAATGTGTTAGACATTAATGATATTTAGTGGCCAGCAGTGGAATTTAAGAGGCGTGTTTCGTCCTGCGTGGGGCTCGTTAGCTGGATGTACCTGCCTTCCAGCGAGTGATTTCATCCCCACCGAGGTACTGAAGTTGAAAACACAGGCAATATTGAGACATCCGCACAGAAGCCCATATCCCATTGGTGGTCGATCAATTCAGTTCAATCAACAATGACACGTTACAAGTTACAACATCTAAAAAATTTGGTGATTTAGAATAACTCGAGCTGGTCCATGAATTTATTGCTAAAAAGTAGCTTCTTCCGTGCTGCACTATTTCCGGTTCGAAATAAAATCTACCAAATGGATTACAAACTACAAGCAGTAAGCTTGGTGCCACAAGTTCATGCTGTTGGAAGTGTAGATAAAATCAAGGTGAAACCCTTGAAGAAAGCATTTTAAGCACCATCATCAAACAGTAAAGTGTTTAAACGGATTCAAGATGACTTATGTCTATATTAGGGTTTACCAATCACTAGGCAGTAACTTACAGTGAATACTAGGACATGAAATTGATTGAAGTAAAGAGACCAATCAACAAAGGGGATTCAATAAGATCATAAATGACCAAGCACTCTGCCTATCAGAAACAACGTATGTGACTGTTAAAAGTGCAAAATTGAATCGTAGAGCAGTCACGTTTATATATCCAAAGTACAGATGGGTATCGATTCGAGCTGTTTGTTTCTTCCAAATGTTTGGTGAAAGGATTTGCCCTCTAAGCATAAATTGGTTCCGTGGGGATCTTCCTTCAATGTGTTAACAATGAACATAAACTCGCCTCATATATGTGCGAGTGTTTGGTTATCTAACACACGTTTGATGCCTCAGTAAGAACTTTAGAAGATTATAACATGATAGCAAACAAGACGGGAGTTCAGAGACACATTTGAATCACTACTTAGACTTCAAATCACCTCACTTTATGTCATTTAAGGTTGGTTTGGTAAATATCTGACTTACTAGTAGGACGGAAAATCTGAGACAAGAATTTCGATATACTAAGGAAAACCTACGTTCCAATAATTACATGATGAAGTTTGTCAATAAATCCAGTAGAAATAGTGCAGAAAAGAATATGAGCAGTAGTGGTGGTGACACAGGATTTATTGATGATAATAATATTGTGACAAGAGAATTCAAAACTTCTACTGCGTTACTGTAAAAGTAAGGCAACTTAGAGGCGTTACGAAGTCTAGAACTACAGTGACATTCGAACCTACAAACTCACTTCGAAACATGCTCCATACATTAAAAATTTTATTTATCCAGTTTGGGAAATTAATCTAGTTTACGAAATCTCCCGTTAAGGTTGCGAGGTCAGAGTAGTTGACCGGGGTCCATTTGGCTATCTGAGCACAAAATCTTTGCTAAATAACGACTGGTAGATTCTGATAAGCTAGTTAATTAAAAGAAAGGCTCGGCTGCGAATACACAACTACACAACAGAATGGAACAGGGAAAACGTATTTATTAAAGGCTAATTTAGATGGGTAGAGGCAGACTTTGCTAACCGAAACTTTGTTTATCGACTTGACATCAAATACCTTCAATGAGCATTGTTAAGCACCCCTTCACATACACAGAAAATTCTAAAACCTGTCAACGCAAATGAAGGGAGAGAAGTATAACCGTATAAGTCACATCCCCAAAGTTGTGGAGTAACTTTGATTCGACTGTGGACAATAAGCTGTGTCCGAAACGTCATCCCGTAGATGGTACTGTTACACTCTGTGTGTGTATGTGTGTGAAAAATCGAATAAAAAACTGAAATGGAATCACAATCCATCACAATGCTCAAGTTTCTCGCCTATATTAGGGATATAACACAGCAGTGCGCACCAAGTTTAGTGCAGGAGCAAGACTGTGATCATAAAGACTAGCAGTGAAGACGTTATCAATCAGCCTTTTAATGGAACTGATTTGTGTCGACACAAAAACTGAATTTTTGTGCGATAAATTCTCATCATCGCGTCAGAATATATACAAGCAACACAGAATAAAGAAATACTGAAATATCAATGTTGTGCTACTTCTTCTGATAGACGAACTTACTGCTTTTTGAGCTAGCATGTATTTCACTTTATTCAATTCTTCAATAATTTTATTATTAGTTGGACACAAATCTTTTGCTTTCTCCAAGTTTTGTATACAATTAACGTAATCACCTAAAAACTGGTTATTTAAAAGTCAAAAAGTACGTAAATAAATAGTGATTATTAGTCTACACATGGCTATTTTATAAAAAGATCAGAGTTTTGTCTGACTTTGCTCAAAACTTAGAAGTTATGCAAAACTCATTTCATATCACCGTTACTTTTGACCTACCATAAACCCAGTTAACATCGTATGCAAGGGTGAACTTAGTCTTGGCATGCATAAAAAAAGCCAGCAAATTTATGGATTTCATATTCACAACTTTCCTTGATTAAGACTCTGTGACTAACTTTAATTCAGTCTACTGGATGATTCCAGCATAAGCTAATAATGTCTCAAAGACAGCTTCTGTAAACAAACTATACTTCTGCCTATTTATTTCGAAAGCCATTTCCCACAATTGTGTATCACGGGACAATGGATTACACTGTGATGTATTTGTATTGGTCCCCACAAACACCTCAGATGGTATAGATTAAACAAAGTCGAACTTTTGCTTCCGTTTTGACTCATCAGTAACTAATGTATCAGAATCAAGACAATTTTCTAAGTATTTAAACAACCATAATGTATGTATAAACATTCGGAAGATAAAAATACGGATTCGGAAGAAACTTCAAATCACTATCATCAAACTGGAAGATGATGGGACTTCAGGTGAACGTAGAGAAGACAGAGGTGATGAAGATACTCAACCAACAACACCAATAACAAGCACAAATCACCACCAATGGCAGAAACTTAAAGAAAGCTGTATCTTTCACCTACCTACCTACCTACCTACCTACCTACCTAAGCAGCATCGTTTCAACTACAGACGACACAGGCACACATGAGGATGTAACAACCATCATCGGAAATACAGCAAGACAGACCATTAATCTGAAATCAATGTGGAGACCTACTGCACTGCACTGCACTGCACTACGCTCAGTACGAAGAACAAGGTCCGGATTGTCAACACTAATTCAGTCAAGTCACTGCTTCGATGTGATGCTTCAGAGACTTGGCGTGTCACGAAAAGCATTCCCAACAAACTACAGACATTCTTCAACAGCTGCCACCTACGCTCACTCCATACGGAACATCACATCGCCAGAAAGAATAAGCAACAAGCAACTCCAGCTCGCTGACAAGCTGGCAACGAACCAACCAGGAACCTATCGCCCAACAATTATGAAGAAGAAAGTGGAGATGGATAGGGGAGACACTGAGAAGACCATTCGGAGACATCACGCGCCAGGCCGAGGCCCTCGAGTGGAACCCAAAGTGGAAACGACGAGTTGGGCGTCCGAGGTGAGGGCGACATGGAGGAGATCGTGTGAGGAAGAAATGAAGAATTCTGGGCAGTCGTGGAGTTAGGTTCAAAAGACTGCAGAAAATAGAGTGAAGTACAGATGGGCTACGGAATCCAAAGGACAAATAAATAAGAAGAAACTAGTATATATATATATATATATATATATATATACATTTAAAAATATAGTAGAGAAAGGAATATATCATAGGAACAGACTATTTTTTACTTATAAATAAGGTAATAAATTATTAAGTGATTTTAAACTAGACATTGTCAGTTACGGGACGTTTTCTAGATGGTTTCATCAAAATTTATTCTGAAAACTACATGGAATTACGTATATTCCATCCTGTGATTGGCTCAGATCAAAACAGTGGCTTATGCATCGCACCTTTAATATCAATGATTCTTAAGTCAGGACTCATTCTTTGTGTAAAAGATTCTGACAGTCTTTGTGAGAAATATAACAAACTATTACACTGATATCTTCGCATGGGATTGTAACTACATATTAAATTACTTTTGTGAGTAACTGAGTTTTTATTAAATGCCAATATACATGCGAGCAACTAATATCTTCTGTATATCAGTTTTAAGAACCTAACAAATCATGACTGTTATAGAGTTTGTAGTTAGTGCTACATGTTACATTAGATGGCGGCTAGATACAACAAACATATCACTGGAGGGTAGCAAACTTCATTTTGTCCAGTCGTCAGTGCTGATCAAATCCTTTCGATCATTCTGCAATGTGGTCACTAAGCTAAGAGACTCACCAATCGATGTACCTAATACACACCTATAGGAGGGGAATCGAGGCTTGAATGGCTCAGTAGTAACGTCTCTGACTGCAGTAATCGCTGATATGGGTTTAAATCCCAGGCGGAACATCAGTTCCGAAGACGTCGCAGATACACCAAAAGACAGGAAACCTACGCCAACAGCTTCTTGTTGATAACCTCGATCTAACTAACACCTAGACTGTTTCACATAATTAAGGTTCACAAATAAATGTACTAGGGCCAAAGAATGAATTTACTATGGAGTAGTAGAATACATAATTCATGGCTAAGCGCATGCCTTATGCACTTTTACTGGCTGTCTGCTTGAAAGATCAGTGTTAACTGGACAGAAGGACGGTAACTAAACAAATAACGATCATCCTAATATGCTGATACAAGGAGTGTGTGTGTGTAATACTGTGATAGGCAGAGACGATCTTCAAGAAGGTTAGATTCAATGCTTAGTATTATTCAAGACTAAATCCAAAGGTAGTATGGTTCTGTAAATCAAACGTCTATCATACATCAAATTTCCATCTAACTGTTCTTCAGGTAACCACGTGAATAAATTAGATAAATTTAGTGAAACAGGAACGCTACAGGTGTTATTTATACTCAATAAAACAGACGACTTAAGTAACTTCTAGCCTTATTATCTATCCACATAATTTTTCTTTTCATTTAGCTCATATAGTGTGACTTCTGACATCTATTTATCAAGATCTAATAATATATTTCTTTTCTCATGCAGTCTAAACAAGAGGCGAAAAGGAGCAGTAATAAACACCATACATTAAAGTGATGAAAATCGGATTCTCTATAACCCTAGATGAACACTTATCATGATAGACTGACAACTCTCTTAACACCGGCCAAATGTCTCTCACTAAAATTAAATATATTGCGCTTATTCTTGTAGAACAGAGAAGGTATAGAAAGCACCTACCTTCAATGCCATAGCTTTTCGATATGTGGCAATTGGACAATTGGGTTCTATCGACAAAGCCAGTGTACAATCATTCAGTGCCAATCGATATTCATTAGTTTGTAAATGTATTAATGAACGATTACGATAGATAATTGCTAATCGTTTATCTTTATGCAAGTTATTCTTTAAACATACTTGGATACACTTGTCAAAATATTTTAAGGCTAATTGCATATCCCCCTTTAAAAAAGAAAAAATTAAAAATAACATGATAGTAATAATGGTACTGAATAAGTGATAGTAGTAGTTGGCTAAAAAATGTGTTGCATGCGCTAACTCATAGCAACTGCATCAATATGAATGCAGCTGATTCGCTGATTCGTTAACTTTTTTTAGCAATAGAAAAAAAGTAAGGCTACAGTTAGGTTGAAGACAGTTCCTTAAATCAGAACAGTATCAATATTTGTAAATGAATTGATAAGTATATGTCAATAAATATTCACAGTGTCTTAAAGATAGATTACGTCATCATAGTTCGAAAAGCAGTCTTACACTCAATATCAAGATTTCAGTTGCCACTTAGTTAACATTTCTAGTCGTGATGTTCTCAGCATATTTGTGCAGTAGATAATAAGCCACATAATTGTATGAGGGTTGATGATACTACCTGGCTGCCGAAATCTTGCAAGATGAAGCGATCCTCGAACCCGCAACCAATCGGTTGAGAATCATCTTTTCTCCGATATTATGACTAAATTTTATTTCACTACTGATGCGATTCAGTTGCTTGATAACTGCTTGCCTCAAAGATTGTTATCATTCGAGCTTCCAGTCAATATACATTTGGGTCTATCATTCTTTATTTAGCTAGATTCCCATGTTCCGCAAATCTAACTGACCACGATCGGCTAGTTTGACCTCACAGTCATTATATGGAATTTCTTAGATTGCATTACTTGGCTTAATTAAATCTAATAGATCCGTACACTTAAATTGATCATATGTTTATGTGTACATGGAAAAGTATGTTATCACTTATGCTTAAACTTAAAATTCTCTTTGAATGAAGTTTGAAACATATACATACAAACATATACACTTGATATCAAGAAATTACCTTTTTAAAGGAATTATTCCCTTCTTGTTTTAATGTTTCATAATCAGAAATTGAATACGTGTCCTAAAATTAGAAAAATTATCAACAAAATTACTGAGATTGTACAATTTCTTCTATTTATCATGAAAGGTTTAAACAAGAGGTAATTGTGAAGTATTAAATGAACAAATTAGAAAAATAGCTAATATAAGCCTAACAGAAGTTGCTGGGCTTATACATTTAATCTAAATCCAAGTAGAGATAGCTAACACACTTCAATATCATGCTTCTTGGTATTCTGTTTAAATCTTTGGAAGAGAATGATTTAGGATTTCACAGTTTTTCAATTAGATATGTGAATGTTTGTCAACCCAAAATTAAAATTTGAAAATTCATACATTGCGCTACGAGTATCTATCACCTTTTCCTGGAGTAGTTTAAAATTAAAAAGTTATGAAAATAAAACAATGAAGAATGGATTAAAAACAAAAATAATAAACAGGCTCTAAATATTTAGAAAAAACGTACTCATTCCAAATCGTGTATTTCCCTTCTTATTACCAATAAGAAAATAAAAATGGTTAAAACCAAACAAGCGATGATCAGGGATCCACATAAATATCTTAGAATATGAGCAAGAGATTTCAGACTTTCCCAGTACCTATTCATTACACTGTCTCAGTTACACAATTGAGCTTGGCCAGATAAAGAAGTGGCACCAGGCGATGAAGTCCATGATTGTTTTTAGCCGAATGGAAGACGTGGACTGCCTAGCTAGAGACCCCGAGACAATACAAATCAGTCGTTTAGGATTCTTGCTGACATGACTGAAAATCGGTCACAATGGAGCACATGAATCCACTACTTCACGTCTACTAAAGCCTGAACTCTCCACTAACCGTATCTTCAAACTGTTTATTCTTTCACACAACCTAATGTATTTTGATGTCTTTTTTTATCAAACTATTCTCTGTATGCAATTGTGAAGTAAAGCAACTTGAGCTGATGAATTAATATGCGAGATTCTTCGTTTATTTTCTCTGCCTATTTCTCTTAATTACAGTGGAATGAATAAAACATATGGTGCCCATTTATGTTCTCAAGCAGAGGCATATTCACAAAGCGTCATGGATTTCACCAAACAACAGGACACACTAAAAGTCAGATCGACTTTATCTCAATCTCAAGAAAGTGGAGATGCAGACTACTGGACAGAGGATAAACAAAGAAAATGATGGCCTGGCCACTTCAAAAAATTTCAATCGACCACCACCTGCGACTCCTCCAGAAATAACATCAGCAGCTCAGTCACAGAATTACCAGTGAACACAAGCTCTCCGACAAAAGCAGAAGTGAACTCCTCAACGCCATAAAGTTGCTAAAATCCAACAAAGCAGCAGGACCAAGTGGAATTCTACCAGAAGCACTGAAAAAGGACACAGAGACAACAGAGGATATGCTCATTCCACTACTGCAGAGGGTTTGGAAGTGATAATGGAAAGGTACATGCTGGTTGATTACACGAAGGGCTACACCTTGTCAAACTTCCAAAGAAAAGAGACCTAAGTCTTTGCAAGAACAAGAACTAGAGCGAAATTCTGCTCCTGTCCACTCAAAGCAAAATATTAAGCCGCATCATCCTCGACAGACTAAAAAATATGCTGCATTCAAAATTACGACCAAAACAGCCTGGCCGGCTACCTTCAGCAAGAACACATCATGTGCGAATCAAATAGCTTCGTTGCGCCATGCATCATCATATAACACAGCATAGAATCGCAGTCAACTCAACTTCATCGATTTTGATGAAAAGGCCTGCAACAGCGTCAACAGAGAAATAATTTGACAGATAGCTGCTTCAACACTACGCACTTACTACCAAAAACATTTACCAATTTCATTCAACAGCTAGATGACAAGTGATCAACAAGGGAAAGCTCAATGACACCTTTGAAGTGAAGACAGGGCACAGGAGTAAGACAATCTGCCACCTAGTATCACCGATGATATCTCTGATTGTCATGTCATCCACTGGATATTCCAGCAAACACTGGGGAGCGAGAAGATGAGCATACGCTGTCTCACCGATCAAAAGATCCCAGAAGAAGATTGGCATTTCGACAACGATGGTGATTTATGTCGAATGTCTTGTAACACAAACTCGAAGATCTACAGGCGAAAACTAACAAGTTGGCAGAAGAGGTGAGGCAGGGAAGCGAACACAGGACTTCAAGTGAACGTAGAGAAGACAGAGGTGATGAAGATACTCAACCAACAACATCAACAACAAGCACAAATCACCACCAATGGCAGAAACTTAAAGAGAGTCGTATCTTTCACCTACCTACCTAAGCAGCATCGTTTCAACTACAGACGACACAGGCACACATGAGGATGTAACAACCATCATCGGAAATACAGCGAGACAGACCATTAATCTGAAATCAATGTGGAGACCTACTGCACTGCACTGCACTGCACTATGCTCAGTAAGAAGAACAACGTCCGGATTGTCAACACTAATTCAGTCAAGTCACTGCTTCGATGTGATGCTTCAGAGACTTGGCGCGTCACGAAAAGCATTCCCAACAAACTACAGACATTCTTCAACAGCTGCCTCCTACGCTCACTCCATACTGAACATCACATCGCCAGAAAGAATAAGCAACAAGCAACTCTTGCTCGCTGACTGGCTGGCAACGAACCAACCAGGAACCTATCGCCCAACAATTATGCAGAAGAAAGTGGAGAAGACCATTCGGAGACATCACGCGCCAGGTCGAGGCCCTCGAGTGGAACCCAAAGTGGAAACGAAGAGTTGGGCGTCCGAGGTGAGGGCGACATGGAGGAGATCATGTGGGGAAGAAATGAAGAATTCTGGGCAGTCGTGGAGTTAGGTTCAAAAGACTGCAGAAAATAGAGTGTAATGGAGATGTGCTGCTGAAGCCGTATGTTCCACTAAGAATGCAAGGGGTAAACAATGATAAATTTCATGGTCTCATGTCTAATTTATGGATAGTATGTCAAATGAAATCCAACTTCGAGAGCAATGTGATTCACAAACAGATAACAGGCTGGCATATGTCTATACCTGAATGTAAATTGAACCAGTGGCTTCTGAAATGCAACCCTGAAGCTCTATTTAATGAATTACGAGACTCATCTACTGATCTGGTCTCCACTCTAGTCACGGAGGGCTTTGCCTATTTGATTATATGGATGTGTGATACGTAACTATATGTTCATCATTAAATGTATGAAGTAAGAGTGGCTGTATATCAGAGCAAAAATTAAGCGATGTTCTCTGAACTGAATGAAATCGGAAACTCATGCCACTTAGTTCTAACTTAATGGCTGGATGATAATATCGCCACCATTAGACATGAAAATCTTGGATAAATACTACTAAGGAGTGCTTTTTCTCTTCAATGGTTTTACAGCTTATGTCATCTGAAACGAAATCCATCATCAAACAGAATGTAAAACACAAATACCGAAATAATGAATATAATTCACCCAAGCTTTTTCAAACCACCAAGTCTCAACGTGGTTTGGACATCTATAAAAAGAAAAAGTATAATCGAATTCAGTCAGTCAGTAACATTCTGAAATGTTAATCCTCGACTCCAATGAAGTATTGGCCTATTATTTATCATGACGCTTTTACCGTTGGCCAATAAACAAGTTTATTTCAAGTTGGTATTCATCTAGGACTGACATCAGTTGGAGGAAATTTGAGAACCTGGAAGCACTGTACAGTTCATCATCCCCAGCAATGGATTCCTCGGTAGTGCGCACCTATGATTCCTCCATGTATCGAACCCAAGACTTTCATGTTTCGTAGGCAGGACGTTACCATTGAACCACTGGGTCAGAATCCAATGGTCAACATATTCCTACTTCTGTCAGTTCATGATATAGTGCAATCTTCATACAATATTGTCTCACGTCCAACTTGATTGCCCCACTGGTTACGACTTTTCATTAGAACTTCAGAGAATCCCATCTTGAAGTAAGTGACTATTTGTGCTTAACCTAGTATTTTGATACGTATTATTTCTCCTGACCTTTACTACATTCACTGAATAACAAATTTTCATTGTCAAACTATTCATTAGTAAATTGTGTACGCTTCAAAGGGAGAGCAATTATTACTTTGATATTATAATTTTAACAATCGAATATGGCGTAGATACAGATTATAATTAAGGTTAATCGCCGCTGAGGTATTACTGTGATATCTACTAGATCAACACTGGCTTCTACAAATTATTATTAGATAATGACTGTCGTTTCAACTATATATCTGCATAGGACTCCTTATCTTGTCCTTCACATAGCTTATCAGTCAATGTATATCAAAAAATTTATCACCGTGCCTCAAATTACAAATCTCATCAAATAAACTTACATTAATTTCAACTGACACCTCTCTATTCATCGACGTTTTTCTAATTTCCTCAGAATATTGTGTATCCTCTCCACATGTGACCAGTGTTTTGGTTTCATCTGTGAAAATATCAGACTCATCAAAGAAGTTTCGCCGTTTGGGATTTGCAGTGTCTTCGCTATTCAACCTAACTTCAGTATTCTTGATGATGACATTATTATACAGATTGTTGCCTTCGTCATCAGCCCCATGATGATTTGTACCACTGATTTCATCGATTGGAAGCTTTATTTCACTCAGCTTTGCTGATTGGTGTTTCTGCTCGTCATCATGTTCACCTTTTTGCTCTACTTCATCATCTTCACTGCTTGAACTATCCGATGAATCACCAACATCTGTTATAACCATACGTCTAGACCCTTCCAAGTGTGGCTTCTCACGCTTCGATTTCGCTATTCTTACATTACGCAGTAAATTCTATTCGAAGCAATAGACAAGATAAGAAAAGAACATTATCAATGCAGTTGTATTGCTAGTGGCGGTTAGCATATATGCATAGTGAAGTTTAGTCAGCATTTTCCTTCACATTTATGTAATGTGACTTCACAACCGATCAGTTCCCCTCTAATTTCATCCTACTAACGTATGACAGTACAATAGCCTGTAGTTCCTTGACAATCAGTTAATTGTTAAGACTGTATGCTTGTACTGCACAGCTGGTAGCCACCATCATAGACTGGGAAATACTTCTGAATCATAACCATAGCCGTCAGTAGTAATTGACCTTTTAGTGTTTCCAAACCGTGTTTATCTATTTACACGTAAATATTTTTTATACTGTATTTCTTCTGAAAATTAATTCATTAACGCTAGCACAAAAGTTTCAGACTTCAAAACACTTTGAAAAAAAGTAAAAGCCAAGCGTTAAAATACTGAAATAAAGCAGAAGAAATTTTCATGATTGTTAGTATCGAAGATGTCGACTTTGATTTTATGATTTTTTATCCTTCCAATAACCCACAAACTACTAAACTCTGACGAATTGTGATGAGATAAACTACATTTCACCATAAAAATGAAATCAGTAACCACTAACTTCATAAATCGTAGCCCAACATAAAGCTTTCTTCATCTTAAACTCAATACACAAAGCATATTGCATCAAAAAAATTAACGGATTTCTGTGTAATACATACTCAAGACATATACTAAATACCGGTCTGTAGAATTCAGCCTTACAAAAACTTACATAATTTAGCGAATACAAATTCTTAAGAATGTTCAACCTCAAAATCATCTTCTTAATTCATGTATCCATAAACATCCTCCTCCTTCAAAAGATGCTTTGAAGCTAACTTTCAAATGGTCGAAGTTATAAGGTTTATAGAATGGTCAAAACCATATCAAAAGAGATGTAATGTATAAGTGGAAGCTGAATACCGTTTCTCTAATGCCACTAATTTAAAAACTGACCACCATTTTGCTACAATCAACTAGCCTTAGCATCAGCAAACAAACATAACAGTCTAAACAAATTTAAGTCGGGAATGAATAGTAACCGCCAGTGGGATTCCGGACGTGCATCTCTTTTTATAGGATATCAGAACGGAAAATAAACTACAGTATCAAATAAAAATCAGTTTGAACTAACTTGAGCTTTAGAGTTTGTAGGATCTTGATCTGTAAGTCTTTCTAGGTCTTTTTCAGCTTGTTCTAAATTATGTAATTCAAAATTTGCTTGTCCACGTCTGAATAAGGCTAATTTAGAGGACAAAGGAGAAAACTAAATGGTACATCGACAATATACACAATTAACTTGCATATACAGAAACAATTTAGACATAACATGTAAATTTGAAGCTGAATAGTGATTAAACTCAGAAATAAACAACAACCAAAACAATCACTTCTAATTGCCTTCATATCCATCCACCAAAACATTCCACCCGATCAACCTTAATTTGGTGTCGAATCCTCATAAATAGTAATGATTTTGATGAAAATTACATAAGGTTGGTAACTTTACAGTCTAGCAGGTCCATCGTTATGACTGAACACAAGTACCACATTATATGATAAACTGAAATAGATCATGATTACCTTGAACTTTAAACTGACAGTTATTGAAACCAAGCCTGTAGCAGAAAAGCGCTAATCGCATTAGATGCTAAAAATGAATTGGCACGAAACTCCTAGTTTAGTACTTATTGAAACTCACTGGTTAGGTTTATGCGTATCCTCGAGAATATTCATCCTATTTTGTAGGTTTCAAACCGTACTGTTAGGTGCTGGAACCTAAAGGCTTCATATTCGTGAGGGTATGAATAAATAACCAACTACTTATATTGTCTATATCGTCCTTGTACTAAAATAAAGTCTGTTTTAACAAGAAGTAACAGAAAGAGAAAGTAATAACTATTCTGTTTTCGTTGATTGTTTGAAAAGATACTCAAAGTATTATCCTTAAGATTCTGAGAGTGAAATGTCAAATGATCAAGAGTGAATGTCGTCGAATTATCTTAGTCACTTTCTGGCGGCATGCTTAAACTTCTAGCTACCAAAAGATTTCTCATCGAATATATTTCATTAAATTCTTCCCTTTCAGTTTGTTTCAATCTATTAGGTATGTCTTTTACACTTATCACGTTCTCTTTTTAAGTTTTCAAGCTGCCGTTTTACAAGCTGATAACAGAACAAAGAAAAATGTTAAGCCGGTAAGAAATGGACTTATAACTACACAAAAATACATCGCATTTCTAGGATACCTACGTAGAAGTGCAGATTTTTTTATACTGGCTACAAAAACTACTGCAACCAAAGTTATGCTCAATTTTCTATTCATCCACCAGTCCAAACCAGACGATAATGTAACACCAGCTGTCTGTTTCACATTATTTCCTTTAATACTGTTATCATTAACAATATTCAAATACAGTAATTATTTCATTTAAAAACATTATATAGGGAACGCATTTATTGAGGTGATGAAAATTCCATACTGTATCAAACATGTTGTTTGAAATAAAGCGAATATTACTATTAAAACAAAGAAGCTTTATATCTTAATATAAGAAGTCTTAGAGTAGTATATCGCATGGAGGTTTTCATCCTATTCTAGTAGTTCCAGTAAAACAACTTACATTTCTCCAAAATTAATAATCAAACGACCTAACTTGTAAGGGGCCTTATAGACAGCTGAGAACCCGTCTTTAAAACATTTCTACTCTTAGCAGAGTAAGGCATCAAGAAAGGCAATCGACAAGTATGAATAAAACATTCATTTCCGATCTTATCCCCTTCAAATGACTTGCCTCGCTTCTCTAGCGTAGCTTACGGAGTTATGGTACTAGTAGGCTAACTTTTATCACAAACTTAAGATCTTCTTCATTTATTGATGGTCCGTGTTCTTTATCAATATTGAATAGCTACGTTCATTATTTATGTCACAGATTAGAGTGTACTTGAGAAAGTGGTAAATTTTTCGTTAGTAAAACTCTGACTTTTATTTTCCCTAGAGGAATTCATGAGTATTCAGTTGCTTTCTTTTAGATTTCTGAAGGATCAATTCATTCAATTAATCGGTGTTTAAAGCCAAGAATAACCCGTTTGGTTTTTCGTTGAAACACGAGCAAATATAAATTTATTTAAATGATAAGTTGGAAATAAGAAGTATAGGGAGTATTCTGAATTCTAAAATGAACTGCTGACCAAAGCCAATATACGGAGTAAAAAACAGAAATCGATAAAACGTAGCTAACCAACTCCATCACATAAATAGTAATTACCTTTCAAATTATCCGGTTCAACTTTTAACACCTTTGTACAATCATTGACTGCATGGTTCCATTGTTTCTGTCGTAAATCTAATGATGAAATATTTGTTTATGATTTACGATTCACTTAGTTTAGCATGATTATTGAATACTTAACTAAAATGAACTGATGTATATTCATAAAATTGTATAAAAATTGAATGTGAAACAGATATGATACAAAATAGCATGCTCAAAATTTCAGGAATTCATTTTCGAACAACTAGGTGGATCGAAGAAGAACAATGCAACAAGTATATCAAGACAACAGTTACTGATAGGTGCCATGTAAAGAATTCTAGGTTAACAAGTTCAAATCAATATCAGTGTAAACCAGAAAAATATCTTCTGGCAAAATGAATAAAACTCGATTTAAGTGAAGTAGATATACTTGTCCCTTTCTCTAGTTTAAAATGCGACAAGACTGGTACTGATAAAATCAACGTAGAAATTCACATACAAGTGTCATTGGCTCAAGTTGATGCACTTCATAGAAGTGCACAAAAAACAGGTGAATAGAAAAAGACTATCAGAGTAGACAAAGTTGTGTGCGAGATTAAACAATCTGAAGTTAAAGGTTAGTGCAGAATTTAAGCTTTAAAATATGTCAAGGATTGAATTCATCTGCACCATTGTGACCAATTTTCACCTATGTCACAAGGAATTCTCAACCACTGATTGCTTTCGTCTCGAGGACCCTAGCTACGCAGTCTACATCTCCCCACGGGACTCGGACCAACAGTGACAGACTTCATGGACTGGTGCTATGTCTTGGTCTGTCCACGCTAAACCTTCCAACCGAATCCAGCTCTCCGTAGCATAACACGTGAAGGTAGACGGTGGCTTGGCATGCATAGTACATATCCAAGACCTGACAGTCGACTAATGTTCACTATCTCATCAATCTACTTGCCTGTTTTGCCTAGCATCCTTCACCTGACATCAACATTGCTCACAGGGTGATTCCACCAAACCCGAGCAGTGCTAAGAAGACACCTGTGGTCGAAACCCTTTAACAGCTTCAAGTTTTTACTTTAACGGCCATGTCTCGCAGCCGAATAATAAGACAAAACGGACCGCAGCACAGTGTACTCATCCTTTGATGGGTAGTCAGATACCTTGCCAATCGGCGCCAAACATGACGCAAGTTGACAAATGTCGAACGGGCCTTTTGTATCCGAGGTGAGATTCTTCAACAGCAACCAGGCCATTTGGGCTGAAGCAACTCCCTAAGTGAAGTGGTCTATATACTCCACCAATCCACTCCCAATCATTAAACTAGGAAGAGGGTTACAGACCAGTCGTCGAGCATCATCTTACATTTGGCAGGTGCGAAACGCATGTCAAACATACTCAGGTTTCTGCTGACCGCATTAGGCACACCATGTATTTTATCAGCGGCTTCACCCACCAGGACAATATCGTTTGCTTATTACAAGTCAAGCAGATGTGGGTCAATCAGATGAAAATAGTGTGAATCACCTTTAAATTGCATGAATAATGTCCTCATTTTCCCTAGTTGTTTAACCGTGAAAATATGATATCGACGTAGAGATTTTGGAATTCACACAACCTCGAGCACTAGTCGCGATCTCTGCAATGAAGACATTTAAGTGTGAAAAACAGTAGGTGAGTCTATGCATCTGATATTAGTTTTAAACAATTTTATGTAAATCCTTATTTCTGATGCCTTCACGAACTTGTTCAGTAAGTCTATAGGCCATCTGTACCACTTCTCGACACAACATCTTGGCATTGGTATTCTTGGGGCTTTTTCATCCTCTTTTCGACATGATGAATATTACACATATTTCGATTTTCAAGATATTTGTTATAACCATCTCATTTCAAGGTATACTCTCATCAAAATTATTGTTTCATTAGATCATTCAAAATATCACTTAAATACTGCTATGTTAGTCAATGAAGTTCAAAACAATTTTACGAACACAACAGTGTAATCAAAAAGTGCTTCAAAGTGCTTAAAATAAAATAAGTTTTTTTCTGAACGTTTCACTATAGAAACTATAGGTTCTTCAGTAGAATTCTGATAAAACTTTCAAAAAATGTGGTTTTAATTCCCTAAATACGCCAGGATCATACCAATATATTGCTTTAATACGGATTACCACAAATAATCATCAGCCTCACTCAACAACTATATGAATATGCCACATGCTAAGTGATCAAAAATGGAAAGCTCAATGACACCTTTGAAGTGAAGACAGGGCACAGGAGTAAGACAAGGCTGCCACCCAATATCACCGATGATATCTCTGATTGTCATGTCATCCACTGGATAATCCAGCAAACACTGGGGAGCGAGAAGATGAGCATACGCTGTTTCACCGATGAAAAAAACCCAGAAGAAGATTGGCATTTCGACAACGATGGTGATTTATGTCGAATGTCTTGTAGCACAAACTCGAAGATCTACAGGCAAAAACTAACAAGTTGGCAGAAGAGGTGAGGCAGGGAAGCGAACACAGGACTTCAAGTGAACGTAGAGAAGACAGAGGTGATGAAGATACTCAACCAACAACATCAACAACAAGCACAAATCACCGCCAATGGCAGAAACCTAAAGAAAGCTGTATCTTTCAACTACCTACCTAAGCAGCATCGTTTCAACTACAGACGACACAGGCACACATGAGGATGTAACAACCATCATCGGAAATACAGCAAGACAGACCATTAATCTGAAATCAATGTGGAGACCTACTGCACTGCACTGCACTGCACTATGCTCACTAAGAAGAACAACGTCCGGATTGTCAACACTAATTCAGTCAAGTCACTGCTTCGATGTGATGCTTCAGAGACTTGGCGCGTCACGAAAAGCATTCCCAACAAACTACAGACATTCTTCAACATCTGCCACCTACGCTCACTCCATACTGAACATCACATCGCCAGAAAGAATAAGCAACAAGCAACTCTAGCTCGCTGACTGGCTGGCAACGAACCAACCAGGAACCTATCGCCCAACAATTATGCAGAAAAAAGTGGAGAAGACCATTCGGAGACATCACGCGCCAGGTCGAGGCCCTTGAGTGGAACCCAAAGTGGAAACGAAGAGTTGGGCGTCCGAGGTGAGGGCGACATGGAGGAGATCATGTGGGGAAGAAATGAAGACTTCTGGGCAGTCGTGGAGTTAGGTTCAAAAGACTGCAGAAAATAGAGTGTAATGGAGATGTGCTGCTGAAGCCCTATGTTCAACTAAGAACCAAAGGGAATAATAATAATAACCATTATATTTGCATTAAATTTGGTGCTCAAATCCTTACAGGATATTTCAAACATTTCTGGTTTAGATGGCTGTGAACTTGTTGAAAACATGATTAGTTCATCATAACATCGATCAAAACGATTTTAATCTGTCTCGCATAGCTGAATGCTTTATAATCAGTTGATGAAAAAGAACTTACATTGTAACAAAATAAATATGTGATTTCTGGTTGATAATCATTATGTACCGATAATCAGTTGGAGAACCATTGGAAACCTAAGAGCACTAGGCAACTATTTTGTCTTAGTATGAGGCCCTTTGGCAGCGCCCATCCATAACCTCGCCAGAGGTCGAACCCATGGCCAGGAAGTTTGAGTTATTGGATGACACCTCACTGGTTCGATGGTAACGTGCTGGTTGCAGGACATGAAGGTCCTGAGTTCAATCCCTAGCAGGGTCATGGGTGCGTACGGCTAAGAAGTCTTGTACCAGAACGAAACAGCTGCTCAATGTTCCCAGGTGTCTAATGGTTCTCTAACTGATGTCGATCCATGATGAATGTCAACCTGAAATCAATGAATAAATAAATCTGTACAGACCTTCAAATTGAAAAATGTGATTAAGGAAGCATTTAGTTATCAATTATACTAAACTTATCTTAATGTACAAGATGGTATGCTTACTCAAAAATTTCAGTGTGAAATACTAGAGAATAATCGACAAGAAGCCTGACTTCAACTGGTTTTCATCTTCGTTGACATAAACTTGTTTACTGTTCCTTCAACAATGTAAAAACTTACATCGTCATGCATCCGAACCTATGACGGCTCAGTGTTAAAGTAAGCTTAAATGGTAAATAAATTTACTCTAAGGGTGCAGAAACACCTTGGTGAGTACTTAAAACTTGAACTTTGTATCACTTATCATCCAATCAACAATTTGCGTACATAATATAACCCCTGAAAAGCTAAGTTAAGCACTGATTACTATGGATTTAGATCTCCAGGAGAATGCCTTTTCTTCAAAGTTTTAGATATGCTATAAAGATAATTGTCAACAAGCACTAAACACACCGACTGACCCGTAGTATTTAACACCAAAACATATAGTACTGAAGTGTTATGCAACTTAGTAGTTTGTCGAGGTTTAGAAGTAAGGAATTTTAACGGTTAGTACCCAGTGACCACTTTGTGCACAAATTTCAATGTACATATATGTTCCATTGATGTCAGCAGCAAAACGTTTATTAATTTCTGTGCAATGTTAGAAGGAGATTGGTTAGAAGGGGTGTCATACTGACAACTACTCAGTTCTGTAAGCATTTCCCTTGAAGGACTGTGACATATTTGCCAGTTCAATCGTCATTCATCTGATAAATACACAGCATAAAAAATCTCTGAATCCTTCACTAGGGAAACGCAATATCCAAGCTTACATTTATACAATAAATAATGAACTATACCTATTTTCAGCTTTAATGACACTAATATACTGCCCAGATTGAAGTATATGAAGCGATTTCTAACCCAATGATCAAAAGCTGAATGCTTTAAATAAGCCACATTTCTACAAAAGGTTCAATAGTAAAAATTTTTTAACCAGACCTATATGAAATAAGAGTGTAAATTAGCTCTCTAAATTCTGGTAATCGTACACTAACTTGATTTTTATCCCATTAGTTTTGTTTAAACCACCTAAATTTCCCTGTTTCTTTGTGTTTACTCAGTGTCTCACCTCATTAGTAATCCATAAGAGCCTAGATCTTAATACAGTACATTACATCTGATTTACACATAGCTTTTTATTATCTGACCAAGCAACCTTTTCTTTTTATTTACCTGATATAATCCAAAATCCATCAGAATAGTGCAAATGCATTCACTATTTATGCTCCTTTCAATTTTGAACATTTTTGTTGATTCAGTTTTACTGATCTTTTATCTGCTTCAATAAAAGTCTTTTACCAAGTATTTCCTATTTATATACTTTTTATAAATGTAACAATTTGAAATGATGTACTTCTATGAAAATTTTTTCATTGATTTGTCTGTTTCTTATAACTTTTTATATCACCTTTGAACCATTTTTATTTTCGATACTTCTTTGATTCACTGTTATTTGAGACATGTCAAATGTTTACTTATTGCTCATAATAATCTCTTTCACTGTTTACGCTGTGAACGACAAATGAGGAAACATGATCCAGAAAGATTCACCTTACTCCAAAAATCTCTATTTCTTGATTTGTGTAAGATTCACCTTTAATGGAACTATTCACTGTAACTGCTTAACAATTAGAGTAAAACTGATTTTGTTCTATTTTACAAACTATATATATATATTCCATTGCTAGCCCCGATCCATCATTAACATAATAAGAACGCTGGCAATATCGAGGCATCCGCACAGGAGCCTATATATGCTAATAGAGACCGATCAGTTCGGTCCAATCAACGACGGTATCATATAAAACAATTATGCTAAAACTATACCCGTCGAACAAGAAGTGGCCACCGTGGCTCGGTGGTGTAGTGGATAACTCGCTGGCGTTTGAAGCGATAGCTTCCGAGTCCGAATCCCGGTGGGAACAACGTCACTGTGAAGCAGGTACACCCAGCTGACGAGTCCCAAATAAGATGAAATGTGCATCCTGAATCCCACTGCTAGCCACGACCCATCATTAACATATATCAATATGTACACAATTCAAAGCCCCCTCCATTTCTTAAGTAGTGCTTTAAACAAATAAATAAATGTAGTACTTACATACTATGGCTCGATTGTTGTAAACAGTAGTTGTTTCATAGATAATAAGACTTCGTTTGTAATAGTTCAACGCATCAGTATAATCACCTGATTTAAAAGACTAAATTAAAGTATTTTTTTTAACAAAAAAGAAGTATTTAACGATCATATCTATCGTTTAGAGTGAAAACAAGGTCACATTAAAATTAACGAATAGAATAAATTGAACAAACAAAACTCTAAGCTCTTTACTCAATCACATGAGTTTGAATTGGATCAGAACTTAAATTAAGGTCAATTCTACCATTACTAGTCACCTGAAATTCAAATTTCCTAACAAGTTAGCTATTATGATTCAATTAGTTCAATGTTCAAATCGTCATCTGAAGGTTTCTTTCTCTACTAGGGATTTTAATTCAGTTGCAAAAAAAAACAGCTTTACATCATATCAAAGTTGTAATTAGAACAAATTTTGACTTAAAGAATTTATAGTAAAGTCTTTAAGAGACGTGAGAATAAACATAAAAAAATAATCATATTTAAAAACGATTGTATCATTTCTAAAGACATTTTATGGTGTATTCTATATAGTGCAGAAAAAAGTGTTGGTGAATGTTTTTATGATAAACAGACTGTATAGACATGTTGCATGAATTCTTGATAAATTATAGCCTTTTAAACCAATTGAGAGATAACTTAAGAATTCTTCAGATAAATTTTTCATCACCTAAATGAAAATTGTAGCTGCATTGTTGATCTGTTCTCAATCTCTTGTTTAACAATACAGAAAAAGTATTTGAGCACACTGATCTCTTCACATTTCTCAGAAAGTAATTCAAACCTAGTAGATTATTGGTTTACGAAAACCTTATACATATTTTATAGATTCGATAAACTTTTATCAAACGAGACAACCTATGGTACCGGTGAGATGTTCAAATACCTATTTAAAAGCTAAATATGCTGTACACTTGAGTACAATGTACCACAATATGGCTTTAAAAAATCAACATTAAAAGCATAGCGTTTAGGAATGCGTATTTGAACACGCATTTTTAACTTTGTAAGACATCACTTACAGTGATTCGAATGCTTTGTAAGTAACGTAGGATTTAGGCATAAAGCATGGATTCCGTATGATGGTTTATGCATTTTATTTTAAATTGAGAATCTTGAGGAACGTTATCTTTCATATAGACCAAGACGTTCTCTTGTGTGCTTGATTATCCTAAGAACATTCTCAAATTGCATTCGTTGAGTATTCACCTGATCTCATCTAAGATGTGCAACCTGTTTAGGATGGCTACTATCGTAGCTCAGGATTTGCCAGTACTTTTTCGGGCTAAATTAGTGATATTTTTCATTTTGTGAACAAAGTTTACCGAATAGCGTTTTCTTTTATAGGTTTTGACCACATACTTTGATTCCTTCGCTATTGTATCTCTATTTGTTTTCATGCAGTATGCATTCTAAGTTAAACACTAGATCTTCAGGCATCAAGTCTATCTGAGAGAAAAAGAATCCACTTTGGGATTAGTTAGCCTGAGGTATCTGCAATCTAGTGAGTAATGGTGTGCCCACCAGGACTCAAACTCAGTACCTATCAATTCAGGTTCGTCTTAACTGATTTGAGGGAAAAAGTGTAAAAAGTAAGGAAAGTGATAGAACGAAATGTTAATCCTAAAGACTTATAAAAGAATGTTTACGGGTTTTCAAAACACGTAATAACACCTAAAACGAGATTAGGTGAGCGAGAAACAAGTGCAATATCAGAGTATATATATATATATATATATATATATATATATATATATAAGTTGATTGGAGGCAGTCTGTAGGAAGCCTTGGACCTAGGTTTTAGGCTTGTTGGCACCTGTCAGCAACGCGTATTTACAACCACGAGGGGATAGATATCCCTTTCGAGATGGGAACCTGCGTCGCCCAGTGCTATAGTCAGCGACATTACCACTGACTTATTCAGAGCCCCATTGGCCTCCTGGATTAAAAAAAAGGGACATGAATTCCCTCAAAGTTGCAGATACGCCTTGCTGACAACTGCCAAAAAGCACAAAACCTAGATTCAGAACTTCCTACTGATTGCCTCCAACCAATTAACATTCAGCAAAGTGCACTGATGTGATGAGTCTCCTAGTTTGATGGTCATATAGTAAAAATGATGACTGACAGAATTCATTCAGCACTCGGGACATGACAAAATGAAATTGGTTGTTATCCAATGACCAGTCAATATATAGATGAACAACATATTTAAGAACATGGTTATAGTGTTTCATTTCAGAAACAAAGTTTACACTGGCTTACTTCATTCCCCTTGTCTTTTTCTCGTTCAGCTAATTTTTGTCTTGTCTGAATCGGTATATTAGCTACTCTCGATGCCAACTCTTTGTAATCAAGTTTTGTTAGTCCACGTGTTTCAACTTCAGATAAATTCATAATTTCACCTCTTTCAGGTTTACATATTGTTTGATTTTCTTCCTCTAATTCTTTATCCCACACTTTTTCTAATCTAAATTTAACATTTAAAATCAACAATAGATAATTCAAATAATACTGGATTTATTTATCTGATCCAATTAACAATTTTTTTGATAAACAGATAACTAGGTCAACTTCAACAACAGCTGAAATACCATTGAAATTCAATAAAGATGATAAGCCTACAATCCACAAGCAGTAAGATACATGAAAGATGGTTTAAAATTTTTTATATAGTTGGAGGCAATAAAAATAAAATCCTAGAAAGAAAATCTATGCTTCTAAACACTTCTGGATGAAATTCATATCTTCTTAGATATATGAACCTGCATCATTTATTGGTACATTCATAATTGTTGCTACTGAGTTATTCAAAAGATGACTGACCTACGTTACTTTTGGATTTTGTGAATTAATCAGTCACTGGAGAGCAACCAATGTCATATCCTTCAGTGTCAAGTGTTGAATGAAGTTCATATATGGGTATCAAGGTAGATGACTCACTATTATAGTGCAGCTTGATTGATGTTAGGGGATTTAGTTACTCAGTGGGAACTTTCACTCTGATTTCGTAACATCTTCAACAATGTATTGTCACCATATGTAAATGATTGGTTACGGTTGCATTTTTATAATACCATAACAACGAAATGGATCAGCATTTCAAATAATTGTCGTAACCGGTAGGGTAAAACTGGCGGCCGTGAGGACAAATACTCACCGATGACATTGGGTGATGGTCGAGCTATGTCGTGAACTGACAAAAGTTGGAAATATGAACCATTGGATTACGACCCGGTAGCTGGATGACAACGTACTGGTCATGGAACATGAGGGTCCTGGATTCGAGCCCTGGAGGGGTCATGGGTGCGCACTGCTGAAGAGTCCCATCCTAGGATGGAACAGCTGTCCAGTTTTCCCAGGTTTCCAATGTTTCTCCAACTGCTGTCAGATCATGATGAACACCAATTTGAAATTGTCACTACGCCTTTCCAAGAACGAAAATCGTACAGATTTACTAAATGGTATCGAAATTCAGAGAAGTGAATACGGAATACCTCCTTATGATTTTGCACCTACCATAGTGAAAATCAGCCAATAACTTGTCTGAAGTAAAACCGATCCATATTTTTTCTGTATTAGTAACTACATAAATATTTTCCAGTTTGACAATAAAATGACTGACTCCTCTTGATTCAAAAGCTAAATAACACTGCAGGAGGAATAGGGTGATTCAGTGAGCTTGACTGCGTAGATTTCACTGAATCCGACTGAATATATATAAAGTATGAGGATACTGCGTAGCGGTTTACTCTGTACTATTGTACAGCTGAGACACAATCGCCAAAAGTAGAAGATATGAAGAAGTTATAGGTTTTCTTTTACCTTTAGCACCTTCATAGCACTGGTCATATGTGGTGGAACCACAAAGTGATCAATTTCAAGTTTGGGCCCAGAGTACGAGGCAACGAAGACAAGTAAGTAATTGAAGCTCTGAACTTCCTGTGACTTAAGTAGCTTGGACACTTATAGCGTAAGGCCAGCTAACCTTTACGCCAACACACTATGTTAGTCGTCAAGGTTTAGATTCGAAAAAGACAAATGATGACCACATGAAGACGTGGCAACAGTTTATAACGTATCTGACGCTTAGTCTGGGCTGCATAGAGGGATGTAGGCTGCCTGGCTGGGGCCCTCAAGGCAACAGAAATCAGTGGTTGTAGGCTTATGGTGATATGGCTACGAATGAGTTGTAATGTAGTGGGCGTTGCTGACAACAACGGATATAAGTAGTATATATCGAGAGGGTGGCAGGAATCATAGGGAATTACCGGCAATGGGTAAGGTTTCTGCCAAGGGCAACACAGGCACATTACAGGGGATGCTGTTGATAAAAGTGTATGAAGAGCCGGTCAAGAGCAAACCAAGACAGGAACGGAGAGGAAATGAAGACATTCGCAAATGGCTGCGTTAGTGCAAGGAGCACTATATGTAACCACTATCATTCCAATTGCTCATAATAAACATTCTCTCGTCGAGTTGTTTTCTGTTTCTTCAGTAATAGCACACCTGTAACCACTGTGTCAACATTGCAGTATTGTGTATTCTCCAATCATTTAATTGTTCTTTTTCTTCCCGAGCACTTTATTCTGCTCTTATCTTCTTCTTTTTAACACACTTCTTCTTTGCCTATTATTGTGAACTGTGATGAATTGAACTTATGCACTCCTGTATTAGGTTATACATTCATCTGTTTTATACTGTTTGACCGAAGAGTCAAATAAGCAGTGTAAAAATATATATTCATTATTACGTGAAATCAATGGCTTGAATGTTTTGTACCATTCAGTGGGAGTCTCAGATATAAAGAAAGATAACTAGACTGTGAAAAAAAAAAGAAAATTTTAGGGCACTGAGTAACAAGCCAAAATGTTTATTTGAATTCGTATACAGATATTCTATAACCTGAAATAAAACTCGTAAAGAAATGGATAATGAGACTTAACAGCTTAACCTACAAATGTTTGTAAATATACAATGCAGACGTTTTTAAGTAATAAGAATTGTTTACTTTAAAGTCAATGAAATCACTTAACCTGATTTGTAGTGGTGTACAAATTCTCCTCCTTTGTCAGTATTTTTTTCAGTGTTGACTACGTGTAATTAATATCAAATTAAAGTTTGTCATACAATCTGAATAAATGTTTGATGATTTTTTCGGGAAGAAAAAATGAGAATAGTAAGATAAGAGAATAGATTTTTGTATAAAGAACAATAAAATAACTTACTTATCCCATTCACTATAATCTCTTGGTTTCAATACCCTTCTACCAAATGTATTATCACCACTTGAATACACCTACAGTTAATAATGATAAAGATATTGATGTTAAGATAAATCTACAGGAATACGGTGAATAATGTTGGAAATAATTAGCTGATAAAAATGCAATACTATTTTTTTCCAATGCATCTTTCATATTGTTACTACTATTTATGGATATGCTTGTAATTCTCCGTTGTTTTACTGGATCGAATTATTCAACCTCTGTTGGCATATAGGTTCTTAAGTGGATGCCTCGATACTCCCTGGTTGTTAAGTATGGTAATTTTGCTTGGTTGTGGTTAGCAGAAGACTCCAGGACGCGCGTTTTGTCCTATTTGGGACTCATCAGATGGATGCACCTGCACCCCAGTGAGTGATGTTCTCACCGAGACTCCAACCTTGTACCCATCGCTTGAAACGCCACTAGGCCACGGAGACAGGATAGCCACCTCTAGCACAGCGGGTATTAATTATTACTATTTGTAGATGTGCTTGTAATTATCCGTTGTTTTACTGGATCGAATTGTTCAACCTCTATTGGCATATGGACTCCTATGCGGATGCCTTGATATTGCCTGATTGTTAAGTATGACAATTTACTTGGTTTAGTTTGATATCAATGTACAATTTCCAGTGGTCACAACGAAATGTGTCCTAGGTTATGAAGTCGATGGCTTTTTCAATTATATGAAGGGTTGTCAACTGAGAACACTTTAACAGCGAAAACTATTGGTTGAAAATTTTAATGTGATCCTCGCCTTGTGTTCATCTTCGTTTAAGCATTTACTTCTTAAACTCTAATTCACAGAATAGTGGAGGCAAATAACCAAAATAGTTTCATAAATAATTCTTTTGATCAGGATATTGGAGAGTTCGTGTATGATTAATTTGAAAATCAATAGCTTTCTGACATCTGGTGATTGGTACAAGCTGCACGGTACATGTTAACTTACCAACTTCTTTATACAAACGAAGAAAATGTTTTAGCAACTAAACTGCCAGTAGTGTAGTTATAGTCCTGAGAACATTGTTTATCAAATGACAGAAGTGTTTAAGTTCTCATCCCACTTAAATGACATTAAAATGAATCTATGGTTCACTGAATGTCGAGTGATATCACTTATTATATATGGGAGTGTATTCATCCTTCAGTCATTATAATTGCTACTGCTTTAGCCCCTACCTTTACTTCTAAAACCTTCTGTGACTTCCGATAACATTTTTCTACCTTCCATACAACTGTTTTTTGTCTTGATATGTTGATATCAGGTACGGTGACCTGCAATGTTACTGAATCATGTCTAGTACGATATTGATACTGACTGATTAAACAAGCATTACAAAAAAGCTACTAATTTATAATCCTCACATTTTCTCTGGGAATTTTCGCACCTAATTTGTCCCACTTTGGAAGTTCTACCTGGTGACCCCAATTTTTCCCTACCACTCAAAAAAGTAGTGTCATAACTTTGTAACTCATATTCTATCACCAAAGAATGACATTCATGAGGCTTTTCCTACTTCAGGTTAAGAATGCAATAAACTTCCTAAAACCTTAAACTATGAGCCCACTTGATTAAATGATCCCATTTACAACTTCATCAATTCTTAGCAAATACTGAATAGATCATGAAGAAATGCCAGTGTAAAAGTGATATCTGAAATAACTAAAAAAAGGCAGTAAACTACAGACATACATCCTAAATTGACTGAGTTGAAAAGTATTTTGGCTTCATCCTACTTTGTGACTTCTGTGCAACGTGTAATCCAAAATCACTTCTGCATCAAACCTCAGGATATCGATTCCCAATGTCAGCATGTTAGAGAACAGCAGCTGCTTTAGAAAAAAGTTATGAGTATTTTAACAGTAACCTCTCCTAATTAACTAGTTCACTAGTTATTAGCCGGTCCTAAGCCCGAATAAACAGGGAAGGTTGGGCATAGAGCTAGCAACCCTACCGTAAAACCAATCCAAACGCTAAAGCAAACTTCAAAGCATAAACAAAATATAAAAAATAAAAATAAAAACTTATTCCTCGCTGGAATCGGACAAACGAAATGACGCCGGTTGGTGAAGGCCTTCGAGAAGTCAATTGGCCGATATGTCTTCTCTCTCTAGATGAAAGCACAAGTAAGAATGGAGACATGGAATGTACGCACCATATATGAACCTAGCAAAGCTGCCCAGATTGCAAAAGAGATGAGACGCTACGGCATAGAAGTGTTAGGAATCAATGAAAACAGATCGAATGGAAGTGGACTCTCCAAACTGTCAACTGCAGAGGAGTCAATAATCTACTCCGATATCGTCACCCAGACGACAACCACGAACACAATGGGTTTTGGAGTGGTTATCATAATGTGCCCAACAGCATCAAAGGCTCTCATGCAGTAGGAACCAGTCTCCTCCAGGATCGGAACCATGACAGCAAGATTCAACTAGAAAGGAAGGAAAGTCACAATCATACACTGCTACCCTACCCACCTACAAATAATGCAGATGAAGAGAAGAAGGAGGAATTCTACAGACAACTGCAATCAGTACTGGACAAGATCCTATTCCAGTTGTCAACATCAAAATTCTAATGGGTGGCATATTTTATTGCCAAACTGGGAGCGGACAATACGGAAAGAGAACTCATCATGGGTCGAGAAGCACTCAATGAAATGAACGAGAATGGAGAACTGTTTGCAGAATTCTGCGCATTCAACGATTCGGTGATTGGAGGCAGCGTATACAAACACAAGGATATTCACAAAACGATATGGATTTGATTTTACCAAATGGACGCAATACACTAAAAATCAGATCGATTACATCGCAATCTCAAGAAAGTGGAGATGCAGACTACTGGACACAAGATCAAGAAGAGGAGCGGACGTAGATTCAGACCACTCACTGTCTAGTAAAAGGAACCTACCTTCAAAATCAAGTTGAAAGCCTTCAAAGAAGTTCGTGATGACAGACTACTGTTCAAGTTCAACACCCAGAACACAAACTGAAGGATAAAACTACAAAGGAAATCTTCACGTAAACCATCACAACAAAATGGGACACACTGAGCAACATCCCTAAAGAAACCTCAGTGGAAGAAAACTGTAACTCTTTGAAAGGGACGTAGAAAGAAACCTGCACAACCGTGTTAGGAAGGAGAAACAAAGCGAGACAAGAATGGATCTCGACGGATACATGGAAGCTGATAGAGCAGGGAGAGAAGATGCAGATGATGAGGCAGAAGATGAACCAGTGCAGTGCAAAGATGAACAACGAAAGAGGAACTAAACACAACCTATGAAACACCACAGTGGACAAAGAAGTGAAGAAGAGTGCTCGCAAAGACAAAAAACACTTCTACGACACACTGGCAAGTGAAGCAGAACCAGCTGCATGTGGGAGGGACAGAAACCTGAAAACACTATATCAAATAACCAGGTTACTATCTGGGAGGGACGAGATGAACAAAGACGAAACCAATGAGAGACAGGGAGGGAAATTAGGTAACCAAAGAGGATAAACAAAGAAAGCGATGGCCTGGCCACTTCAAAAAAATTCAATTGACCACCACCTGCGACTCCTCCAGAAATAACATCAGCAGCTCAGTCACAGAATTACCAGTGAACACAAGCTCTCAGACAAAAGCAGAAGTGAACTCCTCAACGCCATAAAGTTGCTGAAATCCAACAAAGCAGCAGGACCAAATGGAATTCCACCAGAAGCACTGAAAAAGGACACAGAGACAACAGCGGATATGCTCATTCCACTACTGCAGAAGGTCAAGAAGGAAGGAAAGTACCCGCCTATTGATTGGAACGAGGGCTACCTTGTCAAACTTCCAAAGAAAAGAGACCTAAGTCTTTGCAAGAACAAGAACTAGAGCGAAATTCTGCTCCTGTCCACTCAAAGCAAAATATTAAGCCGCATCATCCTCGACAGACTAAAAAATGTGCTGCATTCAAAATTACGACCAAAACAGCCTGGCCGGCTACCTTCAGCAAGAACACATCATGTGCGAATCAAATACCTACGTTGCGCCATGCATCATCATAGAACACAGCATAGAATCGCAGTCAACTCAACTTCATCGATTTTGATGAAAGGCCTTCGACAGCGTCAACAGAGAAATAATTTGACAGATAGCTGCTTCAACACTACGCACTTACTACCAAAAACATTTACCAATTTCATTCAACAGCCATATGACAAGTGATCAACAAGGGAAAGCTCACTGACACCTTTGAAGTGAAGACAGGGCACAGGAGTAAGACAAGGCTGCCACCCACTATCACCGATGATATTTCTGATTGTCACCCACTGGATAATCCAGCAAACACTGGGGAGCGAGAAGATGAGCATACACTGTTTCACCGATGAAAAGACCCAGAAGAAGATTGGCATTTCGACAACGATGGTGATTTATGTCGAATGTCTTGTAGCACAAACTCGAAGATCTACAGGCAAAAACTAACAAGTTGGCAGAAGAGGTGAGGAAGGGAAGCGAACACAGGACTTCAAGTGAACATAGAGAAGACAGAAGTGATGAAGATACTCAACCAACAACATCAACAACAAGCACAAATCACCGCCAATGGCAGAAACCTAAAGAAAGCCGTATCTTTCACCTACCTACCTAAGCAGCATCGTTTCAACTACAGGCGACACAGGCACACATGAGGATGTCAAAACCATGATAGGAAAGACAGCAAGACAGACCATTAATCTGAAATCAATGTGGAGACCTACTGCACTGCACTGCACTGCACTACGCTCAGTAAGAAGAACAACGTCCGGATTGTCAACACTAATTCAGTCAAGTCACTGCTTCTATGTGATGCTTCAGAGACTTGGCGCATCACGAAAAGCATTCCCAACAAACTACAGACAATCATCAACATCTGCTACCTACGCTCACTCCATAATGAACATCACATCGCCAGAAAGAATAAACAACAAGTAACTCTAGCTCGCTGACTGGCTGGCAACGAACCAACCAGGAACCTATCGCCCAACAATTATGCAGAAGAAAGTGGAGATGGATTGGGCATACATTGAGGAGACCATTCGGAGACATCACGCGCCAGGCCGAGGCCCTCGAGTGGAACCAAAGTGGAAACGACGAGTTGGGCGTCCGAGGCGAGGGTGACATGGAGGAGATCATATGAGGAAGAAATGAAAGCTTATAGGCAGTCGTGGAGCTAGGTTGAAAGGACTGCAGAAAACAGAGTGCAGTCGAGGCGTTCTACTGAAGCCCTATGTTCTACTAGGAACCGAAGGTATAAATAATAGTAAGTAAAAAAAATTTTAACCATACCATTTTTGATATCATATTGAATGGTGTTTATACGAAAGCGTTTCAAAATTATGTAATGGATTTACTCACTCTTATAGCTGGTTCATCATGAAAAACAACTGTGCGCCGAACAGGTGGTAAGTCTTCATTATCATACTTTAGAACTTCTCTTCTAATGCTTCATCATTTATGTCTGCTTCTGTTTCGGAATTTATCTTTTTCTTTGTCTTAGCTGATAAATGATGGTAACCATTTTCATCACTTTCCTCCGCATTATATTCTTCGTTCAAAGACTTCATTTCATCTAACCAACTCTATATCAACAAAACAATTAATAAATTAATAAGTTAAATGTTTCAATCTGTTCGGTCACCTTTCAAAAATAATCCCTAAAAGGTAATAATTATAAATAAAAGTTTTAGTTATTAAAATTTGTTTATTCATCCTTGTGATATTGAATTAAAACATGATATCTAATGGCTTTTGGTTTAAAACATGTACCTTGTCATTTCGATATGTTTCCAGTGATAAAATACGATTGTAATAGTGGGAAACTAAATTATATTTGCACACTTTTCTATTTCAGTAGAAAAATGCATTTAGAGAATTCTGACAATGAAGTAAAGACTGATAAATAAACTGTTATTTATACTGTACGATGATTGAAGGTGAAAGAAAAATTTGAACCGCAACCGGATTCGAACCGCCGACTACTAGGTTTCTTGCCCAATGCTCTATCAACTGAGCTATAAGGTACGGCTACAGACCAGATTTTTATTTCACTTCAATCACCATGGATTTTGTCCATCTACCATTTGAATTCATGATGCGTTACTGCCGCTTGATCGTATTCACGCTGGGTTGTAGTCGGGACTGTTATTTGATAATTAAGTTAACAATGATAATTTGGTTGATTGTGGCTAGCAGAAGAACCCAAGACGCGCGTTTCGTCCTATCCGAGACTCGTCAGCCGGATGTACCTGCACCTTAGTGATTTTGTCCCCACTGAGACTCGAACCTCGTACCCATTCGCTTGAAACGCCAAGGCGTTAGTCACTATGCCATAGAGGAACTGTAACAGCTTCTTGTACAACGGGTGATAGTTATCACTATTTATTGACATGCTTGTTATTTTGCGTTGTTTTATTGGATTGAATTGTTCGACCTCTATTGCCACAATCAACCAAATTATCATAATTAACATTCAGGCAATATTGAGGCACCCGCATAGGAGCTCATATGCCAATAGAGATTGAACAATTAGATCCAACAAAACAACGGAGAATAACAAGTATGTCAATAAATAGCAATAATTAAATTAACAGTTTACTTTGAATACATAGACAGGCATAGTAGTCTATTGTATCACATTGCTTCTAGGTGGATAACTAACATCTGCTGTTGACAACTAATAAAGATAATAGAGTTAAAGAGTCCAAAATAAAACTAATGTATTATTACAATAAATCGATACGCAAGAGAAGACTAGTCACTTCATCAAGTAAGTCAACAAACAATAGGGTGCACAACATGTTATTATGAAAGGTTAAACTGAACTTTCAACAAAATTTGATCATATGACTAAGAACAGCTATACTGTTTATCATCCAAGGAACTGTTTGCTTGAACGCAGAGATTAGAAAAGTATTTTTAAAGTAAAGAAAATGTAAATGTGAAGGAAAGTACAAAGAAAGGTACTTAAAGGGAACAATAGCAGGAATGTTAACCAAATGGTGAAAATACTGCAGAACAGTTTGTTTGTCTAACTGGTCCACGTTTACTTTAAACAATCCTAAGGAGAAAAGTTTCGACGCGTAATCGAATGACTTTGATATGAATTAGCAAAAGGTAATAAGTGAGTGAATGTTTTAAACTAATTAAAAAATTAGCACTTATCGATTGGTAGGGTTAACCAGTATAGAAAAATATAGTATATATTACAAATACATAAATCTGTGCAGCTGTGTTTTATCCTCCTCAGAATTCCTTCATATGACACATACTAAAAGTGGATCTCCTACCTTCCAGAAAATGTATTAACCACGTCTTTTTAAAGGTAGTCAAACCATAAGGCGTACCTCCCCTAATGTCATATTCAAAGTTTATTCCGTAGAACACTTCCTGTTTTATATCTTCTACAAAAATGTAAACGACTAGTAAATAATTTTACTCAATGAATTAATTATTGTCAGGTGACCTGCCTAAAAACGGGCTACCCAAACTTTTTCACTGAATATATTTTATAAAATTCTTCCATTGTTTGTTTAAATTTTTCGTTCAAAGTTCAAATCAGATGCTAATGTAACACCAGCTGGTTGTTTAACATTAGTGCTTTTATTACTGTTGTCATTATTAACCCTTATTAAGATGCAGTAATTATTTCTGGGCAGTCGTGAAGCTAGGTTCAAAAGACTGCAGAGAACATAGTGAAATGGAGACGTGCTACTGAAGCCCTATTTGCCACTAAGAACCCAAGGGACAAATAATAATTATTATTATTATTTCCTTTAGAAGTATTATAAAGGGAGGGAATGTTTTGAAAAATTATATGCTGAGAGTACCATATTATGTCACACTTGTTGTTTGGAATAAAGTGATTGTTATCATTGTTATTACTAATCTTATGAAATTCGAGTAATGACTTCGAAAGACGATCCCATTATGACCTTCAAAGAAACGAATACTGGTCATCAGTTACCATTATTGAGAAAGAAAGTGATGCATATAAATAAGCAAACAGAAAATATACAATATTTAACTCTTAGTAGACACATTAAAAGTAGTAAGCTTTAAAACCAATTTCATAACAAATTGATACCAACTGATAATTTAACGGTGCTATAAATCTGTTCACCTTAATTGCTAAAATTCAATACAAGATAATTTGGCTTCCAAAAATACTGCCTTAACCCTATATCAATGAACATTACCACCCAAATGGAGAGGATTTTAAACTTCTGCTAAAACGAACTATCACAATAACCGATTTCAATACACGGTATATTTTGTGTTCAAGAAAATCAAACGGATCAGGGCTAAACAGTCTCAAATTGTTAACGGCTTCGAGGTTTGCAATGGTTTACTAAGTGATATCATACCCTTATGTTATAAAAACCTGGGAATTTATAGATGATTACCAGTTTGACTAGTCTTTAAAGCCATAGAAAGTTAGACATGAAGAGCAAGAGATTTGATAGGCTTCCGTATAAAAGTGCTTAATATGCTGAAATAATCTGCAAGAGAGAATGTGACCAAAGGATACCTTAGGAAATGTAAAGAAGAGGTCAAATTAAAAGGCTAATAATTACAACCATAACAGAAACAAGAGTTTTATAAATTTCTCCTATGTATACCATTTTGGTTTCTCCCGGCGTATGATACAGACTTTCTAAGTCCAAAGAAGTCTGCAACGTAGTATCGCCGTTAATGTTTTCATGATATAAAAAAACTTCAAATAATGATGCAGTTTTCCACTATATCCAACGAATCACTGATTCTTAGTGATTGGTCATTGAAGAGTAACCAACTTCATTTCATTTAATCCTAAGTGCTGATCGAATTCTGCAAATCATTTTGCAGTGTGACCACCACGCTAGTTGTCTCAATATCGCGATGTCTTTTGATAGATGTTAATTGGATGGAGGCAATCTGCAGGAAACCCTGGATCTAGTTTCCATGCTTTTTGGCACTCGTCAGCAAGGAGCATCTGCAACCCTTACAGAACTGCTTTCCTGCTAGAGATTTGAACCCGCGTCATCCAGGGATTTAGTGGTTCATCCAACTAACAACTGTAATAGTGCATCGAGATGTTGAATCACTTAGAGTGGTGGCCATATTACAAAACCTTCGATAGAACTCCGCCAGCACTTAGGACTAGACAATATGAAGTTGGTTATTCTCTAGTGACCAATCAATGTGCCTAATCCAGTCCTACAGGAAGTCAGTCGCAGCCTTAATAGCTCAGCTCTAACGTCTTTGACTGCATCACTGGATGATGCAGGTTTGCATCTCAGGTGGAACATCAGTTTCTTAGAGGTTGGAGGTACGTCTTATTGACGAGTGGCAAAAAGCACGAAATCTAGATCCAGGGCTTTCTGCTGATTGCCTCCATCCAACTAGAAGCACTGAGTGCTACGAAAACGGGATAATATGTCTAGGCGAAACCCTATAAGTGTTCAGTACGATTTGTGGACAAAAAAATACATAAACGAAATCCTGTCGACAGAGCTTCTATGTCAAAGAAACACATCTATGTGAATCCGAATTTCGTGCATGATTATGACTTTGGGATCATTTAGATGAAGATTTGTAACTCTTAAGGAAGGGCTCCATTAATATCAATAATGATAATGGTGTACTCCAGTTGTTCAGTATTTTTTTAAAAGCTTAAATTACAAGCTTCGATATATGACCACTTTTATATACGCATGAAATTCATTTGCTTCTGAGTAGCCAAGGATATTGGTCGTCTGATATACGTTCTTTGTGAACAGGTTAAAGAACACACTATACCATCCGGCTGCGAAGACCTATCAGTTTGTATTTCAAAAAGCGACTTCATAGAACACACGTACAACAATAGCCAAAGGCTCATAGCTGGTTTCCCACTGAAAGTTTTTGATAAAATGAAAATAAAATGACGGGAATACTACATTGCAGACCTCTTTGCATCGAGTAACCCATTGTCACATGCCCAGAGAAACCAGAATTATAAATACAAAAGAAATTTGTACAATTCTTGTTTCTATCATGGTCATAATTACCACCGCTGGAATTAGACTTCCTTTCTACATTCCCTAAGGTTCACTGGATCGCATTCTACCCCGCAGATTATTTCAGCATATTACATACTTTTATATTTAGACCTGTTAAACCTCTCATTTTTCTTGCTCTCATGTGACTAATTTTCACCTTTATTCAAACTTCTGATCTTTTCACATCACCTTAGGTCTTAGTTAAACGTGAATATACGTTGGGCGTGAATCATATGTGACTTCTGATGAGATTTGAACCATGGCAGAGTTTATCGACTTAAAAACAACATACTATAATTTGGTAAGTATCTCTGTGGAATCATTAATAAACGTTAAAGATAGAGTACAACTATCTTATTGAAAGTTTGGACCCTTGTCCCAGTCTATAGCGAATTGATCGCTGCAACAACTGATGGTTTAAATCCCTCAATAAATCATGACAGAACTGCTGAGAAGTTCCTAATTTTAGAGTAACAACTCTCCTACATTCACTAATTTTTAGTGGTTTCTTAGCAGATATGAACCAGTGATGAAGACTACTTTGAAATTAGATAACTTACTAAAGAAATAAAATAAACTTACCTGAAAATCTTGTTCAACTTGACATCTTTCTTCTTTATCCAGTTGCGTAATTTTTATTGGTTCTATTGTCTTCCGCAGAACCCGACTGTTAATGCCACAGAAACAACAACAAGAATTGAATATGGGGAGTTTGTGGGGATTCAGAGATTTTTTCAAGTTGGTATTCATCGTCGACTGACATCAGATAGAGGAAAATTGCAAATCTGAGAGAACTGGACAACTGTTTCGTCTTAGTATAGGATGCACCCATGACCCTTCCCCACCAGGGATCCAACCCACGACCTTCAGGTTCGGTAGCCAGCACGTTACCGTTGAGCCACTGGGTCGGAATCCAATGGTCCGTATTTCCGAATTCTGTCAATTCACGACATAGAGCGACCGCCATCCAATGTTGTCGTTGAGTATTTGTCTTCACGACCACCACGTTTGCCCCGCTGGTCACGACTTCTAATTGGAATTTCGACAACAACCTCTGAAAGTTAGCCATCAATGAGCACTAGTTCGACTGAATTTGGGGGACTTGTGGAGATTTAGAGGTTTTTTCTGTTGTTGCGCTGCTGACGAGTCCCATACCAGGACGAAACAGCTGTTTAGCGCTATCACGTTCCCAATGTTCCTCCAACTGATATCTGTCCACGATGAATACCAACTTGAAAAAACAACAAGAATGTTACGACTTTTAGTCTAGGAATAGCTGATTTCTCCATAGATGTACATCATACTGAGTAAAGATGAATAATGGTCTAACTTCATGAATTATGCTCATAGAATAACACTGATCATAATATTGATTAAACTGAGAATACTTCACAGCCATATCAAATAGAATACTATTCCACACTATCAGTTAAGGCTTATTATTCACAAGAAGCTCTTTGGGTTAATTATTGTGACCAAATACATAAAAGAGCATTTTATTTACTGTATACAATATAATGTTTATCAAGCTACAAATAAAACGACACTTTGGATTGTCAGGAACTTATGCAGGATCCTATTCTAAATTCTACCATGCCAATAAATTTATGTGTCATCTGAATATCGGAACCATATCTATGGGTGATACGTTTACAGTACTGAAATCGGAACACATTGATAGGTTCTTGGCACATTTAGATTCAGTAGTGAATGCAATCCAATTTACCTGTGACTTAGAAAGTGATGAAGATGAGCTAGCAATGTTGAATTCCAAGATGGAAGTTTAAAGACTAGTAACTGTAGGAGACCTTCCCATTCGAATCACTTGCTAACACCGAAAACTGCTTGAATATATTTTTATTAGTGGGCTAACAGACAAATAAAGCCCAAGATACTTCTGTGAAATGACACTCAGCCACCATCAAACTTTAGTGGAACATTATGAACAAATTTCTGGAGTCTTTTACACAAACATATACATTATAACGCTGTTTCTATTCAATCCAACCTGATTGTCCTAGTTTTTTTTGATAAAGTATCAGTCTTTACGTAAAGGAAGCAATATGTCAACAAATTAAATGTATTTGTAAACAATAAAGAATTTAATAGATGTACTTTGGCTGTAACTGAGTAGGTAAAAAATTTATGTTGGAAAACGTTCATTTTGATAAGCCAAAATCATTTGAAAGTGAGTTTTAATTAACTGTTTTGGGACAGCAGCAACGTTCTACCCCAGTTTAAGACTAGTGTTTTCAACTTTGAAACAGCTTTGACAAATGTTTTTCTATCAACTAAAATAAACAAGCAGTCAGACACCTCAACACTTTAGAAATAAACTGGATAGTAAAAGAAGTTCATTGAATAGTAAATATAGTGCTTGACATCTATTTCGTAAATAATGGTTGCATTTATCGGGTACGCGTGTGTTTGCTGAGTTTCATGTATTTCTATCAAAACACCACTTTTTAGTAACAAAGTGAGACTTTCTATGACACAGTAATTCACTACCTAAAATAAGGGTTCATGTACTGGTGTTACATTGATGTTTTCCCTCAACGACTGATCAAGTGAAAAAACATTATTGTAGGAACAAAGGCCCATGACGAGTTATGAACTTTCGGATGGGAAAGTTTCCTATTTGTTAATTAAGAAGTTGGTTTGCTGGTGAGATTTTAACTTTGTTTAGCTGCACATTTTAACAATATAATATGCAATCATGTCTCCGAACTATCAAAACCAGTGGAGATGAAAATTAGATAAACATTTTGTTGTTTAACTACATCAAACATTAACAAATGTTAATCTGCACACTTACAAAATGATTAGATTACAACTGTTTTATCCTTTAAACATTATTTCGATCTTGAACTATACTAAGATGGATGACTACATTCGGATAAAACTCAGTAGAAAAGCAAACAGAAATATAATATCTAGCTGGATTTCTCCCTTCACATCAGGGTTTTTTAACTAGGGAAACAGTTCACATTTCTATTTTTAAGCGTTAACTAATAGAGCCAAGGGGTAAAAAACCACTAAGATAGGAACTGGCAATACGCTTCAAAAGAGTACGATCTACTACAACTAATAAATCGTTGATAGATTCCCATATATGCAGTGTCTAGTTACCACAAACCAGTTTAAATTTCCATTCATGAGTTTTATGAATGTTTGTTAGCTTAAGGTAGGAACTATCTGAACATAGCCCAAACCTTTATTCAGGTATAGCAATTCGACAAATTGATACAGAAAACACCATAACTCATGATGTACATAAGTGCAAATTGTAAATATTTTTAACGTTTTACAGGTGGAAAAGGTTTGAACACATATAAGTGCATCATCTGCATAATATGAAGTGCAACACTTGTGCTAAATAGACTCACAGTGAATATCAACCCCGAATAACACTCTTTTTGAAAACAACGACAAGGATAGCATTTCCCATCACGTCTCTAAATATTGTAATTGCTTTATGTATGCTATCGGTTTGGAAACAACACTTAAGGACTAGAGCATATGAAGTTTATAGTGTCCACGAAAATTAGCGACACTGATCAATACTAATAATATACCCATCATAACTACTTACGCACAAAATAATTCAATGATAGGTGGAGAGCTCCATGTTCTCACCTAGTAAATACTTTGAGTGATAAACTGTGACTTTTTAGTCAGTATTTAACTCATGCACTTCTTCGAAACCATAGGTGAAAGCTGTAAAAGTATTTGAACTGCACTTTGAAACTTTTGTAAACATCAGGGTAGAACTTAAGTTATAAAACTAGAAATTTCTATGAAAAATATTGCGGATTCCTAAAGCACAACCACTGTTTCGTACCTAAATGTTGCAGTGTGCATGAGAATTCTACCGTCTATGTCAGGCCAATCTTCCAATCAAAAACTCGAGACTCGCATAAGGTATAGGGAAATAAACACAAAAATCACTAAGGGTTCCTTTGGGGCGCTTTTTGAAAAGGGAGTGACTTGTAACGATCATTCAAATTCTTGGCATTTTTGTGCTTATACATCAAAGACTATTGTATTTCTGCTATAATGGAAATAATCGTCGATTCCAGTGAAACAGGAACTTTTGGGAGTGAATTTCTTATGGCAAATCACCTACTACTTTGACGTAATTGTGGTTTTCCAGTCCAAGCGGCTTTTCTGTCACATGTTGCAGGGGTTTCTCATAGTTTTCGTTTTCCCACTCACGTGTCACTGTTTTTATCAAGTTTTTCTTTAGTCTCTTCGAGATGGTCAAAACAAATGTGTCACAGAAGTGCTGGTAGTAGACCGGATTGCCAGTTCGCAGTAACCTCTAGGATGCAGTGTTCCGCCTGTACGAGTTAGTACCACAATAACTGCTAGAGCCCTAAAACTTCAGCATACAAAAAGTACATAAGTGCAGAGAGCGTCTGGCTTTGCCTGTCGTGCTGCTCAGATATTCACTGGCTGGTTGAAGAAGCGAAAACATTCCCAAACACTATCACGAAGAGCCTAGTATCCAAAATGAAAGCTGATAATTGTGAAAGAGATAATGACACAGCATCCGTCGACACAGATCGATGTGCAGAACCTTAAAAATGTCCTATGATTGACTGAAAGTCAAGCGCGTAGACTACCTACAAGGTTTGTTGATGACGGGTAAGTTCATCCTGAGGTTGTCAGTGTCAAGGTCACTGACTCTGAGAAATATCAAGTAATTGGTCACTAAACGACATGCCATAAAGCCAGTAACAGTCATAAAACCAACTGTCAACACTCCATAGAGAAAGATAAAGTAGAGCTCCTTGAAAGTGCTATAAATCTTCCACACTGTGGAAGAGGGTAGACTCAGAATCACGTAAAATGTTTAAATCGTGTTCAAATCAACAGAATTGAGGGATCATATTCTGAAAAGTGCACATAGACTTCAAGGAACTGAAGTTGCCGCACATAAAAATTTGTCTCTTGCTGATCCAATCAAAAAACGACAGACAGAAGAGGAATTGAAATCTAGATGAGCAGCAGGAGAAACAGGTCTAAAAGAACTGGGTTTTCGTACAGTCAGGCTTCAATATATACTGCCAAAGTCTCTATGAATACGGAAGAAGAGTTTTTATCGTCTTTTACACAAATACACATAGTCTTCTGAACAAGTGGACTGAGCTGAGCAATGCACTAAGCATACAAAACCGTGGTATCATTGATATCACAGAGACTCAACTCTTTTATGAGGTCATTGACAGTGAAACATATTTACGAGGATTCGCCCCTTTTGGAAGTGATGGGTTAGCACGTAGAGGTGACGGTGTCGTCCTTTAAGTTAAGAATACCTTAAGTGTAAGAGTCATAGAAGCGGTTGAGCGCAAAAGTGGGACGTCTGAAATGCTGCTCTGCCAACTAAAATGCAAGGCACAAGATGCCAATCTAATCGTAGTATATGAAAATCCCAAATGTAAGGCAGAAGACCTCCTTTTGAATAAGCTGACCCAATGGACAGATAACTGCAGACGTCTGGTTGCGTAAAACTTCAACGCACCATTATTTGACTGGAACAAACAAACAACAGAAGCATTTGACTATAGGTTAGTAGAAACATCAAGTCCCTCGGCTTTTATGCAACACATTAGGCCAGCGACTAGATATGGTCATCAGCATGCTCCATCAGTTCTAGAATTATTATTCTCGCAAACAGATGGTGTAAGCTTTATCTGGTACCATGCACACTTAGGCAAACGTGATCATACTGTGATCATCTTCAGATTCACAGCAGCCATCTTTACCAACCCGATATCCCAGTTAGACCTAATGCATAGAAAGCCAATATGGCAGCAATTAACTTGGAAGCCTCTTCGGAAGATTGGACAGTCAAGTAAGGAGATGTACGGTGATCCTTCAAACACTTCTATTCGAAAGTGACTACTGTTCATTCCATGGACTGTCCAGAGTCGGCGGAATCCTTGTCCTTTGTGAATAAACAATTTAATCCAAAATTTGCTACGATGCAAGAATGTGTTGTAGTGTGGCCATTCATCTCGGCACTCCCAAGGTGAAAAAGTACAACAAAGAAGCCAAAAGTGAGTGTACTGCTGCAAGCCAGCAGTCTCAAATACGTTTTGAAACAATTCCGTGGATACACCACGAAATCTGAATCTTGCTACAACGTAAGAAAAAGTGTTGGATTCTTGCCACCTATATATATATATATATATATATATATATATATATATATATATATATATATATATATATATATATATATATAGCAAAAGAAACAAAATAGATGTTTTTTGGTGAAATGTATTAAGACCGTCAAGTACTACCGCAGACAATGAAAACCTTACAACACTGGACGGAGTTCTTCGAATCCAATTTGAGGTATAACCTTGATTAACGTATGCACACGATAAGCGTATGTATCGTGAAAAGAGGATTAAGTTATTGTGGTTCATCTGACAGACACATTCAAGTGAGTCTCAAAATTTCAAGACAGGACTCAGTTTTTAGAATGTTGAAATACGTAACGTGGGATGTTACCTTAAAAAGCCTCAAAATCTCAAATTTTGTGAACAATAAAGGGATGCCCACTTAACAATAAGTTATCAATTTTGGCCTTTTAAAATGAAATATTCAGTCACCTTCTAGGATTCAACAACTTTATTCTTTCCTCACAACAGGATTCCAGCTCCACATAACGGCCAACCTCACCGGATCTAAAAACGTCAAACATCCATATCAAAATATACCTTAAGGTTTTCATTATTTTCTCCAGCTCGTCGACGTCACTACAAGAATTAAGATACTTAAAATCCAGGTGTGATATCGGAATGTCATAAGTTTTTGTTCTTTCATTAAAGTAAATACCATCAGCCATAAGTATATTATCTGCAGTTGATTACCCGCCGTTTCCAGTAATCAACAGCTACAAGCAACAAAACAAACATTCGGATTCAGATTTGTTGTTTGGGGATAGGAGGTCGGGAGCTTATATTAGTCCTTTTCCTTTCCAATCCTCTTTTGAATGAGTCAGCTGGTGATTTCCAATATCCAATATTGGTAGTGCGAGCGTAGAAAACTAGTAGTTTTTGATCTCTCGCGTCTAGTTCTTAGGGCTTGGTTCCAGTTGTTCGGTTTACTCCTGCAGTGGACGAGGAAATCCCCTCTGCTTTCTTGCTTTTAGCTTCGGTGAGGTGGATGTTTTGTGGGTTAGTAGGTTGTAATTTGTAGAGTGATTAGGGAGCTACGGGTTGCTGGGAAGTTTAGAGAACTGCCATGACTCCTGTCTGTGTAGGTACCTGGAAGAGAATAGTAAGGTAGTGGTAAAGGAATGAAGAGAGAATAAAGAAGAGAGTGAAGTAGCACCATAGAGACTCTGGGAGCTGGGTTAGGGCCGTATCGCTAACCATCCTTGCCTTGAAACAGGAGTTTGCGTAGATAGCCACTCCCCCTCCTGCTCTATGTTCCCTGTCCCTGCGGAAGAGTTCCATGCCAGCAACACGCATCTCTTCGTCGGAGATGTCCGATGAGAGCCAGGATTCGGTGATGAATATGATGTCGGAGTGCTGATGTTCACGCAGCGTCCTCATTTTTGCTACCTTCCCTATTAGCCCCCTAACGTTGCTGTACATACATATTTGAACACCACTTCTTCTTAAAGTCGGTTCCAGGCGCTGATTACTCGACGCGAGAACCAGTACTCTGTGGAGACTATGTTCTTTCTTTGTTTTCGTAGTCTCCTACTATGTACTCTGAGGTGTTCCGGCCTAGTGGGAAGGAAAAGAGAAGATAGATCAGGTGCGGAGTCATTTCTTAGGATCTTTCACAGCATGATCGGGTTTCCCCTTAGTCTGCGGGAGGACAAAATGAAAATTTTCGGCTTCTTAAGTCGATCTTCATAGGTGAGGCCAGCCATAGCAAGTATCATATGAGTGGCTGCCCTCTGAACTCTTTCCAGAAGGCCTGCGTCACCTTTCAGACAAGGACTAGCCGCCTGTGTACAGTTTTCTAATTTAAACCTAACTAAGGGTGTGTATTGGATAGTGAAAATGCCACCACTTACTTTCGTAAACGTTTTACGTAATTGCCAGAATTCTAAAACTCCAAGCTGCTGCCAGTCGACAGTGAGTTGTGGTCTTCAAGTCATAACACACCGTGACTACTAGGTCATTGTGGGTCAGTACTGACGGCAGAGGAGTCCCATCAGTATCGCAGGTGTTGCTGTGTATGTGCCCCAACCGCATGCTCACACATTTATCTGCGTTGATGGGCACCGGCCACTTCTCTGACCAGGTAGATAAGCTTTTCAGATCTGCCTAAAGCGTACGCATATCCTCATCGTTCCTAATTTCCCTCCAGATTTTTACATCATCAGCATAGAGAACCACAGGGGATTTCATGATATTTGCAGCCCATTTACGTACAGGAGAAATAGTAGGAGTCCCATGACTGCCTTGCGGCACTCCACCCTCTACCGACTTCCAAATGGAGAGCTGAGACTTAATCCTAACCCTGTCTTAGATACCGTTATTTATGGCGTATAAGAGGTGTGTCGAAGCAGTCTCAGTTCGAATTTAGGGATTATTCGGTTATCGTTTGAATCCTTCGATATTCTTGAAGGTGAGGCCGTATCACATCTACTCCCCGTAGTGTCAAAAGCCCAGCAGCCAACACTACCTGAGAATCCCCCAGCGGAGAAGACACTTTCCGTACCGCTCAGCATGGCTTTTGGAGTGGTTGCTTATGTGCCGCCAACCTATCCACTGCCTGCAATGATTGGGCACTCAGCTGGGACAATAGGAACCTGACACATGCTTTTATTGACCTAGCCAAAGCATCTGACGGTGTCCCGCCCAACAACCTTGCTTCACAAGATCATGTCAGCTGGTATAAGTGAACCCCGACTCCCCAGGTTAAAGGAGTACCTGGAAGGGAGGCAGTTCTGCACCAAGGTAAATAGAATAACGTAGGAGCATCCCGAGGAGCAGCCCAAGGACCCCTTATCATATAATAATAACAATAATTTATTTCATACAACATAGGTCACACGAAAATAAACCAGTTTACAGTTTTGATCATTTTCATAATGAGAAATGACCGTAACGTACAATGTTAAGCTATACATTAGATACTGTTATTCATGGCACGCAAGAGGTGAGTCTAGAAAGGAACGTTAATGCTTTGCATAATAATTGTTCAGCATACTGAAGAAAGCCCAGTTCGAAATTAAGAATAATTTGGCTATTGCTTGAATCTTCCAATATTCTCGAAGGTAAGGCAGATAGTACAGTCATGACCCTAGGTCGTGTGCGTTCGTTATATAGTTTTGATGTCATGGTGCACACTGAAAATGCGATTTCATAGTTCCCATATCGAATCAAAACTGGGTAGGTAAACCTGAAAAATGAATAACAAAAGCAAGCGGAGGGCGAAATTCAAAACAGGAGCACAAAAATACTACGTAGGAGTAGATCAACCATGGTACATCTGGGTGAGTTCTTTGTACTGACTACAAAGGTTACTTGAAGAAGCACCGAAAACCAACTATACAGAGGTAAGCTTATGCGGAAGAAGATAAAGCTGCGTGTGAAAGTAGTGAAAACTAAACTGAAGCCGAAGATCACCATGGAATAGAGAGAATGGAGGATTTTGAACCAGGTATTCGCTTATGTGTAGAAAGCCTATGTACAAAAGTTTAATGAAGTTATAAACACTTAAGTAAAATTCAGGGTTTTTGCTAAGACGGTAACCACACTTTATCTAGTCACGGGGAGGGATGATCATGGTATTGCCTGTTGAGCATTACCATATCGCTGCTTCCAAAACAATATGGTGGTGCAGAGTACTTACATGTAAGTACTGATAACAAAGGGCAAATAATAAAACATGTTACATGCTATGAAAATCCACTGACAGACAGTTCATTTATCAAGCAGGAGTAAAGAGATTATTTCAAGGGACTAATTTTAAGGAATGGGTGTTAAGTGGAGAGATCAGTTAGGTTATGGAGAAATGTAGGTTACATTAGAGTAGCTACTGAGTTCACTGTTGCCAACCGCATCGCACTTCACTTCCTGTTCACTCCTGGTCATTTTTAAAAAAAATTGGATTTTAACTTAACTAATGCGTTTAGTTTTTGGCATTGTATACTTTTGTCATTGCTGTTAGCCTCCCTTGAGTCTACGTACCAGTAGCACCATTGTACATGGTATTACCGTTTGGGGGTTGGCCGTCAACTAATTGATGAGGATCGTTAGATAGGAGGAATTGACTAAGTAGTCGTTGAAACTGGCTGAGAGATAGACATGCTCGTATAGAAGCGGGAAGTTTGTTCCACAGCATACTGTATTGCGTCATGAAAAACCTACATCGAAGTTTTGAGCTATACTTATTTATTGGGATGATTTACTCGCTATTACGCAGATTATATACCTGTGTTGATTTAAAAGTGATAGCACGTTTCGTTTTAAAGTTTCAACATAAAAAACGAAAAAGAAATATTAGGTTGAGCTTCAGGCATCTCAGCCAGAGTGATTCTAGTTCCAGGTTTTTGCATCTTGCTTCGTATGCAAATCCTTCGTTGTGTATTAGTAGGCACAGAGTAAAGTTTCGTTGGATGTTCTCCCCTCGTATTCTATCAGATACTTTCATGTTACCATAGATAACCGTGCAGTACTCTAAAATTGGGCGAACCATAACCTTGTACACTATAAGTTTTGCCACAGGTGTGAGTATGTTTCTGTGTAGAAGACCAACGAGTCTTCTGCCTTTCGAAACTATTGTATAAGCATACTCCGTAAAAGTCAAACTTCTGGAGTAAATGATTCTGAGATCTTTCACAGTATTGTATATCTGCAGTGCGATGTCACCCGTGTAGTGTTACTTCTGGGTTAGATTTATAGAAATGGAGGATGCCACTTTTGTTTGGGTTTAGAGGGAGCTGCCAGGTCACGCTCCATGTGAATATTCTCTTCAGATCTTCTTGTATTTGAGAGAAACCCTGTGTTAGGGCTAGAGGAGAAAAGCCGTAGACTATCTTCAAGTCGTCTGTGAAAAGGTAAGGTATGCCATTTCGGATAACACTGCAGATGCCGTTTACATAGATATGGAAAAGTATCGGTCCTATCACACTACCCTGGACGACACCACTTTGTATAGGTCCAGGGGAGAATTAGCAATGACTGAATTTTACTACTTGGAAGCGACCCCCTAAAGATGTTCTGAGCCAGAAGGGAAACGGGTCTTGGAAACCATATGACTGCAACTTAGTGACCAGGCATTTGTGAAGCACCTTATCGAATGCTTGCTTGAAGTCTAAGAAAAGGGTAGTTACAAATAGGCCTTGGTCACGCTTGCTTGTAATGTCGTCTAGATAGTCCAGATAGCTGGTAGCGCATGACCGGCCTTCCAAGAATCCATGTTTTGCTGGTGAGAGTAATTGGTCTGTCGTCATGTACTCGACAACTGCTTTCACAATCACGTTTTCCGTAGTCCTGAATACTACCGACGTGATGTCTATAAATCGGTAGTTTTCTATATTAGATGTTGGTCCACATTTATGCTTGGGACAATATGTATGATAGTTTCCAGTTCTCAGGGTGATTGCCACTGGAGAGGGACGTATTAAAGATCTTCAAGGGGGTCAACGGTATGTCTTCAACGCCTCTTTTTATCAAGATTCTTGGGATTCCATCAGATCCAGCACTGTACGAGGTTGGAGGTGATGCTATAGCTGGAGAAACGTTTTGCTTAGTGAAGAGCACAGCACTAATCGATTGAGTTAGTGTTGGCGTGGCACAAATGACTTTTGTTTTGCCTTCGTGTGTAAAGCGGCTAGCAGACTGATAACTGAATAGCTCTCAGATTTGTAGTGGGTCG